CCCGCGCCAGCCATGGCCAACGCGTTGAAGATGGTGCCCGCGGTGATGCGTGTTTCACTGCCCGCCGGCGCCTCTTGGTTGCTTGTCCTCACTTCTCTGGAAACGGGGCCCCCTTTTTTTCGCTATATTTTGCGGACGAACCTCGCGGGCCTCCGCGCTCCTTTGTCCCTGTTCTTCGCTATAGTTCGGACACAAGGCCACGAACGGGACAAAGAGAAAAAAAAGGAGAAAAAAGCCACGAACACCCGCGCCGGCTATGGCCAACGCGTTGAAGATGGTGCCCGTGGTGGTGCGTGTTTCACTGCCCGCCGGCGCCTCTTGTTTGCCTGTTCTTACTATGGGAACGGGCCCCCTTTTTTCGCTAACATTTGCGGACGACCCTCGCGGGCCTCCGTTTTACTTTGTCCTTGTTGTTCGCTGTGGTTCAGACACGAGGCCACGAACGGGACAAAGAGACAGAAAAGAAGAAAAAAACCGCGAACACCCGCGCCAGCTATGGCCGACGCGTTGAAAATGGTGCCCGTGGTGGTGCGCGTTTAACTGCCCGCCGCCGCCTCTTGGTTGCTTGTTCTTACTATGGGAATACTGCCCCCCTTTTTTATTCGCTATGATTTGCGGACGGCCCTCGCGGGCCTCCGCGTCCCTTTGATGTTCTTGCTGTTCACTATGGTTCAGACCCAAGGCCACGAACGGGACAAAGAGAGAGAAAAAAAAAAAAGCCACGAACACCCGCGCCAGCTATGGCCAACGCGTTGAAGATGGTGCCCGTGGTGGTGCGCGTTTCACTGCCCGCCGGCGCCTCTTGGTTGCTTGTTCTTACTATGGGGACGGGGCCCCCTTTCTTTCGCTATAATTTGCGGACGACCCTCGCGGGCCTCCGTTTTCCTTTGTTCTTGTTTTTCGCTATAGTTCAGACACAAGGCCACGAACGGGACAAAGAGACGGAAGAGAAGAAAAAAACCGCGGACACCCGCGCCAGCTATGGCCAACGCGTTGAAAATGGTGCCCGTGGTGGTGCGTGTTTAACTGCCCGCCGGCGCCTCCTGGTTGCTTACTGTTGTCACCATCTTGGGAACACGGCCCCCCTTTTTTCGCTATAATTTGCGGACGACCCTCGCGGGCCTCCGCTCTGTTTCCTTTGTTCTTGTTGTTGTTCGCTACTGTTCGGACCCAAAGCCACGAACGGGACAAAGAGGGAGAAAAGAAGAAAAAGGCCACGAACACCCGCGCCGGCTATGGCCAACGCGTTGAAGGTGGTGCCCGTGGTGGTGCGTGTTTCACTGCCCGCCGGCGCCTCCTCGTTGCTTGTTCTTACTATGGGAGCAAGGCCCCCTTTTTTTCGCTATATAATTTGCGGACGACCCTCGCGGGCCTCTGCGTTCCTTTGTTCTTGTTGTTCGCTACAGTTCAGACACAAGGCCACGAACGAGACAAAGAGAGAGAAAAAAAGAGAAAAGCCACGAACACCCGCGCCAGCTATGGCCAACGCGCTGAAGATGGTGCCCGTGATGGTGCGTGTTTCACTGCCCGCCGGCGCCTCTTGGTTGCTTGTTCTTACTATGGGGACGGGCCCCCTTTTTTTCGCTATAATTTGCGGACGACCCTCGCGGGCCTCCGTTTTCCTTTGTTCTTGTTTTTCGCTATAGTTCGGACACAAGGCCACGAACGGGACAAAGAGACGGAAGAGGAGAAAAAACCCGCGGACACCCGCGCCAGCTATGGCCAACACGTTGAAAACGGTGCCCGTGGTGGTGCGTGTTTAGCTGCCCGGCGGCGCCTCCTGGTTGCTTACTGTTGTCACCATCTTGGGAACACAGCCCCCCTTTTTTCGCTATAATTTGCGGACGACCCTCGCGGGCCTCCGCTTTGTTTCCTTTGTTCTTGTTGTTCGCTATTGTTCGGACCCAAGGCCACGAACGGGACAAAGAGGGAGAAAACAAGAAAAAGGCCACGAACACCCGCGCCAGCTATGGCCAACGCGTTGAAGGTGGTGCCCGTGGTGGTGCGTGTTTCACTGCCCGCCGGCGCCTCCTCGTTGCTTCTTTGTTCTTACTATGGGAGCAAGGCTCCCTGTTTTTCGCTATATAATTTGCGGACGACCCTCGCGGGCCTCCGCGTCCCTTTGTTTCTGTTGTTCGCTACAGTTCAGACACAAGGCCACGAACGGGACAAAGAGACAGAAGAGAAGAAAAAAACCGCGAACACCCGCGCCAGCTTTGGCCAACGCGTTGAAAATGGTGCCCGTGGTGGTGCGTGTTTAACTGCCCGCCGGCGCCTCCTGGTTGCTCACTCTTGTCACCATCTTGGGAACATAGCCCCCCTCTTCTCGCTATAATTTGCGGACGACCCTCGCGGGCCTCCGTTTTCCTTTGTCTTTGTTGTTCGCTATAGTTCAGACCCAAGGCCACGAACGGGACAAAGAGACGGAAAAGAAGAAACAAACCGCGAACACCCGCGCCAGCTATGGCCGACGCGTTGAAAATGGTGCCCGTGGTGGTGCGCGTTTCACTGCCCGCCGGCGCCTGCCTCCATCCTGGCCCCCCTGATTCCCTTCGAGAGTGTCCGCGGGGGGTCCGTTTCCCTTCACCTTTTTGGTCCTCCTTTGCTTTTGCTCTTCTTCCTTTGCTTGCTTGTTGTTTCCCTCTTTCCCTTTCTGGCCCCTTTTCCTGTGTCGCGCTCTCTTGTTCCTCGCTGCTTTTTCTTCTCCTCGCTCTCCTACTTCTTGTCGCTGATCTTCCTGTCTCATCATCGCAGGCACGTCATAAGCTTTTTACTAAAAAGATTGGCAGCGCTGCCACATTTTCAAAGGGAATCGGTGGCAGTGCTGCCACCTCCCTCTTGTATTTAAAGTCAGCGCGCTCCCGCTCCCCTTTGCCGCAACGCGGAGGGGAGTGCGCGCACTTCGGGCGCCCGTTTCACCTTGTGAAACCATTCACCCCCGCCCACGTCCCTAAAGTATCCTTTTCCCTTCCTTAACGTCTCCCGGGGCACCCGGGCCCGGGGAGTATCATTTTTAGATCAATATAATATACTAGTGCGGTGCGAGCTGGGTGCATTGAGATAGAGATAGAGAATTAATTAAGTGCAAAACATGTAAATAAAAGAAAGTAGTTAGAAGCAAGGCATGCAACAAGATAGATGCAGCAGTAAAGGTCGTATGCAAGAAGATAGAAGCAGGAATGAGTATGACGGAGAAGGTTCTTACTCTTGGTGTAAGAACTAGACTAGATTGATGAGAGCAAGGATTGGCCTTGCCAGTAGAATGAGATGAATGAAGCACAAGCAGTGGAGTCCTCTTCGTAGATTACAGTGCTGAGTTGTGAGAATCAGACTGCTCAACAACATACGTCAAACGCAAACACAAAACGTTACCGTAAAAGCTCATTATCGCTCAAAAACGCTTCACCACAGACGTTGCAGACGCGGCCCGCTCGACACCCCATGTCGGCATCCACTTGGCGTAAAGAAGGCTGCAGAGTACAACTAGATGTCCCAGTGGTAGCACTTCTAACTCCAGTAGTTGTAGAAAAATTTCCTTGTAGATGGTCATAATGAGAGGATGAAAGAACTTCTTCGTGTACTGTGCGGGTTAACAAACGCCGAGGCCTGTTCTGACCGAGATCGCCGTGATCACCATAATGAAGATCATGATGAGAGCAAGAATAAACCAGATTCCGAGGTTGTATCACATGTTGAGTAGTAGAACAACTGCTACTCGCGGCCAAATGATGTTCCTCACTAGTGATGTTAGAGGTTGTATAGGCAAGAATTCATGCCAGGGAAGATCATCTGGGCCCCCATATTTCCCTCTTGTCTTATTCTCTCTCCCAGATGACTCATTTGGTGATGAATATGAATTCCCTACACCCATAATAGTGGGCCTCACTGCTCCAGTCCTTTCCACATCCAAAGCCGCGAAGAAACCTTCGTCTTCGATCGAGAGCATGGCTTCTCTGTACCCGGAAGGTACAAAAGGGGACCATTGGTCTATTCGATGTACTACCTTTTGTTAGAGCTACCGCATTGGCATCCACCTTGGGAGCATCATTGGCGCCTTTTTTAAGCAGAAGAATGAAGAGCCAAGGATGAGGTTGAGGATGCTTCAGCGGTAGCCTTAATTTTGGGGCAAATCCAAATCAATGCCAGATCCTAAAGCGTCACTAGGATTTTGTAAACGTAGACGGTGCTGTTGGAAATAGAAATTCAATTTCGGAACAGTGCTCCGAGAGTGTTGTTGTGCTGCGTGACTAGCTGTGCGACTGGTTGTTGTTCCGGGACAGCACGTTGTTGTTGATACCACACTCTTTTTAGTCGGACAACACCAAGAGGATGTTGCATCGTCATGCTTAATACGTCCGTCGTTTTCTGACCGTTGTTCCGTTGCAGTCTGTGCTTTCGCATGTTCACCTATTCGTAGTGCGTCGACACCTCCTCCACCAGCGCCGTCTCCTTGTTCATCGGCATCTAAAAAAACACTCTGCTCTTTCTCATCATCTACTGCTAATAGTTGCTGTTGCTGCATAGTTCTTGTGGTATCTTCAAGGAAACTACTCGAATTTCCGGCATCATTTCCACGACCATGCTGTTCGACGGCATGGTCTTCCAAGACTATGCTGCAGTAAGGAGAACCATCTTGTTCCTGAAAAAAAGCTTTTTCCTCGTAGTTTTGCGACATACCGCCTAGAGTTAGAGGGCCAGCAGCAAAAGGCTGCGTGTGATTGACTCGTCGGAGAAATGATGTGCTGGAACAAGTGCGTGCACCAGTGCCAGTACCTGAATTCGGGTTGTACTTGTAATTGAAGAATCGGCCACTACGAGCCCGACGTCGATGCAATGGGAGCATGAAACGGTTCATCACCCTTGTCAACACTGCTCTACGAATCCGACAGGCTCCACGACCGTCCTTAAAGTCAAGGTACGCAGTTTTTGTGTCTACTTGATGTAGACAATCTTGAGGCTGCAGCTCTTTTCCATGAACATGATCAGCATGATGATGATCTTGATGTTGTTGCTCCCCTGAAGATTGGATCACACGACCAGAGGGGGACATAGTAGGGCTTTCTGCCAATACTTGAACTGGTCGTTTCATCGCATCAACTCGTCGAGCACGTCTGACAGTACGACCATAAAAAGGAGATGAACAATCTTTGTTCATGCGTGTATTTATTTGGTCGTCGTGTGCATCTTCATCAAGTAAAACGTCCTTTTCGTCAGCCCCTACTTGCTCTGCATCGTGATCATGATCTTCCACGACCCCCACGACTTCACCTTCCTGCTCTAAAAAAAAACCAGTGGCACCAGAGCGCCTCATCCCGGTTGCAACCATGCCATTCATGGTCATCCTAGAGGTCATGCGAGGTGGTAAGAACATCCTGCCAGGGCTCATCTCATCTGCAGCATCGTCTTGCTCAGCATGGTTTTGTTCAGCTGCATCGTGGTGGTCAACCACAACTCCTGCACCAGAACCGCCTGGGGGTGCACCCAAAACAGGAGGCAAGTACACCGCAAGGTCTGCCGCCGTTTCTCGGCCTCTTTTAATAAAAATGTTTGTTGTGGTTGTGCCCCCTCCACCACCAGAAGGGCGTAGTTGGGGGTAGTGGCAATCCATCTCCTGTTGGTGTCGTCTAGCCAGCATCTCGATCTCCATGGGCCGCGTCTTGACACCTTTATCTTCGTGGGGCTCCTGTGCTGCTCCCGTGAAGAGTTGTACGACATCCTCTGGAGACAGAAAACCAAACCTCAGTAACCGCGATCGCGTGTCCTCACAGCAACTTTCTTGTAGGTTGAGCAAGGCAAGGTTCCCTTCTGTCAAAGGAGCTACATTCGAGGATGGTCGTGGCTCTAGTTCTTGGTTAAGGGGACGATTAGTTGTAGTGTCCACAGGAGAAGCTGAAGTATGTAGATGATGCTGTTCTTTCTTGTCCCTGATGATGTTATTGATGATGATTCCACGACCAGGACGAGCAGCTGAAGTAGCCATCTGCAGCTGATCCTTCTTGTCTTCTGTTCTTGTGCCCTCCTCTAGTAAAAGTGGTATTGCAGGCCTTGTTCGTGCAGGCTCAGATAAAGCCTTGCTGAAGAGAGGCTGCACATCTCCCCTGACCAAGCTGCTTTTCCTTTTTTCGCGCGTGATAATCATGGCTTGATCCTTGTCTTCGTCATGATCTGAAAAATCTTGTTTCCTGTCCTGCTTTTCATCTGCTACCTCTATTAAAAGATCAACGTGTTGAGGAGGAGGACTGCTCTCTCCATGCGGCCCAGCGACAACTAGAGGAAGATCAACTACGTGTTGAGGAGGAGGACTGCTCTCTCCATGCGGCCCAGCGACAACTAGAGGAAGATCAACTACGTGTTGAGGAGGAGGACTGCTCTCTCCATGCGGCCCAGCGACAACTAGAGGAAGATCAACTACGTGTTGAGGAGGAGGACTGCTCTCTCCATGCGGCCCAGCGACAACTAGAGGAAGATCAACTACGTGTTGAGGAGGAGGACTGCTCTCTCCATGCGGCCCAGCGACAACTAGAGGAAGATCAACTACGTGTTGAGGAGGAGGACTGCTCTCTGCATGCTGACCCAGATGATCTTCTGGTAGTTGCGGATTCGCATCTTTCTTATTCGTCTTCGTGTCCGCATCTTCTACTAGTACCGTTTTCATACAACCTTTCTGAGGCTGAGCTTCAACATGATCTGTCACATGAACTACATGAAGACCCTCATCTGGAACATGAAAACCCTCATCTACTTGATCTTCCGGAACTTCTTGCTTCATCATGTGTATGCTACAAGAGTTCGAGTTCGTGCTTGACGATTCTTTCTGTGCAAGGGCTTGTACTCGTGCCTCGCTTTTGATTTGGGCAAGGACACCAGCTGTCGGCTGTGGGGCGTCTATTACTATTTGCTTTCCCTCTGGAATGGTCTCAGGAATCGCCAAGCCTGGCTGACACTGGTCTTGCACCAGATAGTTGTTTATATGTTCTCCCTGGTGTGCGTGTGCTCCCTGATGTTGTTGTTGTTGTAGCCCCATGGCTCCTATGCTTCCTATTGCAGCACTTGTTGAAGATGACAAGCCACTGATCTGAGGCATGGACACCGCACCAGGCAACATCCCACAACCAGCAGTGCCAATAGGACTACGAAGAGGACTGCCTTCTAACATGGAATTGTTGACAAGAAGATTGTTGCCACTACCACTACCAGGGGCTACTATAATTAGACCTCGCTGAAATCCATGTTGATCAGCACCTTGGTGCCCTCTTTCCCTTCAAAATGGAGACAATCAAGATCGATGCTGGGAAACAAAGGAAGCTGGAGATGGATTTTCTCAACAAGCCTTAATATAATGTGGTCCTCGTGGTCTGTTTCAGGCACATCCCGATCGCCAAAAAACGAGGGGTCGTCATCCTCAACTACCCTAGTATCAGACCGCGCGTCGTGGTCGTGGAAGTAGAAAGACATCGAGCTGTGCTCACGAAACAACATGTTATAGGAATCCCGAGATGCACGTGCTGGCTTGTTAATTAATATATTGGTGGCGTTGCAAAAATTAGATGAGCTACCGCGTTCGCGTCCCTGCGAACATGAACATCTTCCTTGGCTCCTTTTTCAAGTAGAAAAAGAGGCAAGAAGGATGGTGCTCCTGAGGATGCATTAGCGGCAGCCTTAATGCTATAAAATTGGTGGGCAGATGAATTATGCAGAAGCTGAGTGTTGTTCGTGTGCATATTAGCGCCTGCTCCTCCGCCTCCTCCGATAAATGCATTACCTATAGTCGTCGCCCCTCCTGGTGGCGAAACAGTGTCGCTCAATCCCCGAAGCAAAAACATGCCACCTCCAGTGGTACTAGACGAAGTCGTCGCACAACGCTGTCGACCTGTTCGGGCAGGAATATTTTTGCTCGTCGTGTCCTCTACTTGATGAAGGGTCAACATACCAGATCCGGCCTGCAATTCGTCTACTTCATCGTCATCGAGTATTGTTCTCAGGCTCATCAATGCTTCCTCTTGCTGTTCTCTAGTTGTACTGCGTTGAGCCTTGGTCTGTTCTCCATCATTAGCAGTACAATCTTCACCTCCTGCAAGGTGTAGTTCTTGAGGCCGCAGTTGCGACAGTGATTGAGATCTTCGTGATACAACATGGCTTCCTCGTCGTTCAATGACCACATCGTCCACAACTTTGGAAGTTCCAACTTCTTTGCTTCTCTCTCCCGCCTGCAGCTCTTCTTGCTCCTCCAAATGTAAGAAGTTCACCTGTTCCAATAGGTTTTTTCTGCATCCACGCCGTCGCCGTAGGTCTTCTGGGAACTGGGAATTCCCAGAATTCAAAGTATCCTGGTTCAAGTCTAAGTCTAACATATGCTGATCAGGATCGCCGCGCGTGGTCCCTGTCCGCGCGCCAGCCCTGCTACCACGATAGCAACTGCTATATCGCCCACTACGTCTTGTCGTTGTGTCCCTCTCCATGTTTGTATTTAGCATCGTCCCTGCTGCTCCATCGCGATACCGATCGCCATCTTCTGTGTAAGAACAATCACCTCCTCCTCCTCCAGCAAGGCCATTATTTGTCTCATTGCTATAATTCTCCAGAGGAGCTACACCAGCAAAACGTGTATCGCGTCGATGGCCTGCGACACTCTGAATGGCGGTGGATGAAGACAAAAAACGAGAGGGAGGCATGATAACTTGAGGTGTCATGCAAGGACTTCCGTGCTCTTGTTCATGATCCTCCATCATGTCATCGCTGCAAGGAATAATGACCGGCAAGGAAGACTCGAGCTTGACTGAGGGATCGCCAGCACCTCCTGCTTGGTGAGCTCCTTGAGCTTGAAGTTCTTGTTGACCCAATGTTGTTCTAGTTTGCTCCTGTTCATGTTTCGCATCTTCATCCTGAGCGTTCTTCTTGTCAAGCAAGTGTTGGTTTTTTCCGGCCGAGGACATTACACCGGGTACATGACGAGAAGGTAGTGGCACTATGTTGTTCATGTCTTCATCTCTCGAGATACTAGGACAACCTGACTGCACATCCACAACGCCTATCATCTTGTCTCGCTTGTTATTGTTCAGCTGCACGACCATCTTCGCTTCCGCCTCCAACATCGAACTCTCCTGTTCCACGTATTCTCCCATCTTCTGCAATTCCATGGCACATTGCTCTCGAAACGACTCCAGCAACTGCCTCTGTCGTGCAACTGCTTCGGCTACGAGTAGGTCACTTCGGGCAAGATTCGCGTCCTCAGCAAGATCGTGCTTGAACAAGAAACACGAAACGTTACTTTTCAGCAAGGTAGTTTTGCGGAGTTCTCCGATCTGGAAGGCGAAGTAGAGATAACCATCGATGTCTTCGAACAGATTAGAGGAACTACAGGTCTTCTTGTCCTTACTTGCAACTTATTCTTATAGACTGCAAAGGACCTCCACAAGGGAAAAGACGAACGGACGTGCACAACAAGATTAAGAAGATTTGCATTTCTTCGCTTTGCTACCTATATCAAAAAAAAAATCACTAGGAGCACTAGAAAATTGAAGAAGTAGTAAGTTACTTATTCTACTCCACCAATAATCCAATAACTGGTAAGCAGGAGATAAGAGCCAAGAATTACAGGCAGTAATTGGTTACTCTTACTTCCAGCAATAATCCAATAATTTTTAGTCAAGTAGGCAAGACCATAACAACAGCCGTCGGCGAAAACACTATCGTTGCAGCGCGTTTCTGCCCCTTCGATATTTTCGTCAACACGATGCCAATCACCGCACTCATCCCGAACAGGTTCACAAGTACTTGTGACGTCAGCACAAATATCATGTGCGGGCAGTGATTAAAAAACGGATCCGGTACGCCGTAGCCGATCGTCGTCAAGGTCTCCATGGACAAATACATGGCGTCATTAGAGATTGAAAGATGATGGCAGAAGATTCCGCATATCGTCTGGTTCTGTGGCGGAAGATTCCTAAGTTAGTACTTGAAGAAGACATAGAGACGCTCTTAGATGATAGGTCAACTCCCAAGCCTTAACGTCACTGAGACATTCCACGCCCAACTTGCACGCTTCAGCAGGCACAAAAACGTAGATGATGACACCAAAGAAGGTCCAGACGAGGACGTAGCTCAGAAAAAAGAGCAGCACTAAATCTTTCACGGGCAAACTTAAAAAGCAACACTCATTGGCCACTAGATCTTTGACGAGTAATCTTAAAAAGCAACACTCTTTCCCCAGCACTGAAGATGCTGAACTACGGAAGGGACCACCTACCACCTACAAAGCAAGTTCCACCCCTGTAGCTCTCTCCAGGGGTGGTCTCCTCTTCGATCTCAGTGTTCTTGACCCCAGTCTAGTAAGCATGTAGACCTTAGAATATCAAGAAACTTAGAAGTGTAAGTAATCTCTTCAAAGATCATGAAGAGTCTTTTTTTTCTGACAAAGACTAAAATAAATAGTGACCAACGAACCCCAGAACAAGTCACTAGACAGTGTTCTTACAAGGACGGTGAGCAACCCCAGAACAAGAAGTCTAAGTCAGTAAACTAACAGAAGCAAGTGTTCTTGACCAATGAAAGTTGTTGAGCCTTAATAATCCAAGGAGAACGTGGAAACTGTCGTACTGGAGGGGCGAAAGAAATCGGTTGATGCGCAGAATGCGAGTGCTGCTCTCGGTACCCGAGTCACGTCCGATCAGACGCGTCCCGCAACATCTACTACATCCTGGAAGGGAAGTTGTGGATGCTGGGGAAGGATGAAAACAAGAAGTAGTTGTCGCATTTTTGCTAGCTGCGGTTACTCCTCGGTTATTTGTAATTGTTGTATTAATCGGAGGACGAGATATAGTAGTAGTTGAGGGACAGCACGTGGTTTCAGTATAATAGTATTGACGCAGCTCGTTGTACTCTTGACATCCAGGAGTCATGTCTGGCGCTCCCAAGAAAGTGGAAGTCGTGGTCCCTGCTGTCGCCCCTTGACGAATGCTTGGTGGCACATAACTGCCAGTACTTGGCGTGCCAGGTGTTGTCCTGGAATATCGCTGCTCTCCATTCCTCGTCGCTGTAGCCCTGTTATAATGCTCCAGCTCGGCTTCTAGCGATCCAGCATGATGTGCATGTGCTGGAGGTCGAAGAACTCCAGTCCCTCCATATGTGGATCCTAGTGAAGAGGAATCGCCTACTGAACGTCCAACTGGCGGTCGTCCTGCTCCTTCTCGTGCAAGATCATTATGGGCGTCGTGGATGCTTGCTCCTGGACCAAGAACAGGCGCCTGTTCTTTCTGGTTCCACGCAAACGTGCCTCTCACACCTTCCACCACAGACCCGAAATTTTCGAGCAACTGAGTCGTCGCAGAGTGTACATCTCTCAAGTGACTCCCAGCGAGGATGAGAAAACTGCTGCTGCGTCGTGCGCGTGTCAGCTCTCGCTCCTCGATAAGCAGCTGCTGCTGCAAATGGTTAGTATAATCACCTCCGCGACGTGGGTCCTGCATTTTGCCGGAATGTAAGTCGACGGTGTCTCTACTAGTTCCCAATATGTATATGATTCGAACTGCTATTTGCTGCGAACGACGATGAACTCAGGAGCCTCTTTTTGGACGAGAGAGAGAGAGAGTGCTGTCAGCTCAAGACGTCCTCGAGAGTCTCTCCATTAAAGGTCAGCAGTCAGTGGTCACTGATAGATTCTGAAAGAAATGGGCCCCATGCCTCTCCCTTTGCTTTCCCTTCATTTTCCCCTGTTTTCTCAAGAGGGATCTCAGTGACTAACCTCAATGACCAATGAAAGTTGAGCCTTAACTTCAGGTCGTTGCATCCTTCTTGTTTTTCTCCGAGGACACGAAGATAGTTGCCACGCATGATATTGCCACGATGACGGTAATCGCCCATTTTCTTTCTCCTCAACCTCATCAGAACAAGCATGTAGTCTTATATATATTGACGTCCTCATCCTGATGCTCGTTCTTTTGTGTTCCTCGACGTCGGGCAGCTACAAATCCGTAACTCGTGGTTGTTCTTGTTCTACTTCTACTTGTTACAGAACAAAAACCTATTCACTTATTCAACAATAACATGATGCACTTGCACTTTCTTGTTTCCTCGAATCCATAATTTCAACTACTTAGAGGACACTATGAAGATTTTGTCGCTGTCAAAAATTCCTCCGTCTAGAAGATGTAGTGAAAAAACAATGGGCGCTTCATTGTAGTTCCACTCTTTCACGTGTTGCTTTATTTCATCCTCAAAAAAGAAGAACCACGATAGGAGAACGGAAGATCAAATTGATGGAAAATACAACATAACATATGATCGATCTGCCCGCAATTGTAGTACTCGTCGTATCGAAATGATCATCACGACCTTACGACCCTTGAGCCCGCCACGAGACCAAAAGTGGATACCGGATCAATTTTTCGCTGCTGCAGCGTCGCTGAAACAGAATCAAGCACTGCTTATGCCAGCGGCGAATCCAATAAAATAATCGTTGCAGAAGTACTATCATTCTCTCGCGAAAATGAACTCGTCTGTTGACGTCATATGACAGTTTCATTTTGATGTGGCATTTGTCTTCAGATTCAGTGTGGTTGGAAGTTGTTGAGAAGTTATCTTCAATATAGTCGGAATTGCATTTGAGTTTGACTTGACTATCAAGGTAATTAGATTTTTCAGTGTGCTCACTCGGCGTGGTAGTTCTTGTCGATGTATGACAATGACATAGGAAATTATATTTATAGTATAAGGGATAAATGGGAATAGACCAAAACAATAGTTCAAGAACAAGTGGGGAATGAGTCTGAGAGTCAGTGTCAGACGAGTGAAGGTATAAGTAGCTATAGGTGGATTAGGAAATACTACAGGAGTTATGAACAGAATTATCATGAATGTCATCTTCTAGATCATCTAGTGGTATTCGTCTTTTTCTTATTTGGTACTTCTAGTTCGTGTTTTTTTTCCTCCTCCATCAACTCCATCTACTCCTTGCATTGCCCCGTCTACTCACCTGCCATCAACCGTTCTGCCTCCGCCAAAAGCTCCTGCCGTATCGCCAATGACGCTGATTCTCTCTCTTGAGACCACCTCTTACGACTAGAACGGGATGAGCGTTTGTTGCTCTTTCCTCCAACAATGTGTTCCACCCTAGAACTCGGTGAAGGTCTACCTTCAAATATCGCAGATGCACGACCGCCAGTTGCAACGTCACTCGTACGCAGGCGCTCTTTGACCTCTTGTAAAGCTCGTTCGCGCTCGCTTCTATGTTGTGGCTTCAAGGAGGAAGCAGAAAACAGTCGAGCAGAAGTTGTAGAAGTATTGAGGTCGTTGTTCACCGCAGTCTTAGATGAGGAAAGTCTACTTTTTCTTCTACTCGTAGATGATCTCCTTACTGGCGCTGGTGCTGGAGAGCTTTTCCTTACCTGAGGATTGTAGTTGTAGTCGATACTACTTCTGATTACGTCCTCCGCAGATTTGTAGTTTGCAGCTCCGGCCGTTCTCCTAGTTGTGCTCGATGTCGCACTTCTGCTGAAGCGTTCCAGATTTGCTGCGGTCAATCGAGCAGCAGGAGAAATAGTTTTTACTGGACTTGTTGTCGATCTTGATATTCTTGGTGCTGGTTGCTCTGCACCTGCAACAGATAGAGGAAATGTCCTCGTTTTATCATCAAAATCGCTTTGCTTTGATAACCGGTTTTTGCTTTTGAAAACCTTGTTGCTACTCCGACGAATGTTCTCGACAATCTTCAGCGCTTCCAGCATGCTCTCGTCGTTAGACGACGCGCGTTCCTTCCGTTGTTCTTCTGGTTGACCAGCAGGTGCGCTTGCTCTTCTAGAAGTCGATAAAGAGACTCTATTTTTTGGAGAATAAATTCTTTGTCCTAAAAATGATGCTCTAGGAGTACTCTTCGCCCTACCCTCCAATATCTGCTCTGCTACATGGTCTGGCAGCTTCTTCGACGAGCGATCGTTTAGCCTTTGCACTTTCGCCAACTCGTCAGATAAAAGACGGCTACGGGGGCTACGAGAATCGCGTGTCGTTTTACTGGAAACAACAGCACCTCCAACACTTTGACTCCGATGTCGTTGCTCTTGGCCGCGAGCAACGTGTTGGATGATTCGTGCTCGTTCGCTGTTGTCAAAAACGTGATGTTGAGGTTGATGATTCATCGTTTTTTCAGGCTCGATAACAAGACTACTCGTAGAAGTTCCACTCGCTCCTATGGCTGCTCCTGTCCCTGAAGGAGATGCTATTGCAGATTGTTCTCTTTTCCGCCGCAAACGCTCGGCTAGTTTCAGCGCGATGTATCGTCTTCGGACTTGTCTCAGTCTAGCCACATATGCTTCGAGGACTGCGACAGGAGAAGCACGCGAGTTCTTGTCTATTCCTCCTTCATCACGTGATACGACGTCGGTCGCTCCTTGAAGAAGACCTTGTTGAGGTGACACACTTCTACTTCCTGTCAATGACGCACCACGTTGAACATCAGGTGCAGGCGGAAACAACCCACTGCCGCGACCTGTCTTCACTGAGAAAGGTTGCGTTTGTTGAAGTCTTTGATGGATGTAGGTGTTCGCGTCGACTGAGGAGGAGGAACTACTAGAAGAGCCGCCACCGGGACGATCGGGATTGAGGCCAACGCCTATACCAGCAGACACACGTTTCGAAGTAGATGTTCCGAAAGAGACACGACTACAACGACGACCAAGGCCAGGAAAGATAGTTGGGCGCCCTCCCTCCAGACTAGCATTTATCATCTTCTTTTGTTGGAGAAGGAGATGGTGAGTATTCTTTTCAGCGGAAGAAGATCTAGACCTGTTTTGACCACCAGCAACAGGAACAGAAGTCCTCCTGCTTGGCAAAAAATTCAGATAATTGCTGCTGGGAGAGGGAGGTGAACTACTACTCCGACGTGGTCTACTACTTCTTCTTTTCGAAGCAGCCAAAGAATTCCTCATGTGCACTGAGGATCGCTGACCTCGTACCACGCCCTGACTATTGTAACTGAATCCGCCTCCGACTCGTCGTGCCTCAAGGAGTTCCTGTTGCCTCTCCAGTGCTGCTAGTCCATCGTGCAGTTCCTGTTCGTGCTCGCCCAGTTGGAGGCTCAGAGCTGCTGATAAGCTAGGTTTCGCGTGCAAGTCCATATGATCCAAGCCGTCTATTTCGGTAGGACAAGACGTCTTCTCATCGTCGTCTCTGGCCATCATCTGGGACAATCTGTCTCCAACCCGTCCAACACTGGCCACAACCTCTGCAACATTTTCCTGGGCTGTAAGGAGCATCCGCTCAATATTTTCAGGTGACAAAAGTCCAGCTGGTTCTGGTCGTTGCCATTGTCTGGCTAGATCGTCCTCATCCTGCATGCGGCCTCGCTCCCAAGCGAGCAGTTGCGGAACGAAGGGAGCGTCGGGGACGCCGAGCGGGTTTTAGAAGCGAGGACGAGAGAACGACTTTTCATTGAATAAGTAGTACTTACTAGTTGTGCCCGTTTGCGTCAACGTAGAGAGAAGATGTGGAACCTCCAAATTCATCTGATTGTGTTGAACAACTAGGACGATAAAAATATGGATAAGTAGGAGCACGTAATCTCTACCAGTACGTAGCAATACTCTTGTTGAGTGATGTTCACCAATCAAATGAATCTGATCGTCACACCAGTGAGTCTTCTATCACCAGATCATAAATCTTATTCTCCACCGACATCCTTCTTCGTACTCCCAGATAGTCACCTTTATCGAAGACTTCACGGACAACCGCCCCCGCCGGATCTGGCGCAGGCTGTGAGGATATTACGCTAGACAGTGGGAAGTCGATCGAAATCGGCAACGGTAATCGTGGTGGCGGCACGTAGTTGCGACCATCTAACAGGTTTTCTCCGTTGAGACCGATAACTGGTGGAATCAAAGGTGGCATGTTCTTCGTGTTGATCATGCGGATCTGCTGCGGCCTGCCGTCCGCACGCAGGTACACTGAAGTAGTGGCAGGTCGAAAAGGTACGACTTTTGCTGGAGTCTTAGGTTTGGGAGGCGGAGCGGTCCTCGTAGTTGGTACAGCACGACTTGAAGATGGAGGCTCAGGTTCACTTTTACTAGAAGAAGCTGCTGCTCTCTGGTAGTGATTCCTCAACAACTTCAATCCCGCTGCTTTGTATCTCGCAGTTGCTTTCCCCTTCGCATCTAGGAAACCTTCCTTTGACTTGCCTTCTGCGACTTTCTTCTCGAATATATGCTGTTCAAAGTTCAGCAAGGCTGCCTTGGCGAAGTTATCGGGTAGATCAGCAGCTTGTTGGATTTCGTCCATGTGGCGCTGAGCGACTTGAGCATGATAACCCTTCAGCATCTGCATGCCGGCTGCCTTGTAGCGAGCTGTTGCTTTCCCATCCTGATCGAAAAAAGCCATCCTCTCTAGGGATTAGACACGATGATCATGGAGGCAACAAGGAGGGGTCATGAATCGGCTGTAGGAGAGACCACTATTCTTGCTACAAAGGACTACAGGGTGGGCTCACGAGTGAGAGTGGGTAAAACTGCAAGCTGTTGCCAAAAAGCAAGAGTAAGACCAAGTCAAAGAAATGCATCTACCAGCAACAAATACAGAGTAGCCTTCATAATTTTCGTCCCCATCTAAGAGGCCGGCTTGTGCTTCGAAAATCTTCTGCGCGACTTCATATGCCTTCTTCTGCTCTTCTTCCAGCATGTTGGCACGATCCTCGCGCCCTTGCTCGCGTATGGCTGCAGTAGCGTGATACCCCTTCAGCATCTGCATTCCGGCTGCCTTATAGCGAGCGGTCGCTTTTCCGTTCTCATCGAAGAAATCCATCTTTTCTTTCTCATCGCCATCCAACATGCCTGCCTGAGACTCGAAGATCTTCTGCGCGACCTCATAGGCCCTCTTCTGCTCCTCTTCGGCCATGTTTGCCCGGTCCTTCTCGCCCTGCTCCCTGATTGCCGCAGTAGCGTGATACCCCTTCAGCATCTGCATGCCGGCAGCTTTATAGCGAGCTGTTGCTTTTCCATTTTCATCGAAAAAGTCCATCTTTTCTTTCTCATCGCCGTCCAGCATGCCTGCCTGCGATTCAAAGATCTTCTGCGCAACCTCATAGGCCCTCTTCTGCTCCTCTTCGGCCATGTTTGCCCGGTCTTTCTCGCCTTGCTCTCGTATGGCTGCAGTAGCGTGATGCCCACGCAACAGGCGCCACGCCGCGGCCTTGTATCTGTCAGTTACTTCACCCGTTTCTTGATCGACGAAGGCCATCTTCGCGCCCTCTCTCTCCTCTAATTAGAGCTGAGGGACATCCTCTCTCAATAGCATCTTGGGCCTCTTTTCCCTTGAAAAACGGGACCAAGATGGATACGTGTGTGGGCCTCTTTTCCCTTGAAAAACGGGACCAAGATGGATACGTGTGAAGTAGATGGATTTCAATTTCTTTTAGCCTTAATCTAAGGCCTCCACACGACTGGCCACCATTTTCTCCACAAAACCGAAAACGGCTTTCTTATCCACGTGACTCAGCCTTGCTGAGCCTGGTCTGGACTTGTCGTCTTCCCCTGGCGTTAGAAAATGATGATGAGAAGAACACCGCAAGATCATTTCTCAGAGTCAGTTTCAGTTTATAATCGGAGAGATGATTCGTATCAGATACTCTGGGCAACAGGAGCAACCACTTTTCACACACAACACTACATCAAGGAGAAGGACCACTTTAGATACTTAGAAAGTCTAAAGGTCCTCAGGCGTTCGTAACTCTTCCATTCCTTCATCTGCGTCTCCTTCTGCGGCTTTCTCGACTGCAATGTGGTTCTTGATCTTATCCGCCAACTCGGCAAAATCCGAAAATTTTCCAAAAGTCGCACTCTGTTTTGGTCCTTCCGCAACACCACCTGCCCATTGCGTGTCCAGTTTCTTCTGCACACCTAAAACTAGCTGATTCACTTCCTGCTTAGCAGCTTTGCCAGCCATCGCAGCTTGGCGGACAAGCTCTAGTTTCGGATTGCGGACGCCGATCCCCTTGCGCAACTCTCGCTGCACTTTGCGGACAACCGAGAGCAGGTTGAGGGGTGCGCTCTCGTCGTCGTCGTCGAGATCGGGGGATGAAGAGGGATGGCGGGGAAGGAGAGCAGGGAGTAACAAACTATTGTTCCCTAGTTATCTCGAAGTTACCAGCCACAGTGATTAACAGAACTACATTGTTGTAGATCCAGAAAGAGACGACACTTACGAGACGGCAATGTCTCACAGAAATTCCCCTCAGCAGGCCACATACCGTCTCCGATGACACCAAACACAAGTAGGGCAATCTTGTTCGCCTTAGATAGTCAAAAGTCTTATCTTGCACGAGATGAAAAAGGTCCGCATTACAGGACAGAGACTGGCTGCAGCAGGATGACATTTTTGTTTTTGTTGGTGTGTTAGAATCGGCAAACACAAATACATAGAATAACTATATATATAAGTACTTCAACTTCAGAATCCTTAAATGGCTAGTGTATAAATACTTCAACTTCAGCATCCATAAATGCAACCGGTCTATCACCTTTTGTCCAGAATTTCGAAAACGTTGTAACACGTAGTTGTTCTTTTTGTTATCATTTTTCTCTTCCCCTGCATCCTCCTCCTTTTGTCTCGCTCCTCCTAGCACCGAATGACGCGGCGAAGGCAGATCCGTCTCGATCGCATCTAACACCGCTCTTGGCCTTCTACTCGAAGGTGAGCTTGGAGATGCTCCTCCTGACGCAGTGGGGGCAGCGTGCTCCTTTCCGTGACCTACTTGCGAAGTCGACAACTCAGCATCCAAATCCACTGTGCGTTGTAACGGACTACTCGGTCCTCTTGCCGAAGAAGACGCCTCTTCCTTCACGGTTGTTGTCGTTGCTCCACCACCCATAGAAGCGAAAAATCTTGCAGTCCAATGTTGGGAAGAACTAGAACTACTCGACGCTGCCGGATTGTTTGCCTTTATTTCACCTGGTCTAGTTGCTGTCTGTTGTTGATTCTCTTCACCTGATGAAGGGCCGTCAGGATCTACATCATCCGCATCTCCACCGCCAAGCGCATCGGAACTCGATGAAGCAGAACTGTTGCCCAACTTCTGAAGCAAGTACTCCTCGACAGAAGCCTTACTTCTTTGGTTTTGGAATGCTTTCCTCTTGGCGAAAGCTCCTCCTGCAGGGAATTTAGATGATTTGCCTTTACCTCTATTTGGTTTTGCGTTAGGGGTCCTGCCAGAGGAGCCTCCAACTGTTGCAGAGGTAGGCGAAGGCTGGTCTTCGTAGCGGAGATCTGCGGCTCTCTGGGTTAGTTCGCGCGTCCTACTTGTCGAGGATGAAGGTTCTTGTTCTTCTTCGGCTTCTTCGTCAAATTTCTTCATCCTCGCTTGTGAAATTCTCGAAGTGCGCGAAGCAATAGGATTCTTCTCCTCACCAGACCGGGAACCACGACTTCTGGACAGTATCGCATCGATTTCAAGGCGATCGCGACTGCGATTATCGAATTCCAAGGCCTCTTCTTCGTTTTCAGAGTAGAAGAGAAACTTGCGGACCTTCTCGTTCTGACGTTCGCGCCAGGCAGCATAGGGTTTGCGGAATGGAGACATTGTTTTGATTGTCGATGTTAATGGGGCGGACGCCCCGTCGATTACCCCACGGGACAGAGCATCCGAATTTATGTACGTGGAGAAACACGGCTAATCGGACGACGAGGGTTATAGATCTACAATAGCCGGGACGCAAGCAAAAGCCGTATGATGAACTGAACAGATTCTTTCTATGTTGTCTATCTGAATTCTGATCAGTGCATGAGAAGGGGAAGTGCCGGTATCAAGTAAAATCTCACGATGGGGTCGTAAACTGAGAGAAGAGTTTTTTTGGTGGTTCTCGCACGCTCCAAATATCATGAACCGATGATCTAGAACCGATCTGCGAAGTGGACTTGATGTAGTACCGATCGCGTCACATTACTTACCGACGTCGGTGCTATGTGTCAATAGCGAGAAGAGCAAGTACAACTAAAGTAGGCGCTTCTAAAACATGATCCAGAGATTTCAGAAAGTCATTTCAAAGTTTCGATACTTCGAGTAGCAAAATCCTGTCGACACAAAGACAACAGCCACACAGCGCAAGCAACGCCTTTGATGCGAAATGGGCGTGTCCAGAGTCAATCTCAGTTTGGGCGACGCGGTTCAGCAATGGAATGCACGAGATGTTCTTAGAAGAAGCAAATCATTGCAAGACAGGCGCGCCAAAGACGTGACGAGGTGTTGTGACATGGACGTGGTCCAGAAGGCTGACTGGGTACTAACTGGTGTAATGCTGAAGTGTACCCAACATTCGATCCGGCAGAGACATGGACTTGTCTAAGCCAGCGGAGAGAAGGGTAGCAAGCCATAATCTAGGTCGGTTGTAAAAGCCGCTAAGCACAAGACGAGCAAAGCAGCGGAACGGAACGACCAAATAGTCTGTACAGGGTAAATGCCTAATGGAGGAGAGGAAAGAGCAAACCAGTAGAGAAGACCGATATTTTTCTGTAATTGGGCATCTAGTTCAAGCGTCTCGAGCACACTCGATTAGGAAGTCTTGCGTTTCTCTCGCGTATTGGATACAGACATGAAAGTTGCCGATGCATGAAAGATCACCTACCTAGTCTTAGAGGATCCACGAGTATTCATCGGACTCGACCAGGAAAAACCGATGTAACACACGACACGTAAAATGCCCCCCCACGCCGCACTACAGGCCGGCTCGATACGGGGAACCCCACAGAAGGGTAGCTCGTTTTTGGTTTTGGCTTTCTTTCTGCTCAACAGTGGTTGCCTGACACGATCTAAAAGCACAAGATATATCTGGATCACCTTTAAAGTGTTCGCAAGTCAATCCGTATTTTCCATCTCATGCCGTTCAACTTACTACGCGTTTCCGTCCTTAGCCAACCGTCTTCAAGCCGCATTGCCGACAAATCGATAACACACCCCGTATGTCCGTCTACGCAGAAGCGATCATCGAATGTTGAACAACGCGACAACTCGTCTCCTCTCCTCCGGAAGACTAAAGCCCACTTACAATCGTCGTGGGTTTCCGGAAGTGTAAGCGTTAACACCAGAAGACTAACTTACAATCGTCGCGGGTTTCCAGAAGTGTAAGCGTTGGCGGTAGTGGTGATGTTGGTCATGTTCTCCATGTTGAGCTTGGTCAACATTTCCTTAGTGTCCGGATCGACAACGATGCGCTCAACATCCACCTCAGACTTCTCCGGAACGAAGTCCATACGACGTTCACGCTCCTCTTCTTGGAACTTAAGGGAGATACCACGGACCGGAGCCTTCTGGATGCCTGTTTTGGAATGAGTTTGGGATTTGTATTTAGTCTCAGGATGTGGACCTATGGATTGGGCATGGAATTGCAAGGTAGTTTTGTATGGATGTTTCGGTCGTAAGAGGTTACTTCGGAGGCATGAACGAGGCTTCAAGAAAAGCTTGTCATCACTGTCACGCGACTGCTAGAGATGGACTCGCCTACGACAGGATGAAGATTCAAATCAAATGAATTTCCAAGATTCATCAAAGTATCTTGATTATCTCACCAGCCCAAAACATATGTCACCGATGCTCATGATCGTTCTTCTATCACATCCTCTTACTTATTCTCTTTCCACAAATAAAAAAAGTACGCTTCATCAAGTGCGTGGCGAAACCAGCGATCTTGTTACGCATACGCTTGGACGGAATGATAGCGACCTCCTCAGCAATCTTCTTGTTCATCTGGAAGTCCAGAGTCAACTTCTGGTAGTACCTGGATCGTGTGAAGTTGAATTCATTCGATAAACTGAAATAAGCGAGTAACTAGGGAAAATAAGGGAGAGACTGAAAGAAGAGGTAGTCAAGACTCTGCGTTTCTCTCGCGTATTCTAGTAGTGTAGTAGTCAAGACTCTCTTGTTTCAGTCAGTAACTCGCTTACTTTGAGTTTCGTGTAGAAAGAAAGGTGAATTCAGGTTGTTTAAGGAAAGAGAATCACTAAGCTCTCACTCGTGGACGAATGAGCATGCTCATTGGACCACTCCGTCACAATCGAAATTCGAAAAATCTAAATCCAAATAAAGTACTTCTCGACGATGACACGCGCAGAGCGCTTGACGGTCTTGGTTCGGACGCGACCCATTTTGTCGGTGTTTTAGAGCAAAAATTCGAAAACCGAATTTAACTGTCCTCGTTTCCCTGGAAGTTTAGATTTAGAAAGTTAGATATAAAGGGTTGTATGGAGGGCTAGATTTAGAAAGTGATGGTTGCACGGAGGCGAGAGAGTCTCTAGGTACGAGAAACGACTTATCATACTAATGGTATACGTAGATCTCATTCGATTTCAGAGGATCTCGGTGACTGGAAGAAATAGTCAGTTCAGTTGTAGATCCTGGTCGTCCGGTATCTTTCTTGGAAAATTTTGAATCTGATCTAAATCTTATTCAGAGTCTGATCAAACATAGACGCAACATCTTTAGAAGGATCGCTTTCCGGCTTCTAGAACCGGCATCGGTGGTTGAAGACATCCGAGTACGAAAATTTTCGACGTCAACATCCTCGATTTTCAAATCTGATCATCACTTAGTTAGTCCTCTATTCTTCGTAGGAAATGGCTCTGAACTCGAGGTTGATCTTCAATGATATTCCGTCCTGCAGCTGTGGTCATCTCAGGAGTAAAAGATCTCCTAATATTCTAAGGATCGTAAAGGTCGGAATTTCCTGATTTAGATTTGCTTTTTTGAACGTGCTAATCCGAGCACGTCGTTTTTTTCAGAATTTACAAGGAGAAGAACGAGAAATACATCCACCGCATGTTTTCCCGGAAATACCACTCTACTAGGGTCGAATCTCGAGCTTGTGAAGTTTCGCAGATAGTTGTTATTCTGGAGCTATATTTCTGAAATGGAAATAGAAACAAATCTTACAGCATCCTAGAGTCACACGGAACGGTACTGCTCCTTCGCTTATAAAAATGATTTGATACACATTGGGAGAAAGATGCCGGTTAACGAAACGCATTTTGAACATCCCGTGCACAAGCGGTTTGTCCATATCTATATGTCCCCAACAAGCTATTCTCAAGTTTTAGAAAAACTCCACCTATTACTCAGTTTGAGTCATGCTGAATCACTAGTTTTCCTTGATCCGCCCCCGCCGGACGAAAACGAGCTAATCACTCCGCATTTTTCCGTGGCATAGACGAAGATGAATTAAACAAAACGTATTCGCCATCGTTATGGAAATACGTAGATGATATGACTTGCTCTCTTCTTCTGAGCAGTTCCTCTGAATCCCTCTTTCGATCGAGCTGTCCATAATCTTCTAAGAAGATTTTCTAAAAAGTGTATTTCTGCGGCTTCGGAGCGCGCACCGACGCTTGCCAATGCAGATCAAGACCAGCTGTGACGTTCTGGATCCTGTGCTCGATCGACTAGTCTTACTTATCTAGATTGACCACGCGCCACGGATGAGCGCGAAGGCGGACGACGGGCTGTCAGGCGTTCGTCCCAAAATCCTTTCTGATCTGGTTAAGCCGCTACCTATGGAATGGCAGGAGTCTCACATCATAGTCTCAAGTACACGCTCTATTCCGGAGACTAAACAACAGCCAGGACACAGAAGTGCCTAGAGATTGTGATGTCACCGAACCTTCACCAAACTCCGGTAAACGTCATTCTAAATCTTTCGGCATACCATGTCATTCTAAATCGTTCGGCATATCATCTGTGAACGATTGAGAGTAATCCGGTCCTCTGACCCGCACCATGCCCTGGTCCTCTGACCCACCATTTGTTGTCCTCGCTGATTTATACAAATGTGGCGCTTCTCTCCGTTCAGATGTCGCCGCTCCATCTCCCCAAGTTGTGACTTTGGAGGATTTTGAGACCAGCAGGATCTGCCACCACTCTACAACAATTTCGAAATATTAGACCAGCAAACCATGCAACAAGAGTCGTCATTCGCAGTCGCAGAAAAAAGATGACCCTCAGGATGTCGAGGTGTGGTCGTAAGCGTAGGCTTCGAGTTTTTGGCAGCTCTTGTACACAAATGGGTTCTTCCCGATGTCAATGATGGATCATAGAAATGGCCATCGATTGTTGCAATCGGTAGTGCCGTCGGTAAACAGCGCCATCCGTCACAAAACCAAGAGCCACTACTTTTTGCATTATCTTCACCGGCTGTACGAAGGCCACGCTTAATATCCGTCAGCGCCGTCTGATCTAAAACGAGCTTCTCTCTGCTAGTATCTTGCCATTTTCCTTGGGCGTGGATCTTGTCAAGCTTTCTCCCCAATGCCAAAAATGATTCGTTGTCTTCCACTAAAACCTCCATTATTTTTTCGCTTTCCTCCACAAAATTCAAACCGCCCTCAGCTTGTTTTACCTTTTTTCCTCCTGCTCCGAGAGGACTGCGACATCCTTGTTGTGGCTCCTTTCTAGTAGGAACTATTTCTTGTACATCCCAGTTCTTCTCGCTATTTTTATCTTCCTTCTTCGGAAACAACGATGACTCACTATCGTCGCTCCACTCAGAACCAGCCACAGCAAGCAGTGAAGACGAAGGCGTATGAGGATCTTCCATCGAAGACACTACTGCTGTTTCTGTGCTCTCTAGCCAAGAAAAAAATGCCATTGTCCCAGCTAGGCAGCAATCCCGCATCAGTTTCTCATACTCGTCCTCGAGCAAATTCAAGGCATTCGACGGAAGAGGTGGGAGATGCGCTGGCCTCCCAAGAAGTGTTTCTTTTTGTACTTCGTCACTACTGTTACTTCTCTTCAGATTGCCCACGGACCAGAGTGCATTTTCTTCTTCGTTACCATGTTCGTCACCACCCATGCTTGTGCAATTCCTCGTCACTTGTTGAAGTTGACCGCCAGGGGGCTTTTCTTTACTAGTCTGTGTCCCAGCAAGCTCAACAAACACTATTTTTCTATCATCAGCTGCATCTTCTATTTCTTCCTCTCCTCCTAATGATAGTACCGAAGTCCTATCAGGCGGCCTGCTCGTTTTCACCAGTTCGTTTTGACACCAGCCAGCAGTATACGGCAAGGAGCAATTGCAGTATGGAATCTTTCTTGGTGACCCGACTGATCCTTCGTCATCCAATCGTTGCTCTCCGTCTTCAAAGGGAATGTCTGTGTGGTATTCGTTTCTTACCTGCAGTCGTCCTTGTCCAATATCTTCAAACAGATTTTCATCTATTTGTTGTTCGTTTACCGTAAGAAGCTTCTGTACCTCATCTACGTCTACGCGTTGGTTCCTAGAGGTCGTAGTTGTATCCTCAGTATCTTGTTTCGCATCAGGAAGCTGTTGCGCGTGGACAGCATGTTGCACTTGTTCCGCTTTGAGTTTAGGAAATCGCTCATCCGAAGGCCATCCTGCCAACCAGCCTTCGCGTTGTTGACTAGCGCCGGACACGACCTGTGATTGTTGTTTGGCATCTGGAAGCTGAGTCCCTCGCAAAGCAGACACTTGTTCCGCCTGGAGCAGCTTAGGACGCGGTTGTTTTTCATCATGCCATCCTGCCACCCACCCTTGACGTCGTGGTGTGGCACCGGCTGCGGCTACCGCCTGATAAACTAACAGGAGCAATCTCGCAATGCCGATAAAGCGTAACGCGGCGCCCGCCATATTTGATTTCATCTCTCTGAACAACGAAACGCTTTCATCCGAAAAACAAAACTTCAAAAACTGCTAGCTGCACTTCTTTAAGGAGCTACTTATAATTAGACTACATCATGAGTTCTATATCAACATTTCAACAGCGATAAATGTCAACTACATCATTTCTCCATCCTCAGGTTTTTAGATGCTCTCTCGACAACATGCTCAGATGAGGAAATTGTTATAGTCCGCTCACGGTCCTCACGCACACGCTCCTTGCTGTTGTACAAACATCAAGAACAAGAAGAGTTAAAATTTAGAGCTAAACCAGACGCATTACCGCGGCTACGACTAGCAGTCGCATTTTTACCCGGTCTACTTTTGAATTTCTTCCAACTGATTTTCTTGAAACAAGAACCTTCATCGCGATATGCATGATTTGATTTCGCTCAAAATAATCGGGTTTGATAGGGTTTGCCACAAGTTAAGAAATGAGAAATTTCAAGTCCGTCTCCATCGTGTGATGAACTTTTGTTAGAAGTCGTCTTTTCGGGATAAAAATTTCGAGTTGTTTGAAAGTTCAGCGCTGTTTGAAAATGCTATGGTCAACAGTGGTCTCCACATCTTCTCCCTTGTGTCAACAGTGGTCTCCGTATATAATTGTGTCAACAGTGGTCTCCACATCTTTACTCTTGCACCACTAGTTGTCTCCCTTGTCACCATCCGCCTTTGTATTGTCCTTTGTTCGGAGGTGGCCACCCGCCATCGACCTTCGAATATAATTACGAGGAAGGTATTTTTAGGTTGATGTTGATGTAAATGGGATCACAGGTCCATTTTTTCGAAGATGATTGACTCCATAAAGTAGAGGATCACTCAACGATCATAGAAAGAAATCTTCTAGTGGCAATTATGAACCTACTTCTAGCACAGCGGACACTCTCATTACCCTTTTCCCTCCTCCATGAGGCGGCGGTCCTCCTTTCTGATAAGGCACAGAGTAATGCGTGGGAGGTTCCCATGGTCTCGAGTAGTCTTCCCAGTACATGCTATTAGTACCACGTTGAGGTAGACCATTATACCAGCATGGCGGTCCGCCAGGTCCACCAGGTGGCCCTGCTGCTGAAGGACTCCCTTTCCTGTGCTGTCCAAAGGCAGGACTGCCAAAAGGGCTCGAATTCGGCGACACGTTATGGTCTTTGCCGCTATGGGGCGAATGATGGGGTGGGGGAAGTGCCGCATGAGGATGTTGACCTTGCCCTTTAGGAGGAGCTCCTCCCAGTGGTGGCCCTGCTCCTGCGTTTGCCTTTGCTCCTCCACGACGTCCACCTGGACTAGGATTGCTACGTGCTGGTGAAGAAGTACCACTTTGTTGACCTGCTCCTCCAGAAGAACCGAGGTTCAATTGATGTCCACCTCCTCCAGGACCTCCGGCAACAGGTGAATTCTTCCCCGCAGGGTGATGAAGTTGTTGCTGATGGTAGCCTTCGACGTACATCAACGAAGGACCTGAGGACTGTGGTTTTGGTTCTCTAAAATCAATGTCGACTGGTCCGCGAGTACTCGGAAGAGCGCCGCCAGATGTAGCTCCCTTCAACATCTGTTGTTGACCACCAGGAGCTAGCCTCGGAGATGATACCGGCGAGCCGCCCGTTGTACCTCCTCCTAAAATGCAGCCGCCTCGGGAAGACGTACAAGATGGCTGGAAAGGTTAGAGGCGTGGTCGGGAATTCATCTTCTACTCAGGTATGATCATCTGGGAGGTCCCTTTTTCCTCTTGTCTTTCTCTCAGATGACTCGTCATTTGGAGATGATGAATTCAAAAAAAAAAACACAACATCCGCCATAAAAAGACACAACAACACCTCTACTACCGGTACTACTCGCACCACCTGACGTGATGTAACTAGCCAAAGCAGCCTGCGTTGCAGAGCCACTGCGGCCTTTGCTCGACAATGGCGAGACGTGTGCTGAGCTGGGGATGGACGAGGGCTGGTGCATTGGAGGACTTCTAGAAAGGTGCTTTCCCTTGACAGACAACTTCATCGAGTTGTTTGCTTCAACGAGTATGACAGCCCCTGCTGGAGCGCCAGAACTGGATTTCTGTAGATTAGGAAGATCATGTACAACTAATCCTCCGGATGAAGATGAAACTCCTGCTGCCCTAGGTGTAGTTCTTCTCGAGCCTCCTCCAGGATCTCGCTCTGCTCCACCTCTCTCCATCCGTTCGTCTCTTCTACTTCGACCAGAATTAGCGCTGTCCGTAATTCATCTTTCAAGTGCATCCTTGTCCTTGAAACGTGTGAAGGAGTATCCTAAGGATACTTCTCCTCCATACGTTTCAAGGATGCGTCCAAAGATGTATTTAAGGTACAGGAGCCTTAACAGAAGTAGTAGGAGCGTTACCACCTCTACTAGAAGTATGTGTATGGCCTCCAGCTCGACTCCTGCTCGCGCTACTGCTAGAAGTACCACCCGCCCCAGATTGGTGATGCGATGATCTTGAATATTCTTTCTCAGGAGCACCACCGCCTGATCTCCTACTTGCTTGTGCTCTGCCTCGATCTCGAACATCTGCGCCACCTCGTTGTACATCTACGTCTCTCCCACCAGAACCCCTGTAGTAATCCTCCTCAGACGAAAAAGCCTCTGAAGGAGGCCTGGATGGAATCCCGTCTATCGACTCAGACACTTTTCGTGAAGGACAGCTGCTCGGAGGTGCATTAGTCTTTGTGCTGTATCCAGGTATGAGAGTACTGCTTGAGGACGTTCCTGTCGTCGTGTAAGCACCATCGCTAGAAGTAGATCTCGTCGCTTGCTCTGCTGCAGTTGTAGTAGCACTTGCTCTGTTCTCTGCTAGAAAAAGCGCATTTTTCCCTGAGGATCCTGTAGTTAGAACGAAGAGAAATCCATCCGGAGACGCATCTTCCGAGGACCTTTTTCCCCTTGAAAAGTAGAACGGTCATCTCAGGATGCAGCCTGCGAAGAAGATGAATTTTTTCTAGCCTTAATGTAGATGTAGTAGTTCCACCGCGTTTACTTCCATGATGTGGTTCAGATTTCGTCTTGCCTTGTTTCCGAGAACTAGGATTTTTCCCGACGTAAAACAATTCCACGTCATCATCGTCGTCGTTGTGGCTATGTACTGTCAGGTCACTTTCCTCCCCCCCAGTCGTGTCGGCTCCTCCGCGCAAACGCTTCCTAGTATTGGCAGAAACTATAGTACCACTTGTTTCTCCTGCTTGTGCTTGAAGGGACGATGAAGAACTACCTGAGACCACAGAACCTCCTGTCATATTAGTCTGTTGCTGAGAAGCATTGTACTCTTCTTGTCTTCTCTTAACTTTCGCAAGCCTTTCCTTGAGTTCTATCATCTTCTCAGCACTGATACTAGGAGTGACTGGGGGCCCCGGGACAGATCCTGTAGTTCCGGATGATGCTGCAAGTACAGAAGTTGTTGACGTGGTCATGTTATTTGTTGTTCCTCCTATCACGCCTGGTGCTCCACTACCAGATACACTTTGATGTGTTGCGCCCGCTCCTCCTCCTGGAATGACTTTCTTATTCATGATACTTGGAAACAAAGTTGTCGTAACAGCACTTGGTGTTGGACCTCCTTGTTCACTAGATGAAGAGACATAATTTCCCCCAGCTGTTCCTGCATTTATCCCCGCTGCATTCATTGTTCCACCAGCGCCCGGCTCCCTATAATAGTACAACGAGTTATACGAGCTAGTTGTACCATTCGACGCCGCATTCCCAGATACAACAGGCGGACTTTCTCGTCTGCGCAACACCGTCTTCGTCTTCTTCACTTTCTTTGGCGGAGGGTGGTCGGATGAAGGGTAGTGTGGCTCCTCACGTACCGACGATGATGCCTCACCTGAAGATGAGCTCGCACGACCAGTGGCTCCTCCGGCTCCTTCGTCGTTACTTCCAGTCAGGTCAGGTCTACATCTTGTCTCAAGTAGAACTACCCCGTTTCTTGACGAGCTTGAAGATGAACAAGATGCCTGTTGTTTGTGGTCGCCATCTACAAGAAGAGGTTCAAGTAGCTGGCCAACTCCTACTCCTCCAATAGTGGTAGTTCTTTCTGAGTCTTCTACTGGTGCTATTCTTCTCCGTTTGTTCTCGCTCTTCGATCGTGCACCACTGGTCTGTTGACCATGAAGATCTCGTCCAGCAGGTAGTTCGTCGGAGCTGATATCATCTCTACTTCCTGCAGCATCATCTTCACTTTGAATACCACCTCCAGCCCCACCAAATGCGGTTCCGCCTACTCCTGCGCTACTTCTTTTGTTTCTCGCACTGTTGCCTCCAGCACTGTTGCCTCCAACTTGGTTTTCGGCGCCAGAAGAGGATGGTGTACCACTGGAAGCGATACTAGATTGGACTTTGTTCCTCTGACGTGCTGCAGCTAGCTTTTCTCTCAGAAAGTCCATGTATTTTTGATCCTGCTCTCTCGGACTCATGGCTGCTGCTGCACCTACGACCGCACTTCCATTTCCACTTCCACTAGTACCAGGTGGTAGAGGTACACCCAGATGAGAATTGTAATTCATCACTCCACTTTGCGGTATGAACAATGCTGGCGCTTCATCAGGGCTGCTAGCTGCTGGTGAGGAATTAACACCAGCGTCCTGGTGTCTATTATTTGAACCAAGAACTTCTTGTACTACGGAAGATGTTGAGGGTCGTGTAACAGAAGCAGGGACAACTGCGAGTTCTGAGGAGGATGAGGAAGAGCCAGAGGCTGAAGATTCGCCTGAGGAGGAGTTCTGTTCCTGGTCCGGAAGACTTGTAGCAGCTCCTCCCGTTGAGACTGGTGCAGCTGCTCCAACTGTGGATGAAGATGATTTCTCCTTTGAAGAAGTTGTTGTGCTAGAACTACTGGCACTCACTCCTGTAGCGAGTTTAGCAGGACTTTCGTTCAGTTGAGCTTTTTTCGCCGCCAGCTGTTGTCTCAACACTGCCATTTTCTGCTTGTTGAGAGTAGTCTTAGAGCTCATCTCCGCAATAGTCGTAGTTGAGCCTGTGGCCTTTGGTGTCTGTGAGTGAGACGACTTCGGAGTCGTTGTCGAAGTACAACTAGTTGTTCCAGACCCTACCAGCCTCATTGCGCCGCTACCCACAAGAGGACCCGCTGCAGCTGCACTAGTACTACCAGGTGGCGGAGGCAAAGGGTTGTCAAGTGCATTGCTCCATCGATTAAAATATTGACCTTTGACAAGCACGAAGTCAGTCGCGACAGAATCGTAGCAAGCTGTCTGAGGGTTTAGAGGAACGCCGCACCTCAAGACAGGCCTTCCCTGTTCGTCTACTGCGTCGCCTGGAATTGAAATCGCTCCCCCACTGGGACCTCCAAATGCCGCGTGGCCGGTCGTGATGATTCTGTTTTTGTGTTGAGAGTATACTAATTATATCAATATTTCGCGGTGAGGCAATAAATTGGAAAACTCTACGTCAAATAAATACACGTCTCTTTCATCAGACAGCTAGTACTTATGCCAAAATACTATTAAGTAGTCATTCCCCCGTATTAATAACAAATTCAAGTAGTTGTACGGCCTCTGTCGCTCCGGCATTTTTAATGTGAATCGGTTCGCACTGGAAGCTGGCTGCTTGGCCGCATCCCCATCACGCGCCAAAGCGACTATCTTAGCCACATAGTCTGCTGAGAAAAACGGATGGCTAGCAGTTGCCGACGTCCTCTTCGGCGAAAGTGATTTCGAACTCTTGCGCGTTACAGGACCTGTAGTTGCTGGTGCAGTGGTTGTTGTTGGCTTAGCTGTAGCCGCGCCTGCAATTGTAGCAGGAGCAGCGGTCGTTGTCGGAGCACCTCCTCCCGTTGTTGCAGCTGAAGTTCCAGCTGCAGGATGCGTACTGGCTCCTGCGGTAGTTGCAGCAACTCCAAGTGGCGCACTGACTGCTGCTCCCGCTGCCGCTACACAAGCAGGCGATGTTGTGGATGATGAGGATTTGTTAGTCGAGCCTGCCACATTTGCAGCAGCAGCAGTAGTACTACTCGGAGTCGCAGCTTGGTCCGTTCGAGTAGTAGAAGTTGTTGCCGTAGGCACTCCTCCATGTTGTTGTATCAGATTTGCTGAGATAACTCCCAACTTCTGCAGATCCACGATGCTCTCTTCCTTCCATGGGAGCTGTGCCAGATGTTGGGCAAGAAGCGCTTTTGGTCTTTGGGGGAAAACTAGTCGCGCACAAATCATCTGACAAAAATGCCACAACTCCATATATCCAAATCTTTCGGCTTCCTCCTCTCGCACGAGTAGATTCTGTATGCCTCGACCGTAAGCGGAACACCACCTTGAAGTTAAAGCAATGGAAAGATGAACAAGTAGAAGCTAGTAGGATCAAATTATAGGGGAATCGATGAGAAAAGATGTACAGTCAAAGAATGTATCGCGATCTTCTTGTTATTATAAGTATTCCCTAGCTAGAAATAAATAATACTCTGCCCACGCTCTTCTAGCAGCCAGCGACTCACGGCAGAGTCGCTTTGTGAGATAGCAGAGAACGGCATGGTTCACAAACCGCAGATTCTCAATCCAACGGCATAGAGCAAGACTGCCTTCAATTAACGATGTCGCGTTTATGATTTGCTGCATGATGATCATTCTACTTTTGCTGCCATGATCCTTCTACGTCTGCTGAAGAATGAAGATGGTGTTTTTATTTTCAGTCCTGATCCCTTTCTCTACCTCGCCCTCGAACAACCAGAAAAAACTTGGTTGAAAACGCTGCAGCATCGTTGTGTCGTCATCTTCTTGGCTCGTGCGTTCATATCATGTATATCATGTTGTTGCTTGTGGTCGATGCTAGTAGAAGTAAAAGAAGTTTTTAGAAGTCGCTGTTTGTCGCTGTGGCACGCCGCGGGGAAGATAGAAGTTGCTCTTGGAATTCTTGTTGCTGGTTATCATGAGGATACACGTTGCGGCAGGTAATCTCTGATCAGGAGGTCCTCTTGTCGCTGAGTCGCAAAATCTGAGTCATGTGGACGTTTGGGGCGCCATTCTTTGCTACCTTAGTTTTGGGACAAATAGTGAGGGTCGTTGTGGGTATTAACGGTAATCTAGTAATGCGACGTTGGAGTACAACTACTAGTAGGTACAACTTCGGGACGACGCGTCAAGATGAAAGGCAAGAACCATATTAATCACGACCGCATCGAGAGTCCGACTTAGATAAACATCTTCCTCGCTGTTGCACCCGTGAAACACAATACTCAAGGAAGCAGCTGATTCAAGACATAATAACCACTGTTGTATCAAGACGTGTCACATTCGTGAAAGTTCATCTTGTTCCTCGGTTGAAATTTCTGAAAGTCGTGTTGAACAAAAACTCAAATTTTTCTATCACATGGTGTCCTCTGCAACACTTGTTCTAGACAGCAATTCAATTCAAGGTTCGACTTCGGCGGCCCTCAGGATGGGCTTTTGTGGCCGTGTCGTCGATTCAAAAGAATTTTTCTCATGATCTTCAACACAAGTCGGTCTGAATCGTTGTCAGTCGCAGTCCTGTGTTTCTTATTTTCCTTGTCGCCGAGGATCAATGTAATTCTTGTTCTTGATTCCTTGACAAGAGAGAATGTATTATTTTCTTGTTTTCATCTAGAAATCATCTTCTCCATCTTCAGGGATTTTTTTTTGGTCATTCAAAAAGAAAAGTGCCTTTTCGCTCCGTATGTCGATCAACATGCAAAATATTTTCTCAAACGAATCAAAGATTAAGCTGCACCTTATCAGCGTCGAGGATAGGCGGGATACTAAAACAGAAAATAAAAAAAGCCCAAAGTAGAACAAGTGATGTGTCATGATCTCGGAGATTTACCATTTACAGACGAGAACTACAGATTTTAAGATCCTCAAAAAAGAATTTCCTACATATTAATGCAAACCATAGTAGTTTTAGTCTGATGTATTGTTCGCATATCCATATGGTGTTAAATCATAATGAAGGACACTAAAAACCTTGACCTTGACGGCGTTAGCGACCTAGAAGGAAATAATTTTCAAAATTATGAGTCCAGGTCGACCTCTTCTAGCGTATATGAAAGCAGACGTCGCAATTATCAAAATGTCTTGCAAGACGTCGCAATTGGTTTGGCCATTTTATCAGACACGAAAATAAATCATGGATTAAAGAAATTCGGTCGGATGCGGATGGAATCCCCATCCCGCCAGACAGTAGTTTAACAGAATAACAAAAATCTATATTTAAAGACTCTTTGATGTAACTGAAGAATATTTTCTCACATAAAAATAAAGACCTTTCTGTTAATGACTGTATGAGGGATATGTAGTTTTTCTACCTTCAAATTTCATAGCAACATAAAGTTCTGATGTTTTCTCTGTTCTTTTTACTAGCTGCAAGACGAGCGTTATCGACACGAACTACGTCACCTTAGACAAGTACGAATACAAACCCATGCTGAATCTATCTTTTCACCATTCTGATATTCTCATATTTGTAGTCTTCATAACCTCGTGGAAATATCGTTCACTTTGGCGCCAGCCTGGCCGCGAGTCGAGCTGCCTGCGAGAGCGTACTTGCCTCGAGTTTTCTCGTAAGCTCCAGTGTATGAAAGTAGTTCTTGTGTTCAGATGGTGGTGAGGAGGTTATTCTGACGGTGATTCAAAATGCAAATGCGTTCGAATGATCTAATTCTAAGCAACAAGATTTTTCACTTTGAGGACTTATAATTGGCAAGGATAACAAAAACAACTGATGTCTTCGTCAAACAAGCTAATAATAGCAGTGCACTCACAACATAAGGTGGCGGCACACGTTGCAGCTTTGGTGGCGATATACTCTTTTCGCGGAGGAAACTCTGTAGATTTCGCCAGTCATCGCGCTGACGCTCCCAACTATGTGGTGCTAGCACACGAGCGGGAGAAGAATGTCTTCGCACTGGTAATTCTTCCTTTCGAGAAGTTTGAACATGTGCTGCTGGCTGAAGCACTAGAGGGGTCGTCGTTGTATGTTGAGGATGTTGATGTTGACCTGGTTCATCTCCTGGTGCAACGACATCTTCAAGACCTTCAGCAAGCGGAGACGAAAGAGCAGCTGCAATCCTATCTTCAATTCCAGGTGCAGAGAAGCCAATTGGCGGTATCATGCCAGTGGTAGCACCTTTGGCTGGTCTCTCGTCCGAAGAAAACAGCAGCGATGGATCTCTGTATGCAGCTCTCGCAGGCTCTTGCAGGTAGCTCTCCCTCAAGGATCCAAAAGAGTGACGAGATGGCATAGAACTAGCACGTGGTCTTACCTCATGATCAGTAATATCAGTATTCTCCTTGTTCTTGTGCCTGGCGTTGATAGAACCTGGTAGAAGTGGAGGTGATGCTGATGGAGAAGAGATGGCCGGACGAGATGAAGTTGTTGTGCTGGCGGCGTTTAATAGTGGCTCTTCTTCAAGTTCAACCGCCTCTTTATTTCCGGTTATATTTTCAACATCCTGCGGCGAAGATACTTTTTTTAGTACTACAGTTGACGAAGACGGAAAGCGGATGCTCTCTTCCTGCGCCGTGGCTGGAGACTGTGACTTTTCATTTGTGTTCTTCTGTTCAAACGGCGGTTGGTAAAACCGTGAGCGCATACTTGATGCTGTTGCTGGGAATAAGAGCGCACCAGCACCTCCCAAAAAGTGATGGATATTAGGCAATTTTTGGGTTGATGGTGAAGATGTTGACTCGTCTACTGGTAGAGCTAGAGGTACTGATGCAACGTCACTATTTTTCACTCGTCCTGGCTGCAGTAGTTCTACTTCCGCGGCTCTGTTCTCTTTAGAAATAGCCGCTTGTTCGTGGTCCCTTGTGAGTTCAGCTGTAGCTGCGCCGGTATTTATTTCTGACGATGCCCCCAATAGCACCAAGCTATCCCCTGACGAGGGACCACTCTTAGAAAGAAGTCCCAAGTTGGACGCTGTCTGACCCGGAAGTTGCTGCATCAGACTTCCCATTGTCGTGCCCGGCGACAGCATCAGGCTCTCCCCACTGTGTTGGAGACCGGCAGATAGTAGCAAGCTATCCGCACTAATACCAGCTGTGGACTCTAGTAGAGGAGTTTTGTTCATCGTAGTGCCAGGTAAGAGTAGCGCATTAGCAGTCGTACCAGGTGGTAGCATAGCAGCATCGGCGTTTATGCCTGGTGGTAGCATAGCAGCATCGGCGTTTATGCCTGGTGGTAGCATAGCAGCATCGGCGTTTATGCCTGGTGGCAGTAGAGCGGCATCGGCGTTTGAGCCAGGTGGCAGCAGAGCGGCATCGGCGTTTGAGCCAGGTGGTAACATCGTCAGCTCGGCTGTCCTACCAGGTGGTAGCATCGGAGCATCGGCGTTTGAGCCAGGTGGTAACATGGCAGCGTCAGTATTCGTACCAGGTGGTAGCAGTGCTTCTCCAACGTTTGAGCCGGGTGGCAGTAGAGGAGCGTCGGGCGTTGAGCCGGGTGGCAGCAGAGAAACATCGGCGTTTGAGCCGGGTGGAAGTAGAGCAGCGTCGGCCGTTGAGCCGGCCGGCAACATTGGTTGGTTAGCGGTGGAGCCAGGTGGTAAGAGACCTCTGTTGGCCGTCGTGCCATTAGGTAACATCGTGAGGTCCGCTGTCGCACCAGCAGGCAACAACATACGCGCACCTGCATTCGAACCCGGTGGTAAGAGAGCAGTCGACGATGGACCTACTTTACCGAACAGCTGCTCTTGAAGCTGCGCGTACTGCGAAGATGCGTCGAGTCCTGACGAAGGAGCTTCGATCGAAGGAGCCGTGCCAGCCACAGCTTGACCAACAGAAGATGCAGATGGTGTAGTTTTTACAGATGTTGTTGTTGGTGTAGTGACAGATTCAGAGGTTGTCTCCGGCTCAACGGAAACTGAAGAGCCATTCTTCTTCGTGTTGTTCTCTTCCACCTGTTCGACGACAGTTGTAGCACCACTAGTTCTTGTAGCACTACTCTTAGCACATCCAGAAGTTGTAAAACCCGACGCATGGTTTGTCTTTGAAGCTTGAGCTTCGGCGGGTTCTGCCGTTTTACTACCAGGTGATGTAAAAAACAGAAGCCGTTCTAGCCAGCTACGACGTCCTCCCGTGAGCTCCTGCGCTCCGATCACTGCCGCTTCATTAGAAGACACGGTAAGTTCCGGTGTGACAGGATTCCTCACAGATTCTGATACCGACGGAGCTGGCTGATTGTCGGATACTGCAGAATTTTGCCGCTGTTCTGGCAGTGCATTTTGCTGTTCTGATACTTCATCTGCACTTTGCTGGTCGGCTGCTACTGCCTCCCCCTGACCGCTGCTTTGATGATCTTCTTCACCTGATCCCCCGTTCGACTGTTGAGTCGGAGCGGCCGGTTCTTGAGTACAACTAGATGCAGGAGTAGCTGCTTCAGAGAACTGAGCTGCCGGATCTACATTTGGTGTTGTTACTTGAACAGATGACAGGGCCCCCAGTGCGGCACCATCATCATTGTCATTTGGGTCTTGTTGCACTGGCTGGTCTTCACTTGTTCCACCCACAGGAGCGTTGCTTTTTTCTTGCTGCTGCTGCGTACTAAGGTTAGCTTCTGCGGCATGTGTAGCTGCATCGTCTGGCACAGCAGCATTTTCATGATGAACCTCTGTGGTGCTGCCTGTGTCAGTACTACTCGTTGTAGTTTTACCACCGGCACCTCCACTTCCAGCACTCTCTTCTTTCTTGATGTCCTCCTGACCTCCGCCTGCCGTTTTTTCATCTTGACCCCGCTGACTTTGTTTTCTTTGCAATCGATACATGGCTGTGCCTTGTTCATTCCGAGTTTCGTAGTCGTGCGTATCAATGGCGGGGTCTTGCACTTGCTCACCATCAACATCAAGGTCATCTTCTTTTGTTCTTAAAGATCCATCATGATCTCCATCACTACCACCTTCGTCACTGCTTGCTGCAGGAGCGCGCAATTGCCGAACGCGCACAGACGAGCGGGGGCGCATGGGCATTGCACGATCACGCAGCATAAAGCCTCCTGTGAGCAACGGCCCCATACGCCATCCAAAAGGCCAAACTCTGTTCGATGAAACGTCACCGGAGGAGTTAGAGTTACTAAATTTTAAGCAGATATTTTACGGTAGCACTACAACTACTTGCATTACTAAATTTTGAGCACCTCCAGATGCAGTTGCACCACTATGTTGAATAGTATTTTCGACAGCCGCGCATGATCCATTCTATTTCTAGCGAATGTAAATACGCAGAACAACAAGAACTACTAGTAACAGCCATCTCTTCTTTTTGCCATAAAAACGCGAGTATCCCAGTGTTGTTGCGAAGTTGCCTCCGGCTCCGATGATGGAGCTGCAGGTATGACCACCATGCCATCGGTCGGGTCGACTAAGATGGCTTGTTTATGCGTCTCATTGTCATCTCCTTCTCCAATCCTCAGTTGCTCTTGTGAAGAAGATGGCTTCTGCTCGTTAATTGCTGGTTGAATTTCGCGGGATGTAGTTGCAGTTGGTGGCTCGACGAGCAAGGAAGAAGTGTCAGCGGGCGAGCTGGAATCTTGGCCTGCGTGTTTTCCTGTTTGATCATCTCCCCCTTTCGCCGCGCATTCTGCCATGATGACTGCTCCAGCATCTGTTACGGCCGCTCCTCCAGCCTTCGCGCAACTCGCAGCAGCAGCAGCACCGGTACCTTCCGTTGTAACGCGACCACTAGAATTCGCATCTGCACCTCCACTCTGATTTTTAGCAGTACTATCTCCAGATGCAGCAGGAGGCTGCGCATCAGGTTTCGCTTTCGCACAGCTTTGCTCGCCGATGAAAGTCTTCATCTCCTTTGCTGTATCCCTATAATCATCTCCGATTTCTAGATCATCCAAATAACACGGCGAACTACTACGCAATCGAGCCATGTCTTCTATGTCAGTAGCTTCGATAGAAGATGCATCTTCTATCGGAAGATCTAGTGTGACCTTGTGTTGTTGTTCCTGGCTAGATGAAGAACCTCCTCCTGGATCACGCATGGCAGAAGTAGAGCCGCCTTCTTGTTGACCAAATTCCAAAAAAAAAGTTGCATCATCATCCACAGGCGAAGTCGTACCTAGTGCGCGATCTTCATCCTGTTGTAGTAGTTCTGTTGTCGTCTGTATCTTTTGCGTTGTTGTGCTAGTGGTCCTTGGCTCAACAGAACTACCATCCTCGTCCACCCCATTGTAGTTCCCATTCGCCTCATCCGTACTGTCCGAAACCACCAGGGCAGAGAGACGACTGTTGGAGCCAAACCTTGTTGAGATTGCAGCTGACAGACTTGCTGTACCAGGTGGTGCTTTTCCCATCGGTGGAACCCAAGCGCCTCTGCTACTCAGCGATGTTCGTTCTTTCGAGGAGGAACTTCCATAGTCGTTGTAGTCGTTGTTTCCATTGCTTTCATGCGGTGGTGGTTCATCATCTGTTTCTGTACCACCAGCAGAAAGAGGATTGTTCAATACAACACTTCCAGCATGTAGTTCATCATGATGTCCTAGAAGATGCTGACCTACATCTAAATCTTCTTCTGTTGCACCCAAAGTAGGCGGATGATCTCGCTTATCTTGTCCTGGTGCAAGCATCCGAGGTAAAGGAGGCACCCTGCCAGGAGCCTTGATGTTCTGCTTTTTTTGATGATCGCGATTTCTTGACGATGTAGGCTTCGAGCTACGACTGGATGATCTTCGTAGAGGTTCTAACGAAAAAGCCGGTAGTTGCTCCTCCACGACTCGTCCTCTTAGATGTTGTTGTTGTTGTTCTACTCCATCCGTTGCTTCATCAGAAGAAGTAGACTTGTTCTTGGAACTGGTCTTTTTGCCACTTCCTTTCGTTGTTCCACGAGCAGACGTGCTTCGCTTTCCTCGAGTAGTACCATTCTGTACACTGGCCGCGTCCAATGTGGTTACACTCCCAGAGTGGAGGTCACCAGAATTGCCACCTTGACTCCCGTCTTGACTGTGCTCCTCATCCCCGCTCTCGTCTTGAACACTAGAGCGGCTCACGTCTAGGCTTAGAAAAGCGCGAGGCGGGAATGGGAAACTATAGTACTCCTGTGAGGACAATAAAGTACTTATTAGCCCCTCTGTAGTCGTGTATCTTCAACCACCAGATCATAAACGGAGTCCATTAATAGTAGATATAACAACTAGTTGATATTCGTTGATGTTCAAATATCAACATCACAACGTAGTCTTTAACAAAACTGCAGCCACCAAGTCATAACATCGCACTTGCAGAGAGAGGACCGCCGAACATGCTGCGTCGTCGAGGACTGCGCAACCCATTGCGGCTGGTGGCTTCATCGCCTTCGGAGGCAAATAGGTTTTGTTCGAGAAAGCCATCTGCATTACGACTGCGGATGTCAAAACTCCCACCTCCACCCGTTCCCCGATTCAATTTGGAAGAGGACACTTGGGGTTGTTGTCCCGCCGCATTGTTTCCTCCGGCAAGCACGCTCGATAGCAATTCCCGCACTACGTATCCGAGAACGAAGCAGCCGAGACACAAGAGTAGCAGCAACCCGCCATAGTTTCGAATCACATGTCTGCAGTCGGAGGAGGCTGCAAACGGGCCGCCCTTAGAATAGCTATGAACACTGCTAGGGCTCTTGTGCAGTCGGCTTTTGGCGGATGACTGACGACTGACCTGCGAATGGCGACTCGCCTCCTCATCCGAACTCACTTGCAAGCGTAAAGGACCTTTCTCACTACTTTCTGGGTCTAAGGGCGAAACTGGCGGCGAGTTTCTCTCGTCCTGGGGCTTTTTGGCTTCGGTAGGACCCGAAGATGAGGGCCTAGCATGTGAAGTAGAAGGTCTTTCGTTGTCGTCCATCATTTTTGCCTGATTTTTTTGTTAAGATATTTTCTTCGATAACTAGGAGAACAAAGCTGTGCTTATCTTTCATGCTACGCAAAGGGACAGTACACCCAGACATGAATCGTCTTTTTTACCGAGTGCACTCGGTCAGGCACTCATTCCCTCACCTCGCTTTTAGAGACCTCTTCATCTTCAACACCGCGCATTTTCTTCATCTTCAGACCGCTTTTAGAGGCCTCTTCATCTTCTTCGGAGGGAATCCGCCTCCGCGTCCGCAGTCGTGGAACAGAAGTAAATCCGCGATATGCCTGCCGTAGAGCATAAAAAGAAGCGTGCCTATAAAAATTGCCTGTCGTGATGCTTGTGGCACACCGTGATGACTCATTCTTGGAGGAAAAATTTCTTGTGTCGTGTCATAATCTTCTCTGGGGAAGGCAAAAATAGGTTTTTTTCAATTTTCTACTTTATCTCTGGGGGATTCAGATTCAGATTCAGATGGGGTCCTGCCTCAGCCCTGCGCATTGAGCACCGGATCAGCAGAAATTAAACTTGAGTCCCTTTGAAGGAGGATATCGAGGGGAGGGAGTCACAAATAAATTGCATGTCAGTGTCATGTGGGGCACGACGGGCAGTCAATCAATCAGGGCGCCTCTACAGGGCACCACCCTCCTTGCAGCTGCGACTGCCGCACCTCTACGTCCGTAAACGATATGAGCTTCTACTTCTGATAAATTCATTTTCAATATGTATGATGAGAGAGGACGTTGTAGACCACGTCGACCGCTTCCTACGTATGTCTTTGAGTCTTCTAAGACACGCGACGAAGGCAGGAATCCGACGCACCCCAGACTGCGTGTTGTAGTACGAAATAGTCCTAAAACGGGATGATCTTGACCGTGTCTACTTGTTAGAAGAAGATTCAAGAGTTATTTCACCACGCCATCAACAACATGACCATGAGTTAATTACGGAGAAAAAGAGACGTTAATTGTGAGATGTACTTAGCCAGTAATAAAATGACAGTAGACGTACTATGTTGATTAAGATGGTCAGAAACTCCTCAAGCTCAACATATGCTCCGCAGCTTCGATAATAAATATGGACCCCCACTGAACTCTTACTCCATCGATGAACTCCTGATTATACTAAAAAAATACGTGGCTCCAGGTCGTCCAGTGATGACAGCTGCATGGAAAATAAGTTCAAAAAAAGTGAAATTCCAGAAGCTGCGGCTGCAGCCCATTAATTTAGTATTATTTGTCGTGATGAACAACTCCCAGATGACCTAAAGGACCCCGCGTCCCTCAAAAATTTTAGGTTTTGCCGAAAACTAACATGGTAGTTCTAGCAAGTTCTGACACAAAAACTACAAGAGGACTTTCTTCTGCGAGCAAACAAGTTCTAGTACGTATAATTTTTCAATGAATTGGATTTGTTACCTCCCTTATTGTAGTTGTATAATCAAACATTCACCCGACTTGTACTTACAGGAGTGAAATGTGAGGAGAATGAAAAAAGACTTTGGCTCTATTGGCTATCGATCTACATCGACCTCCCTCCAGCGACCCTCCCTCCTCGTAGAGTCTAATACTTTATCTACAACTTACGATTTATAGCCTTTTTTTACACGTCTCACACGCGTTCTTCGCCTGTTGCTGCTCTGACTTCGAAGTAAATCTTCCAGAACATTGCATATGCAACAGCACTAGCCGAACTGTCGTACATAAGCTGATTAACAATGCAACCACGACGACAAGAGAAAGTTGGACACAATTTGATGTTTAGTATCTGAGAGGTATGAAGATCCATCAAAATCGTGTTTCAATGCGCTCCTGAGAAAAACACGTGGTGATGACGCAGCGGCAGCCTAACCCTTCTAGTACTATTCATGATCTCCCTCTCCCTTCATCCCGTAGGCTTCCACTACCTTTTCTTCTAGATAGTAGAGGATGATATCACAATTCATACCGCCAGCGAGCCATGGATAAACTAGCGGGATATGGCTAAGCTGGCAGGCTTGATATTTGAACTCATTATATTTAAGCTCCTCCTGCTTCTAGTACAAGAAATTATAGCTGTTTTGTTGAACTTTATCAAGTGCGCCGTCTGTCTTCTAAGAAAGATTAGTAATAGTATGCGGCGAAAGAACTACACATTCTTAGTTCTTAGTTGTTAGGTGAAGTGTTGTACAAGTTGTTGTGACAACAGCGGTTGCGGTAACATCACAAAATTTATCAAAAGACATACAATCAGAGAGTAGACCGAACGCGAACAGTTCTGATAATCTTATTTTTCGGAAAAATCGCTTACAAAAATCATCTCATCCCCCGCACAACCGATACTCTTTCTCCGTTAGTACCAGAACGCCAAGAGGAGTCGAAAAAAATTTTTACGAAACACGCTACGTGCTTCCAGTGTCACTTTTATATACTACGCCTGCCTGCACAGCTCTGTCAACCTACATTTGGGGCGAGTTGGAAAGGTTCATGAGGTTTTTGTTGAGACTTTTTTAATCTTCTACAAGAGGGACGTAGTCCAGAGGAAAGACACCAAGAGAAGCATCAAAAATTCATAAATTCAGTGAGTGATGATGTGGTATGATGAAGGAGAAAGAGCAATATATTTATAAAAACAACAAGAATCAGCACGGAGAACCCCAAGAGGACAACAATGAAAAGAATAAGTCCAGACAAAAATCAAGATTCAGATACTAATCATCATCCAATACCACATAAACACAAAACCACCAAAAAATTCTAATTACTCACTTCATGAAGAAGACAGCAGCGCAGCTATTCAAGGTGAAGATCCAACGACACGATAAAAACTCGTAGAACTTTTAACTAACATAAACACCAGGCTTATCCGCGGCACAGAGAACGTCCTACCTGACGATCAATTCGTCAACGTGCCACTAAAAACCCATCGGGTGTATAACTAACTAATCAGTTCCATACCTAGTTAATAATATGTAAGAAATTTTTCAACTATCAACTCCTTTAAGTCTCGTGAAAAAGTATCATCCTTCTCTTATATAGATATAAGACTTCCCTATATTCTTATCGCTTAAAAAACCCAAATCATTATGTACAGCACATGTTATCAATAGCGAAAGCTACCGACAAGGGAAATAAATCCCGGAGTTATGGTTGACTAATGCCAGGAGGTGCCGTAGTTCTTTCAGATGTAACTAATATGGTTCTTTTAGCTATGTTCTATAAATCCTATAACCCAAGACACAGTAGAGAAATACGATTAATTAGTACTACTTCGCGTTGAACTATAAGACACCCCTACTACCTTATGGAAAGGCTATGCTTTGTATGCTTGGAAAATTGTAAAGTTGAGTTTCCTTTTAACGAGTTTACCTCTTTCAAGTCCTTTCTTCTGCATGTTGGTTAAGTATGACAAAGTTGGAAGAGTCTTCCACCTACTTTCTTGCTTTGGTTTATCCCATCAAGCAGATCTCCTAGTCTGCATGAAAAAAGACAGTCGTGAAAATAGAATTGGACTTTCATCAAGCGCCAATCAACTCCGCACTCTGCTCCAATGCGGATTTGTCTGGCGACTCTCCCATCTTCTCGCCTTGATGCTCCTTCTTCTCTTTCTTTTCCTTCTTTTCTTTCTTCTCGAAGTATGAAGAAGTGGGGACGGTGGTGGTGATAATGTTGAGTTTTCCTATCTTCTTCTAGGTCACAAGCGTATTGCGTAAGCATCAATAGCGACATACGGGAAAGGGTAAGGGATCCTGTGATGCTTAAAAATCTCTTTTATTGCTTCTTTAAGGTACTTATAAGGGAAAAGGATCCTGTGATGCTTAAAAATCTGTTTTATTGCTACTTCTTTAACAGATGGGCGACTACATCTTCATTCATGGGATAATATTATTCATTCCGATTCCACCTTAATTTTTTCTCCTTCTTCTCACCAGACTTCTCTTTCTTTTCTTTCTTTTCCTTCTTCTTCTTCGCTAAAGTGTTGTTCACGTCTTTGCTGGCAGCTTGTGCGTCTTGTAGGAATCGATTCCTGGCGTCCCTAGCTTTCTTTTCTTCTTCGCGTTTCCTCTCTTCGCGTTCTCGCTGTTCCTCGGCTTGGCCTAGGAAGCAATCGGCGCTGATCCTATGGATCAAATACGCTACGTCGATGGCGGCTGGACAATAGAGGACGATGGACAGATTAGAGAAGCAGAAGGGAGGGAAATGGACAATAGAGGACGAAGGGAGCATGCAGGGTAATATAAATTATGGGATTGCATGAGCGGAGCTGAAGATACAAGAGGAAGTTTAAGTCACATTGTTTTTGTTGATTTGCATTGATCATTGACAGCGGTGAGGACCTCGTTTCAAAGTAGACTGACACGAGAATTACGGACTTCACGACGAGAATCCATCATTATGAACTATTTATATATTTTATGATTAATATTGTTCCAACGAAAGATTTAGATTTTCCGGAGCCATAATCAACGGCAATCTCCTCTGCCCTTTCTGCGAAAAGGCTTGTACCACTAGTTGCAGCAAGTTCCCTCGAGCGCCCCACCGCAATAGCCTCTCTTGACTGTCCTCGCCGTAACTAAATTTCCGGACAAAGTTGCTCCCCTTCTCCGTACTAACAAGACTGATCCCATCCAAAGTAATGGAGATCCAGAACTTGGCATTTGGATCCTTCTTGTTCACTATCAGCATGTCACTAGGCATGCGGCTCATCGCTCTATCGCTATCGGCAAGCTCTATCGTTTGCTCGCCTAGCCAGAAATAACCGCCATAGACGCGCAGAGATTGGAACTGGGTCATGAACCTGGATTCATTTTTAGCAGGTATAGGTTTAGGTGTGCGTTTACATGTTGATAATGAGCAGGAATTCGAGTTGTAAATAATCGAGTTGGATGTTGAATCTTAATACATCAGAGAAGTAAGACCTAGTAGTTGCAATTGATGTGTAAAAAACCTCCAGAAGATTGATAGTACCTGGACATGATTTCTATTGGCGGTTGTCTTCCGTAGTATTTGAAGGTCGAATCCCACTGTTGTTTTATCATTGCTGCCCAGTCCAAACCTTTTTGATAGTGCGCATCTGGGATCAGCCTTCTAAGGTCGTCTCCCGAGAACTCTCCAGTTTCTAGCTGTCTTTTCCAAGCATTCCTCTCTAAAAGGCAGACTGCGGCTGCACAAGCCGCTATCTGTTCTTCTTTCTCTGGTATTGGGTACTTCAGCCACTCTAATCGTGCCTGACGCGTCACTAGATGCGCATGCATGATGTCGGTGGGGGAGAGCAGCTCGGTCGGGAGTGTTAGAGGAGCTGGATGAATTTCGTTGCTGGTGAAGGACGACGAGAATATGAAAAATTGTCGAAAGTATAATTACTTATACGGCCTCTTGTGAGCAAACACAGACGGAGTAGAGCGAGGGAGATGAAAGGGATTATAGTTAGAGTCTGCTAGATTGATGCATCGCGGCCCCCTCATCTTGACCCCTTTTAGCTTGTATTTCATGAGAATACAAGGGAAAAAGGTACCGAGATTCCGAGAAAGATGGATAAAATAAGCTGACCGTAATATTATACTATAGTTTAAGTGTATCCTGCATCATAACTTCAAAAACCTCCTCTTCCACAACAGCTTGCTTTGTCTACGTGTAGCTTGGTAGAGCTTCTGCCACTTTCCAAGCAGATCCCAGACATTGACGTTCTCAGGTATCAGCCGATGTTGGTCTAGGCCCTCGGTGACCTGAAAGAACGAGAACTCTGCAGGATTCGTGCAGATTGACAGTTGGGCCGCTAGTTTGTCCGCCAATTCCTGGAGACCCATACTCTCTGGCACTTGAAACTTCCTAGTTGTGTCGTCCATCAAGGTGACGACTACGCCTTGCTTCTTCTGCTCGGTGGAGTCGCTGGAGCCGCTAGGGTTAGATGAGATGAAGGAAGCAGATGTGCTGGATCGTGTCGTAATATTTATAATATGTGCATGTTGTAGAGTCTGCTGTAGTAGTTGTTATGAGGATCATCTTTATTGAGATATAATTGTTCTACTTCTTGAAGATAAGGCTGGTTGCCATAATATCTGCTCCCACACCAACCTCGTACTTCTCGATGTGCTTGTAGCAATTCGACACCACGCTGAGGACTTCCACTAGTGTCTCGTCCCCCCTCGTTCGCAGCTTGTGCTTCATCAAGAAGGCACGGATGTATTCTAGCAGGTCTGCCGCTGGTTCCACGTACTGGCACATGAACTCCATCACCTTCCAGCCAAGGAGTTCAGACCTCTTATTGGGGTTGTTGTGGATTTGCTTCATCAGCTGGAGGTAGATCTCGGATCGGAGAATTGGTTCACCCTTGGCTTTGAAGACCTGTTGTAGAAGTAGAGTAAGTTAGTGTGAAGCTGAAGATCGATGGATGATCACGGTTTCAACGTCTCCATCGTGAAGTAGGTGAATCTCAGCAGTCCTCAGCACGCTGGGGTAATATATTAAGCTAAAGGTAGATCATGAAAGAGGAAAACTACATCTTCAAGCCGGATAGAACAAGAGAGAACAACAAAAACAAAATGAGATGAAACAGTGTAAGACTTACACTGTTTCTTATTTTGTAGTTCTCTCTTGTTCTATCCGGCTACTTAAAGTAGTACAATTGCATATGCCAAGGGCATCCTCTTAGCCTCGGTGACCGGCCTGTCGTTCATCCAACCTAGGATGTTCCTATGCACAGACGTCGCAGCTTGCCCATAGGTGTCTGGGACGATTGACAGGGGTCCTGGAAGCTTGCTGCGGGACCACGATAAGATCCCTCCAGCATCCATAGGATGGAATACGCGACCTGGAAGTGGATCATGGTGAGGTGAGAGGGTGTTTTGGATTGATGTACGACTGGATGATGAAGCTCTTCACATGTTGTATTGAACGAGAGAACGTGGTGCATAGATGCGGTGGTCAGAGTAGTTCAGCACAAAGAGAAAAAACAGAAGTGCTACAATACCATCTTCCAATCTGATCGTCTTCACGACCTTCGGATTGCAGATTGGGCACGTACTCAAATCGCCATACACAGATATTGCCGTCTCCAAGTCCCTCGTCGTCGCCTCCTTCCCAAACATCGTCCCTCGTCTGCCTTCCTTCTGTCTTATGGATTTTTCTATCTCTACTAGCACTTCCCTGTCTACGTCCATGCCCTTCGCTGCTCTTAGCAAGTTGGCGCAACGCTTCAGCTGTACCATCTTTTCCCGAGATTGCGGATCGAGCTTCTGAAACTCCGCGTGTGCTGCCACTAGTGACTCTTTGACGAAGACATCGGAATGTAGGTTTCTAAACACGTCTCTGGCTTCGCTCAGTTCCTCCGCGTCGATGCCATTGGAAACGGCTTGGTCCAAAAGTTGGCCTAACGACTTTAAGTCGAACTCTAATGCCGCATCTGCTAGTTTCTCTAAGATCTGATCCTGCTGTAAAGGCGTCATAGCGGTGACTGTCATGCTGCGACCACCTGACCTAGTAATCCGTCTAATCGTATTCCTGATCTTAGCTGCCTCATGCTCGTCACCAGCAGCCTCAGCTGCTTCCTTCTGCTTCTCGAGTTCGGTCCGCCTCCTCTGCTCTTCTTCGCCGCGCTTGCGCTCGGCTTCTTTCTTGGCATTTTCAAGTTCCTCTCGCCTAGCGACATCGACACGACCACAAACGTCGTCGTAGAGCTTCGAAACTGCGACGAAGACGTCCTGGACCGTCTCGTCGAGCCATTTCGATCTGGGGGAGGACGACGGGAGGAAGGATTGGATCATTATTAGTAGATGTTGAACAAGAATGCAGGAGCGTTAGTACAACATCATGATGGAGGACACAGAGCAAGAAAGACAGTTCTTGTACTACTAGCATCCTTTAGACAGGAGCAGAAGTACTTATCCATCCCCAACCCGCTCAATTGGCACGCTTCTACTATGTTCTTGACTGTCAATATCCTCCTATCGTCTTCGACGCCAATGGGTTCTGCGCAATTGACGTCTCGAAGTGCCTTTATCAACGGCACTTGTATAGCCATCTGCGAGGCTCGCCACTGCAATGCTTCGAGGTCTGCGTTTTTGATCTTCAATTTGGCCATTACAGCCATTGCCTGATCTAGTTCGACGAAATCCATGCACTTCTTTAGGCTGTCCATTCTGCCGAAAAGCTCCTTTTCTTGATTGATCTTGTTCAGAACCTCCTCGAATTTGCCTGTTGTGTGCATGGCATGAGGTACAAGAAGTTCAAGACTTAATTAGGATGCAAAGGAAAGAAAGAAGAAAAACAAGAGACGAAAAAATTTCTATTGGTGAGAGTTGGTTTACCAGCACAAGGTGGACTTAAGAAGACAAGATGAAGATCAAGATGATCAACAAAGCACCAGAGATGAACCAGTGAATAATCGTTTTATCAAACAAGTTAGTTGTTTACGGCAAACAGGCGGCACTGGATATGCTTTGTATGCTCTGGCCAGCAGCACATTCGCGGCATCGATCTGTTTCTGCACACCTTCTGCACCTCCAAACAACACCGTTGCATTCTGGTTCTCGCTGGCATATAGTGGGTACTTGCCAAGCCAGTCGATGATCTCCTTCTGGTACTGCTTGGAAAGCCTGAGTTGTTTCCTGACGCGATGTCCGCGAAAGACTCTCTGGATGATGGTCACGATACCGGTGTAAGCAAAGCGTCTGGCAGTGTCTAGTGCTCTTTGGGCGGCAGACTTGCAGAAAACCTTGCTCTTGCCAAGCTGAAAATCCGCGGCCTTGACGCGGGCTGTGATGTGTAACACTAAGAGTTAGGAGGTACTACTAGGTTGATTCATCTTTCTCGAGTTGTGACCACATCAAGAACAGGGAAGATGAAGAAGCATTTAAGGAAGTGATAGGGCAAGAATCCAAAAGACTTCTAGTAAAAAAGATTGGTCCAACCATCTCCCAGCAGCTCCGGCAATTTCTGGAACGCTATTCTCAGCGTCTCTGGTTCGCCTATTGCTTTTCCCGTTTTCGCTTCTAGTTCCTTCTTCAAATCCAGTGGTATCACGCACTGATACCTTCCCAGGAATTCCTTCACTGGCATCCGCAATGGATATCCCTGTTGCCGTATTTTGACTGCTTCCATCGCACCTGAGTAGATTAGCTGCTCATACACCATCTTGTTCGTGAATTTCGACGCTTGCTTCTCCGAGTTTGGCTTGATGCAGCGAATAAAATGCGGTTGGGAGACGTTGATGTTCTCCATCAATTTGGCTAGAGACTCCTTGAAGTTTATCGCAACAGTCTTCTTCTTGCCACCACCGCGACCACGGCCCGCAGTGGCCGCTTCCTCTGCTGTTTTCGTCATGTCGGTCCCGATAGCGTTGAGGATCAGGTTACTACTCCCGGTCAGAAGGTCTACCGCTTCAGCAGGAGGTGTATCCTGGTTCTTCATGAGCCAGTTGGTGCAGTTGTACTTGACTTCGCCGGCGTAGTGTTCTAAGGTGAATTCGACAGAGTCCGCGTGGCGCATGGGCTTATACCTCTTGTAGTTGCCCCCGCCCGTTGCGCCTTCACCAAACTGCTTGGTGCACTTGGCGACGTAGGTCTTGTCACTGGCCTTTGGCACACTAAGCTCTTGATCGAGGAGTGACATGAGGCCGGTTTTGCCCTGATAGAGTGATTGGAGAGGGAGGATTATCACTACTTTGTTGACGAGATGATGATGAATTTGATCATGGACAGGAGTTCTCTAGTATTCTACTTTATGCAGGAGTTCATCTGGTTCTTTCTGAGCTTTGTTCATGGACTACAAGTAGTATGACCACGAGAAGTTAGCAGCGAGTAGACTCAGGAGTAGGGTTAGTTAAATTAGACGCAGAAGATGAGTACCTGTATCAACTCCAAAATGTCTGCATTATCTGCGAAATTTATGTCGTCAATCGCGACGCCTTCAGCTTCGTAGTCCTTCATCTCCGTTTTGAATACGAAGGCATTGAAATGCTGTTGCAGGCACTCGTTCGACAGGTTGATACACAACTGTTCCCAGGAGTTGAACTCGAAATGCTCAAACCCAGCAATATCGAGGAGGCCTATTCTTCGGAATTCTTTGGAGTCGGCGGCTGAGGGATGCAGAAGGGCGGGGGGAGAACATGATTGATGAATTCGACCTCGTAGAGGTCCTCGTTTGATGAATTGATTGATGAATTCGATTAGTGATTCAGAAGTAGGGGTCCTCGTTTCAAGAATTGGAGTATCAACATCATCTCCACCAAGGAGGATTCTGGTGAAGTAGACTAGACATGTAGTAGAAGATCTTCTTCGACAGGAAAAGAAATGCAAGTCCCACCAGAGAATAGCAAGGCGTACAAGGAAGAATACCACTATCAGCCACCAGCGTGACATTGACTCTTTGTACTAGCCATCGGAACAAGCGTCCGTAAAAGAGTTTCATGAGCACATCTCTTGCTACGTGTGCTTTGCTTGATGGCTGTGGTGCGTGCGTCACGTCTTTACCCACTTGAAGACGCTTAAACGCTAGAGCCGAGAGCAAAGTCGATGCGCTCTCGAATCCGAAGCAAGCGGCTGCTTTATCACAGACGCTTTCATCCGTGATCTTACAGCCCTCACCACCATTGACTTCAGCGTCTTGGAATGAACAATTGCTCATGTGCATCAATCCTGCCACTATGTTGAATATGGCATCGCATTCCTCCTTCGACAAGCCGAGCTCTCTCTTAGACCTCCTTACATATATTCTTATTCATCTCCCAGTGCATCTTTGGCGTGTTCTCCCCTTAACAAAGGGGCCAAAGATGCTTCTTAAGATGAATTGTTGTGAGCCTTAACTCTAAGCGCGTTTTGTAGTTGCTCCCAGTCGTCGGCGTCGTTGATGTTGTCCGCATAAGCCGCCGCGTTTTTAAGGCAAGCGAAGTCCTTGACACTACATTGGTCAGGATCGATGTTGTATTTGCTGGAGTCGGAACCATAGAGAAGAGAGTAGAAGATGTGGTAATTTCTCTCCACAGGTGATTGGTCGATCACACGCGTGGTCTCGAGAAGGTAGTCGGTGATAGAGGCACCCATGATCGACAGGTTAGTGTCGAATTTGACCTGGTCGTGGAGATTTCTTCTTGATGAATTATCATGTTCTCTATTGTGGTAGATGGAGCACACGGAGCACACGGATGATCATGAATATAGCAATTGGAGATAGAAAGAAGACGTACGTCCGATTCAATGTTGAGCAAGTACCTCACACCATTTTCCGAATCGGGAACTGTTGTTATTCCGAGACGTCTTCGCGTTTCCAAACGCCTCCATCAGAGGATTGGTACTCAGAATCTTCGCCTCTATTCCTGCCCTACTTCCTGCGACCTCCGCGATGTACCCTAGGACTGTTTTTGTACTCTCGGTTTTGCCCGCACCTGACTCACCAGAGATCAGAATCGCTTGATCCGTGCCAGTGTCAAACAGGCCTTGTATTGCATTGGCGCCGATCTGATCATGTGGGGTGCGAGGATTAAGGGAGCGAGTGGGAGAACAAGATGGTGATAGATAAGAATAACAATGGGAAACATCCTCACAAGGGCGGATAGTTCTCGTATGAGATGATCTTAAGAATGTTGCGCATCAGCAGAAGTGGGTGCAAATTGCGAACTGATTGCTACGTGATTCATTCCACTGGGTAAATACGTCGAAGGCCGCGTCAATGTATGGCTTTGGTATTTGGTAACCTGAATTGGATCACAAGGATTCTCTTCTTGTTTTCCTTATGATCAAAATCAGGAGGTTATCAAATACCAGGCCCATTCAGTCAAAAGAACTCTACTAGACTGGAAGTACCGAGTATATATGCGGATCTAGTTCCGTTGTATCTGCTGCTTTGGCATATATGTCGACAATTTCGCTTGAATAGATGTTCAGCATCTGAAACGGGTTCACCGCAATCACAATACTGCTTACATTTGAATAGATTTCGTCGCGGGTATACCTCGGTTTCATTTCGACGGCTCCTCAACATGATGTGAATAGAAGAACTCGGGAACGGAATAATCTACAACTAATACTTGTGGTGGAGCCGACCTACCTAGAAAAAAGACAACTACAACTAATACTTTTAGGGGAGGGTGAAAACTAGCAGGTTCCGCTTACCTCTTCCGCAAAGTCTCCAGAATCGCTCCCGGGGATACCGTCTCCATAGAGACGATGTTGCCCACCCCAGATAAATGCTCATCGCTAACGATGTTAGAGCTGTCCGTAGTTCATCTTTCAAGTGCAGCATCCTTGAAAAGTTGTATGGGGCAGTAAGTATTCCCTTAGCAGGATACTCCTCGTCCATACATTGCAACATCAAGGATGCACCAGCGCCCAAAGATATTACGTTTCAAGGTAGTACAGCCTTAACGATGGACAGCGTTTCTGAAGCGGGTCTTTCGACGACGTCTCCATTGTCGCATTGGTACGTGATGGTGTCCTTTGTTTCCCCAGTAACGAAACCTGGTGCAAAAACCAGTTCCTTGTGAGGTACCCAAAATTTTTCGGACATTTTCGGTTCTCAGTCTCGGTTCTCAGCGTTGAAGAAGATGACCTGAATACACTGTGCGTGAGTGTTTCCCTAGAACTGGGATCGGAGAGACCGCTCGTCGACCCGCCGCGCAGCGCGCGCGCGCGAGAGAGCAACTTCTGCCGACCACTCCGGTGGTCTCCTTGCTTCGTTCCTCACGAAATCTCAAGGTCAAGGTCGTGGAACCACGACGACAACAAGGAAATAAACGGGCAAGAGCGATAGCGATTTTCCATTTTGTTGTAGCTTCATCGACATCGTTTAACTACCTCCCGGGCGATACTAAGCGGGCCCACGGACCCGCATTACCTTGTAGGATAGGACAAGAGTGGGCTCAGTTGTGACGGAGTGAGCGTATAGGCTCCTAGATATGCGGCCATCAGATGAACCGAAACATGCGCGAGCTGCATGTGATGACCGATACTCTTGCGAATCCCTGCATTCGTTATTCACTTTTCCTTGCTCTATTCCTACCCTGCCACCTTCTTCTATTAGTATTTCTTGTACTTCTTTGTGTGTAACCGTATAATTTGTACTTACTTAGTTTGTAGTTGATCTTCAAGTAGGTTTCTTTGGCGTGGACAAAGCAGGAGATCGGGTGCAGCGGCGTACAATAGTACCAAAAGCTACACGACCTACAGCCATCTTCAAGAAAGATTGCTTGCAGAGCACGCTCAGTTTTATAAGTCAAACTTTCCTCCACCTCCATGTCCATGGTAAGTGACCCTGAGAAGAACGCAAAAGCACACGATGGAACACTCTAGAAACACAATCCGGAGAAAGAGAAGCTGCTGTTTCTCACTTTTTTGTTCTCTTTTCATGTTTTGAATCCGTCTAAAGTTGACTGATGTTGCATCTTCGCTGATATATCATGGCCGAGTCGTTAATTACAACATCTGTTAAGTATGGCAATTGTGTTATGGCTTGTCTATGTCTAGAGACCTCTACATTTTTCATTACCTCCTATTGTGCTAGGTTCTAGATCAATAATTGTCAACTTGCATAATTTTGTTTCTCAGGAGTCTACTTTACAACTTGAAGATGTTCCATGTTGCAAGCTACGTGGTGACTGCATACTTCTATTCTCGGAATCAGCTGCTTATCCATCAGAGTGCTGCCAGGACTAAGGGACGAAGCTTTCTCGCATGTGGTTCCAGGTGTAGTTCAGTGCGACTTCATCAGCTTGTCCTAGATAAAATAAATTTTTCAATCAAAACAAGATCTACTCGTTGATTCTATTTGCGGATTTTTCTTCACTTTAATCACTCTCTGTGACAGACTGTGTAGTTGTATGTTCTTCTTCTTCGATCATGTAATTCTTGATTGGATAAAAAGTTCACTCATCATGTGTGTATAACGTCTACAATAATTTCATATCTTCTATTTTTAGTCAAATGATCCAAGATATGCTAGTGTAATTGATTAAATATAATAATATTGATAAAACCTCCATCAAGCTTCTATATATACAGTTCCCAAAAAGTGGTAGACAATGATTTTCACAACTTCCTATTCCGTTTTTGTTACATTTGTTTCGCTTAAGTAATTAAAACTACGTGTTCATCCGTTGAATAATTTCTATCTTGTTCACAGTATCGAGACTTCACCTTCGTTCTCCGTTGCGTTTGACGATCATGTGAGCCTACTGCTACTCTATTTTGATGTTGTTGGTTGGTACATTGCCAAAAATATGAGTCTAAACTAATTTTCAAGTTGATCAAAAGTTGCAAAACTAATCGACAGTAATTTATTCGTCCCAGTACTACCACCTGTATCTGCTTCTCATTTTTTATAAATACATATCTGCAGTTCTATCATTCCATGCGTCTATCCTTTGAATTTTGATGCTGTCTGATTGTTATTTCTAATTTTCTAGTATGATGCGTTTGGCTTTGGATTCATCACACTTGACCTATCATTCCTAACGGTTTGTAGTTGCTACAACGGCAATATTTCACGAAATATGATATCCTTGCGCAGACTCATGATCGATCCGTCTCCTGAGTCTCTGTTCTGCGTCCACCCTGCACGTCTGCTGCACTGAAGCAAAAGAAAATTTGATGGATCATTTGAGCGTTGATTAATATGCGTGAATATTATGTCAGAAAAAAACACTAGAAGATCGACGACCCAAGAACGATTTATGCATAGTATACATCTCATCCCCCGATGACAATGTGAAGACTTCGAATTGTGAGTTTAATCAAGGACATTTGAGGTTACTGATTCCTGTTCCAGGAACATCTTTTGCGTTAAATCGTTAAACAAAAAAACCGATCCAGCCTGATCGCTCCACTATGATCTCCTGCTGGGTGTAAACTTATAAAAAGGAAAAAGACATATGACAAGAAGAGTTACCAGAGAGTTACGACCAAATGAAAAATGCTTTCAAGATGTACAGAAGAAAATTAATGAATATTATGTTGCGTTTGTTCAGTGTTAGGAGTACGTTTGCGTTGTAAGGGTAATGTAAAAGGAACTAAGTAATAAATAGAAAACTAATATCATGCACATGCGCGTGAGTGTGTATTTCATCAAGTTGTGCTGTAAGTATAGTGAGTAAAAAATATGGATGCAGCTGATGCTCCGAGAGCTGCTTCACCATCTCCAGCTCTCGCGTAGACAGCTTAATAAGGTTAAGCGCTATGAATGTAAAAGTAAATGTAATTACACTACTAGTGGAAGCCTTGAAAATTATGACTTCATCTAGTCTAATCTACGTATCACCATCACTATCTATTCATCCTAATCTATCACTACCAGAGATAGAAGTTCTGCTAATTATTCCTTTTTCTTTTTGTCCTTTTTCTCTTTTTTGTCCTTTTTCTCTTTCTTGTCGTCTTTCTTTTCTTTCTTGTCCTTTTTGCTGTCGCCTCCGCCGTCGTCGCCGTCGCGCTCGTCTTTCCTGTCCTTTCGGTCGTCCTTGTTCTTCTTTTTCGCGTCCTTCTTGCTCTTACCGCCAACTTCCTCAACCGCTTTGTCCATCAGTTTGCAGATATCGTCCGCCGCATCCGAAGCAATCACCATGTACACGTCGCCCTGGGGAATGTTCAAAGCGATGGAAATCTTGTCCCGGTTCACAGCCCAGTCGCGGATCTTGTGCTTGTGCGTCTCCGCGAAGCCGAACTTGGCCAGTTCCTTACCATCTCGGTTGTCGAAGAGGGTCACATCAGTGCAGGCAACGGCGAAGAGCATTTCCTTCGCACCGAGATCAGTGATGGTTTCGACCTTACCGGAACTAGCGAGGCCATCGAGACCCTCAGGCTTGCTGCCGACCTTCTGAGTGCACTTCCACTGCCTGGTGGCGAAACCTGGTGGATGAAATTGGTGTGCGAGGTGCTGGAGTTGTGACTCATGTTTTTTCATCTTCGTTTCGTTCGATGAAATCAATGAAATTGTGGTAAAAGTTCGTCTAGATGACAAAGTTCACAGACGAATAATAACTGAGACAAGTCGCCGCCATCCTTTATATTCCAAAGCCCAAACTTTTCCCAATGGCCCAAATATTTCCCAGAGCCCAAACTTTTCCCAATGGCTCAAACCTTTCCCAAAGCCCGAACTTTTTCCAGAGCCCAAACTTTCTCCAAAAGCCCAAACTTTTCCCAGAAGCTTAAACTTTTCCCAAAGGCTCAAACCTCTTCCAAAAGCTCAAACTTTTTCCAAAACCACAGCCACCATCACAACGAACCACAGCCACAACGAACCGCGTCCGCACTTACAGCCACAGCCACACTTACACCACCACACCCACTCAAACCACCACACCCACTCACACCCACCTACACCACCACACCCACTCGCACCTCCACCACACCACCGCACCCACGCACACCCACCACCACACCCACACCCACGCACACCACCACACCCACTCACACCACCACACCCACACACGCCCACCCATGGGCGGGCCTTTCTACCCACAGCCCCACCCAGTTCCACCCGCGTACGGGTTTGCCCGCCCACAAACGTGCCGGACGCGCTTGTATCAAAGGCCTAACGACATGGCCGGCGACTTGTAATTAGATAGAGGCAAGGAAATAGAAAAGACACGACGCGCACAAGAAGATGTGAAAGAGAAAAGAATAAATCGCAAGCAAAAGCAATCCTTGTTGTAGAAGTTCTTCATCTAAGTTGTACGTAGTACTTCTAGAGTAGATGACGTCGTACCTTTCAATGATTGATGCGCTTTCAATACGCGCGAGACCCTTTCGAGTTTTGGTTGCTCTTCTAGTTTTTTCCAGTCATTGTCGTACGCCGCTTGGACCATCTTCACCCAGTGTCCGGCCCCTCGGTTCTTCACAAACAATTCCGGGACCAACGTTGGAATAGAGGCTTCGGAGATATCCGGACTTCCTGAGTCGCCTCTCCAGAAGAACGCTGAGCTAGCAGCGACCTTCGCAATTTTCTCCTCGTCTTCGGGGACTGTGAACTCGACGAATTCTTGGCAGACCTGACCGACTAGCATGTCGTTGTAGGGCATGTCGCTGGACTGGATTTTTTCTTTAGGTCTCACGAAGCGCTTCTTGAAGATCATCTTGCCCTTGGCTACCTTCGCGACAGAGGCTTCTTCGGGGGGGACTTCGTCGTTGTTCATAGCGAAGACGGAAAAATGCTCTGCGTCGGTTTGGACACTTATAGCACTTTGAACTTTTTTCAGGAGCTCCTTCATCGTGGATTTGCCACCTATTTTTATCACAGTCGGTTTCTTGATCTCCTTCTCTAAGGTCCAATCGTAAGTCTCCGCAGTGTAAACCTCAACCTTCATCTCCTCGCCGCCGCCACCTAGAACAAGAAGAAATGGAAAGACAAAGATCTACTTCAATCATCAAGTGGAGGTTGAAAAAATGACCACAAACGCAACAGAAATGGGACCACTGTGTGTACTAGCATTGGCGTTAGGAACAACGAACATTAATTTACCAATACCATTACCAGTAGCAGTTCTTGTACAACCTGCTACCACTTCTAGTAGACCTAGTACCCAAAAGAACAAACAACAAAATCAGGAAGCCGTCTTCCGGAACCGATTACTAAGAAAGTATTTCATAAATAGAGATCTTCTACCTGCATCGCCGCCGCCTCCTCCATCACCATCTGCCTTAGCCCATTGCGCAAGGCATTCCTGGCACTGCTTCACCACGTTAGCGATTTCCTTTGAGTGATCGTCGCTGCACCCTCTGTACTCAAACTCGTACTTCACCAGAAAGGCGTCAATGTACTGCTTGAAGTCCGGCAATGGTTGCGCCAACTTGCACATGAAAACCATCAGTTTCCAGCCTAAAAGTCGGCTTCTTTGACCAGGATTGTTGTTGATTTGCTTCATCACTTGGGCATACATCTCTGTACAAAGCTCGTCACGTTGGTCCCTGGTTTCGTATTTGGATTGCGAACATGGACAGGGGAATCAGGAAGATGAATAGGTTTAATAGCAGAGCAGTTTATAAGGTTTCACTGCTCGCATGGCATGGAGTGCATGGATCACATGGAGTAGCATGGAGCTAAAGGGGGAGCTTCTTGCGCCCCTTAAGGCTCTGCGCTCCATGCACTCCATGCTACTCCATGCTACTCCATGCACCATGCGAGCTGTGAAACCTTATAAACTGCTCTGCTATTCATCTTCCTGTTTCCCCTGCACTCTACTACTCTGTAATAGGTTGTTTCGGTTTCAAGAAGAAGTTGATTACACAACTTGTTGTTGAGTGCTGGAAACTTGAAGTTGAGATTATTTGATGACGTTGAATGAAGGCTTGTGATATATTATAATCGTGGATTGAAGATCATGTTGAAGCACCACGTTATGTACTTATTAGGGATGGCTCGATATAATTGTTGATTGTTGAAGCACGTTATGTACTTACTTATTAGGGTTTACCTCGCTTTCCACACAATTGCATAGGCCAGTGGAGCTCGTCGTTTTTCATCCACTGGGTGATCCGTCATCCAACCCAAAATGTTCCTGTACGCTGACAAGGCTGTTTGTGCTTGTTTCTGTTGGTTGCTTCCTTGAATTATGGTCAAGGTTCCCGCCAACTTGTTCTTGGACCATGATAATGCACCCTCTTTCTCCATAGGCATGACCTTGGTGCCGTCGTCGGTGTAAATGGGCTTAACAACAGCTGGATTGATACCCGGAAATTTCGAGAAGTCGCCGAATAAGTCGAGGAGATTCCTCTTATCCGCGTCCCCAGCGCCAAAGGAGCCGCCGTTGGCGTGCTTCTTGATGGCCTGATCCGCTTTCTCGAGCAAACCAGCGTCGACGCCAGCGGATTTACCTGGTTGGAGGTTAATAAAGCAGGTCCTTCAGTTCTGCTGCTATTGCTATTTAAGTTTGAGTCTATAAAAATGTTGCTGCTTAAGCTTAATTTCAACATCAACAACAACAATTTAGATGAAGATATTATAATTGCATGAGCATGACTTTACTATTTTAAAAATTTCAATTTAGAAGATATCATAATTGCCTGACTTTATTATACTAGTTGTACCAGTATTCAATAGTTTCGTGCACTTGGCTATGAGTGGTCCCTTATCTGAGCCGCCCGCTTGTGACAGTGCCTTCATAGTCTTAGCCAATTCCTCGGAAACGTAGTCCGGGTCGTGGAACTTGGCCAAGATTGCTCTCTGTGCAGTGACGTCAACGCCAGCCTTAATAGCAGCCTCTATCAGTTTCTCAGCTTTCTCCTGATCAAACTCGCCCAACGCTTTGTCAATCTGAAATTCATTTTTTTGAGGTGGACGATGTAGTTGTGGTGGACGAGGGGTAGTTGTTGTTGAGTAATTGCGATGTTGTGGGACGACGAGTGAGGCGTGGTGACGAGTCTGGGGTTGTTGTTGTTGCTACAAAAATTTTGAACATGAAAATGAAGAATGGTCTGCATCATGTAGGTGGCTAACAAGTACTAGAAACCTCAACGAGGAACCATAAATATCTTCTAAAAAAAAATCTTGATCTTCTAAACTTTACCTCCTGCTGTTCTGGTGATCCCGCCCCGCCTGCTGGAGCAGCAGCAGCTGCGTCTCCTGCGGCTTCCAAGGCAGCGAGTTTGGCTGTGTCACCCTTCGCGCGTGCCTCTTCGAATTCCTTTTTTAGACCTCACTTATATTCATCGCGAAAGGAATCTTTGACGCGTTTCCCAATCAAAAAAAAAAAGAAGTCAAAGACGCCACGTTTTAAGATGAATTAGAATTTTTACTGTAACAAGCCATAACTTCTCCAACTTCTTCATACGTTCTTCGATATCTCCGATGATCTTGTCGTCAATTGAGAGCGCCTTCAGTTGGCCCAATGCCTTCTCCAATGCCATTACATCCGTAATCTTAGTCAAGTCCCCAAACTCCTTGTAGATCGCAGCCTCCTTCTGGAGCTTGGTATCTGTTTGATGTAGATGAATTGGCGGTGGGTATTGGATATTGGATGTGGAGAGTGTAATTTAAAAAGGGTGGAGGGTTGTTGAAGTGGTTGTGGTACACCTACTGTCAGCACCCACTGAAAAAGATGAAAATTTGAGATGTATGGTTCTGGTATTTGGTAACCTGAATTCGATCACAAGGGTTCTCTTTTTGTTTTCCCTTATAATCAAATTCAGGTTATACCAAATACCAGGACCATTCAATTTGACTTTGAGAGTGTACTATAGTAATACTCAAATCCGTGATTTTTTTGTCTGCGATTTTGACGAAGGTGATCTTTTCTGCTTCTATCATGCAGTCACCCAATTCCTTTGCCTTCGCTTCCATCGTTGCCGTGGTCTTCATTATTGTAAACGCCGACGTATTCGGTCCTTGATAACACGGAAATTCCGCAAGGAATTTGGTGAATATCTTCTTCAGTTCCTTCGCCCGCTTCATTTTCTTTCGCACTGCATAACCTCGATACATCTTCTGAATAATAATAGCTTTGGCGATCTTGGCATAACGGGCCTTATCCTCGAGAATAGAAAGGCCCTTCATTCGGATCATCACCTTGTTGTTACCCATCTGGAAGTCAATCTTCAACTCGGGATGCCCAAACCCTTGAGCAAGACCTTCAAGGAGAGCTTTCACCAAACCTTTATCCGGATTCTGTTTTGATGTAGGAGGCGATCATACAGAGGTGTTGAAGAAAGTTGATTAAAATTTTATTTTAATATGTAGTTGGGATGAAAAGATAATTTTTTTCGAAACCTATTTTATGTAGTTGGGATGAAAAGATAATTTTTTTAGACCAAGCAATGGTTTCTAAAAAACTTCTAGTCGCTCCTTCTATAGTTGTTGAGCACGAGTTGTATAGTGATGAATTCGCAAAAAATGATTTTTTTTTGTGCTCTCCCAGACGTATAAGTATATGATCTATAAATATAAATATTCATATATTTAAGTTTAAGTACTTTGGTCGCTAGTTTTTTCCCGCTGGACTTTTCTGCAGCGCTTCGGACTTCAGCAGGAATGCAGCAACGATATTTTTTTACGAATTCTTCGGGACTAGCACGATACGGGTAACCCTGTCGACGGATCTTCACGAGTTCCATCACACCAGAATAGGTCAGCTGTTCCAACACTTTCTTCTTGGTGAAGATAGCTGGCTTCTTGGCATCATTGGGCTTGATGCAACGCACGAAGTGAGGATCCGCACTGTGGATCTTCTCCTTCATTAGAACAAGAACTACATCTAATATGAAGTTGAAGAGCTTCAAGAAACCACTTCATATTAAGAGCATCAAGTGGTCCACGACTTGATGCTCTTAATATAAAAGTCCAATCCAACATCTTATAGATACACAGTCGTGAGCACCATCCTGGTAGTTTCTTTCCGTTCTTTTCCCTTGTTGTGACCTGGAGAAATACGAACGGGACCAATTATAGCAATATGAATATGCCCCCAGGGAACAACAAGATCTAATAATAAGTGGTCAAGATGTATTTACTGTTGCCTTAACATCAACGTTTTCAGAGAAGCACGGAACGCCTGAGACACTGTCTTCTTGCTTGCTTTTCCTTCTTCTGCGATGCCATCAGCGATTTCCTTGAGGAGAGGGTTGCCAGTCGTACAAAGCACATCAGATTAGAGCAAGTCGTACAAAGCACCATGATTCTAGTTCATTTCTATCTAAACTTAGGTTCATTTTATATTTATTTCTCGCTTTCCGTTTCCTTCGGAGAGGAATCAGCGAGAAGCCTGCGCATTTGTTCTACTCCCAATTATGCCAATCCTATAGGAAGAAAACTAAAAACTACATCTTCAACGAGCAGGGAGAAATGTATTAACTACTGAGTGAACGTTGTTCTCCTTGTTGAAGTAGAAATGAATTCTTGACAATAATTGTATTTTTATTTATATTGTTGAGCCTTAATCAGTAGCTTCTGCTGGAGGCTCATCCTTGTTCTTATCATTCACCCACAGGTCCGTGTTATACGTGACGTAACCAGCGTAGTGCAAGAGAGTGAATTCGGTCTTGCCAAATTTATCGGGAGTGTACCTAGAAAGAGATCGGATATAAAACTCCGAACCCAGGATGAGATCGGACACTTCTGTACTAAGCATCAGACCGCGAAGGCCGCGAACAACAAGTTTAATTAACAGTCGCAGTAGAATAGGAGCAGAAGTTGTGCTGAACATATTTTCGAATCATATACTAGATTGAAGAGAGCAACTACTAACGACCCAATAGTTCTTGAAGTCGTGATGTGCTGCAGGAAGAGTTTATTCATCAACTCCAATTACTGCGTCGAATAGTAGTACCATTTATTTTTGGAATCTTTCATGGCTTTGTTTAGCGCATCGATGAATTTCTTGTCTGCTTTGGCGTTTTCGGCTGGGATACCTTTGGATTGATCATCGCAAATCGACATGATACTGTTTTTGGCTCCACCAATTGTCTCTAGAATCTCCATGTTATCCGCGAAGGTGATATCTTCGCATGGCACACCTTCCGCTTTGTATTAGAAGATGTAAAACGCGCTTCTACAACTCATCTACTTGATACGACCTCAACATCTTCTTGGTACGACCACGACCCTTGATGTTGATGACAAATAAAATTTTAAAATAAAGCTCGTATAATTCGAAAATGACTACTACTGAAAATAATAAGAACCTCTAGACTTTTATTTCAACACAACCGTCCATAATTGTAATCCTGCAACTCGCGTTTAAAGATGTAGTCGTTGAAGTGCTGCTGCAAGCTCTCGTTGGACAAGTTAATAGTGATCTGTTCCCACGTGTTGAAGGGAAAGGACTCAAAACCAGCGATATCCAATAGACCGATTTCCGTACCGGATGCGCCTCCACCCGAAATGTTAGACTTTATTAAATAAATTGATTCATCATCTTCATCTTGAGATGAAAGGCATCTTCCTTGGATTCGTTTGCCGCTTGAAAACGAGAGCCTCAGAACTACATGATCCCTGACTTACAAATATACTTCCTACTGGAAAAAGAGTCAGGGATCGATCTTACTGAAGGAATTTGTAGTAATCAATGAGTGGGTGAAGCCTTAAAAATGACTTTGTTCAGAAACGCGATGATCCAAGTGAAGACACGCGAATACATTAGCGTGCACAAACCGTCTCGTGAGTTGGTTGCGTCCGTTGGCTTTAGGGATTTGACAGTGATGTCCTTGCCGATCTTTAGTTTCTTGGAGATACAAGCTTGTTCCAACACCTTCGCATCGACCTTGAGGGCCGCCGCGGCCTCCTCCATACCCTTCTCGGCTTTTGAGGTATCATTTCCGCCATCCTTGAAGACGATGTTACCACACAGAAGGACGCCAGCCATGATCTCTAAAAACGCCGTTTGCTGCTCTTCTGGCATTGTACAGTCGTTTAACGCGTGCAAAACTTCTTTATACTCCGCAACATCGTCGAAACCATCGGCTTTGGGTGCACCAAAAATTAGAAGAGAGAGATAAATGATGAGGATGATGTTCGTGTTAGTTACTCCACTACCCAGGACATAAGTATGTAGGTAAAAGTAAATGAAAAGCAAATATAGATGAACTTGACTATGAACGGTTCCGGTATTTGGTAGCCTGAATTTGATCACAAGGGTTCACTTCTTGCTTTCCCTTATGATCAAATTCAGGTTACCAAATACCGGAAGCAATACACTCTAGTAATGAAAATGAACTACTCTACATCCAAAACTATATCAGAGCTAAATCAAATTTCTTTTGCTAGTGATGTTATCGTCAACATGTTCTACTTCATGCCATAAGTTTTTGCAAAAGAGCGCATTTGCCGCGTCCGTGGGAACCTTGTACTTTGCCGCATCACCGTACATAAGCATGTAGAAAATATGGAAATTTCGTTCCAGAGAGGACTGGTTCAAATTAGACCTTGTTGCCTAAAATCATCTTCTCGATCAACATCAACATCTTGTCCGGGGGGCCCTTTTAGTTTTACTTCGCTTCAAAATAATGTTGGGGCCAAGATCATGTTGCTGCTGGGAGAGATAGATGGATTTTCTCAACAAGCGGCCGTAATCAAAACACGAGATTTTTCCAAAAGGTAATCCACGACGCCTGCCCCTGCGATCGAGCCCTTTGCATCGAAGAACAGCTGCGTCCACTTACCGAAACGTGAGGAGTTATTATTACGGGAGGTTTTCGCGTTCCCCAGGGATTCCAAGATCGGGTTACACTGCATAATACGGTCTTGGACGCCACCAGTTCCTCCTGCACACTTTAGACCACCTTCTTGCAGAATAAATCCATCTCGGTCGGCCGCGTGAGCATCTTCATCTAAGTACAACTTCGAGTAGAAAACGTTTTGCTTTTGTACTTGTAGATGTAGTTCCATTAAAAAAACAGGAAGAACAAGTCAAGAAGATGCTTAGGTGACACAACAAGATGGATTTCTTCAGCACGCCTTAAACAGTCCGCGAAGAACCCGAGCAAGATCTTACAGGCCTCGGTTTTTCCTGCACCTGATTCACCGGAAATGAGGATGGCCTGATTTCGCTTTTCACCCACACAACCGTCCAACGCCCACTTACCAATGGCGTAGGCGTGGGGCTCCAATTCGCCTCTTAGAAGAGGAGCGAGCTCAACAAAAATATTAGTTCTCACAACTTCTTGAGTCTTCGTGCATTTCTTGCGATCCACCTCCACCTAAGAAGGTGGAAACTTCTAACCGCAGCAAGAAATGTTGTCCTTGACCTAAAGAGAAAAAGAAATCTAAATCAATTGTGTATGATGTATTGAATGTCCTTGACCTAAAGAGAAAAAGAAATCTAAATCAATTGTGTATGATGTATTGAATGTCCTTGACTTATATAGAAAAAGAAATCTAAATCAATTGTGTATGATGTATTGAGACGTAAGTGAGGATCGGCGGATTTGGCGTATTTCGCGATGTTTTCGGCTGTTTCCAGACCTAACCGCTGGAACGGGTTGCAGGAGACAATAATTAGAGATTCTCGTCAACTATTTACTATCTTCATCTTCAAGTGCATCCTTGGCGTGTTCTCCTTCCCTTAACAAGAATGGGCGCAAGAAAGCCAGTAAAGGTGCTTCTGTTTAACAAGATGAAGAACAATCCGATTGTTCTTGTGAAGTACTTATGTGAGCGGCCTTAAGATAATGGTGTCGACGAAGGTATACATCTTGTTCGACTTCATGTACCGATCGGAGAGCGTCTGTAGCACAGCTGCATTCGTTACGTTCTTAATCGACGTGGCATCTGGATTCCCAGCAAAGTGATCATCCTCAACATCAGCTACCTCTTTGACCTGATTTGTTTATATTTTCACTTCTGGGAAAAAAAAGATTTTTGTGTTCTTCTTCTTCAGTCTAGTTCTTCGCTCTAGTACTACCAAGAAACTTTGAATCGCCATCAACCAACACTAAACTGTTCTACACCTATTTCATGAAATAATGTGAATCGTTCTTACTAGAAGACAACAATATTACAATACAAGACAACTTATCTCGCTGCACAAAGTTCAGGGCAGACTGGCTACTGGCGTCATAGAGTTACGTCACGATGAAGCCTCACGCAGGGTTATACTAATGAAAATTCTAATTACCTCGTCCGGCGTGAGGTTGAGTTCTCCAAATTCCGCGGATTTGAAGACCCTCATTTTTGTGACACCCTTGATGTCCTTCTTGTCTACCGTCTTTCCCGTGTCCTCCGCCAACACGTACCCCTCTTCGGGGTGAGGCACCCATTGCTTCGTCGCCATCTCGTAGTTGTTTCTCCTTTTTATTTAACCTTTCTTCAGAGAGAAGACGATAAGTCTTGTTCAAAGACGAAAAGTCTTCAAACAAGGAGGTCCTCTGTTGAGCAAGACGAGAATGATAAAAAAGATGGAATTTTCAGATGACCATGGAACAAGAATTAATATTGAGGCAAGAAATATTTAGCACTATTATACATAGATTAGTAGTTGCAGCTAAATATAGAGAGGAGGTTGTAGTTGCAATATTAAGAGGGACAACTCAACCGAGGAAGAACTTACCACAACAGGGGCAACATCAACTACATGAAGGATAGCATCACTCTTCAAGATAATTCTAGAATATAATCCTTGCATCCACAAGGATTCACTAGAATTGAAGACATGTTTTGTGCGTTTCACATAGAGGGGATGGGCAAAATAGGAAGAGGTAAAGCTCACAAATATGACTGATGAGAGGTGGCATGTAAAATGTAAGTGCTTTAAGTTAGGATTTGGATGAGAAGATGATTATCAGTGATATTAATCATCTTTAGTTTATTTAAAATTAAACCTCTCATTAGGTCCATCTCTCACTAACACTCAGGATGTTAGTTCAGAACAGACACTCTCACTCACACTCTCGTCCAAGAAGACACCTATCTGATCATGTAACAAGATGAATCTCAAATCTTTCACTCAGGATTGACAGAAGTACTAGTCGACTCACACCAGAAACTACAGGTACAGAGGATCAACTTCATTTGAATCTCGGTTCTCAAATGCCACGATGTTGCTTTGTGCTGAAGATTCTCGCTCTCGCAACAGCATGAATGATGTTCTTGAGCTCTCTGAACGACAGACCAGATCATTTCTCTACTGACTCGTGAATAATGCGACTCAAGACCAAGGTACTAGGGCCTCATGATTATGGTCGTGGATACTCTCCTCCTCATATGACAAGAACACTCAGATGACGCGTCAAGTATCATCTTCTACATTGAAGATGATCAGTCGTTTTTCTTCTTCTACGACTCCGTGTTCGTCAGCCTGTTTGATGTCAGGCAACTGCTCAATTCTACGTTACCTTACAGTCGTGAAGAAACCGATAATTTATGCACTTTAGCTTCTCACGGCCGGAGTAGAGAAAACAACCGCATCAGGAGCAGGTCCTTACTTGTAGGGGGAAGGTAATTCGGTGGACTGGAGGGTAAAGGACTCTCGAATTCGAAACTGTAAGAACTGAAATGAAAAAAGAATTAGTAAGGAATCATAGAAGCAAGCCTTTTCTTATTTACGAGAGAGAAACGGTCGAGATACACAACGAAAAAGAACAGAAGAACTCAAGAATCGGTAGTCCGAATAATTTTCTATGCATATCGGAAAAAATCAAGAACAAACAACTCCATGTTAAGGTTGTTTTATTTTTCATCAATCGACTTGTGTTACTTTTCTGGTGACTGTAAGTATCAGTACTCGTCGTGCGAATTATCCTCGTCGTAGATTTCGTGCTAAAAACTCTGAAACTGAATCTGAAAATGCCAGAATTACTTGTAACTTCTTGCGAAACAAGATCACGATCACGCAAAATAAAAAGTTTGAGTTTCTACTTCATTCCTGGGCGCGTGCCAGTACTTCCCGTTGCCCTCATAGACTGTGCAGCGCCCCCACTAAGCTTTCTAACAGCAGCACTAGTTGTACTCGTGGTTGCTGCTGTCTTTGTTGTGCCTCCTCCGGCTCCACCCGTCCTACTGCTAGTACCAGCTGCTGTTTTACTAGAAGTATTCTGTTCTTGCTTCAGCTTGTTTTTCTTAGCATGTTGCTTTTTCCCGATAAATAATCCACTCTTGAGTGAATCAAAATTCAGTGCAGCTTGCAGTTGAGCGTCGTGTTTTCGCTTTGCTTCAGCCTCAGCATCCTCTTTTTCTTTCTTTGCACTCTCAAGAACCTTCTGCTTCTCGTCCACAACATCTTCTCCAGGAGTCACCACTCCTTGTGGCGGAGCCTTTGGAGGACTCCTGTTGAAAGCACCACTTCCTCCACTTGTTGCATTTCCATTAGCTACAAGAGCAGGAGAGGAGGTTCTAGTTGGAGATGAAGAAGTGCCACGACCTTGTTCTAGACTCATTTGTTTCTCTGCAGAAGTGAAGTGTTTCACTTCTTTCATCCTCCGAAGACTCATCTCCATCTCGAAATGTCTTCGCATTCCTAGTTCTAACGCTCGTGTCTGCTCTTGATTTAGAGCTGTGTCCGTAATTGTTCGTCTTTCAAGTGCATCCTTGAAAATAAGTAAGTAGTATAATGGGGGAGTATTGTTCCCTTCGGATACTCCTCGTCCATACGTTTCTTCAAGGATCATCATGCGTCCAAAGTAAGATACGTTTCAAGGATCATCATGCGTCCAAAGTAAGATACGTTTCAAGAGTCATGCGTCCAAAGTAAGATACGTTTCAAGGATCATCATGCGTCCAAAGTAAGATACGTTTCAAGGTACAGCCTTAATTGATGCAAATCGGATAGCTCAGCCAGACAGGTGTGCAATTGTCCACGTAGTTTACTTCGTAACTGTGCTCTCCTGATCGCGTCCTCACGATCTGCATCGTGGTCATCTTCCTCCTGATCCTGCTGTTCTTTATCTACTACTTTATTCTCTTTCTCGTTCTTCAAGTGTTGTAGTTGTGGCTCGTCTCTCTCTTTCTCCTGCAGCTCTGCTTTCTTTTTTTTAGCAGACGGATCCATGGATCCTGGACTAGATTTAGCTGAACTAGTCGTGGCTTCTATCTTCTTTCTGAAATCAGGACTATGAAGCTGCTTCCATATCCTAGCCTCCAAACCACTGCGTAGGCGCGCAGCGTAGTCTTGTTGTGGACCGCCTCTTGCTCCACCACCCACTCCGCTGCTACTTGTCTTTATTGGAAGATTTTGATCAGTCAAGGTGTTCATGTTGCTAGTGGACTTCGAAGAAGATTGCGATTCAGATAAATCTAGTACCACAGGTTCTTCTACTTCATGATTTGATGGTCGCGGAGGTTCTCCTCCTGCACGAAGTGGCAATCCCATTCTCGCTCTGGTGGAATTAGTCGACATCCTAGCTGTACAACCTGAAGATGAAGCAAGAGAGCTTCTTGTCACCCCAGATGATGTTCGTAGTGACTGCCTAATGGACATGACGCCTCCAGAGGGTCGCGTTGATGAGGGAGGTTTCACCTCAACCGGCGCAGCGACGTCGTCCTGTGCTGACGAAGGTTGTACATTATCATTCGCACTTGTTGTATTGCTTTTCCTTCCTCCTGCCTCTACATCCTGATTGCCTCCACTTCGACTAGGCCTCCGATTGAAGCTAGGAGTCGATGTCACTACTCCATAAGGCTGCCTACCAGTATCCGGTTTGTAGGTCTTGTCAAGCTGTCGTTGTAAGTGCGCTGCGTAAGGTAAATCGCCTAAATAATCTTGTCCATTCATATTTGGAGGAGGCTCTCCAGTACTCTCGCGTCCCTTCTGTGACCAACTCGGACGAAAGTCATTCCCGGAAGACCGCACAGAGGAGCGTACGTCTGAAGCTCGTTTTTCGCTCCCGCGAGATGAGGTTGTGGCTGGTGTTGGAATTGTCATGTAGTTGGAATGGTCATGTAAGATTGAGGTATGGCAAAGGAATGTTTCAATTTGATGAAGATTCAAACCTGTCGGCTATAATAATAGGTGCGTCGAACGTAATTGAAAAAACATAAATGCAAGCAGGTCGTGCACGACATTCAAAAGCTACATCATACAAAAGCTACATCCTCTCACAGCCGGTGGCCACTTCTCCTCTAAAATTCGTCGTACGGTGTCGTCTCCAGTACTTGTTCCCCTAGCTGATTGAGACCTTTCGCTTTTTCTAACAGTCAGAGTTGTGCGTCGCTTGACGGCTGCCACAGAAGCGCGTTTCTGCTGCAAATCGGAAGACCAGAAGGAAACCTGTGATTACGCGATCAATTGAGTTGATATCGTTCTTCATAAGCAGCCAGGAGGACCACGATCACAGTCTTCAATTTCAAAGAACTTGTTCTATAAAATAATCGGTAGTTGAATCATAGTGCGTTAGTGGACTTCCATAGTTGAATTATAGTGCGTTAGTGGACTTCCATATACTTCTCAGTACCCGACTACCCCCCGACGTCTGCGTGTGCCGCCGAGTCGCCGGCTCGCTTCCTGGTGTTACTGGTCTCAAAAAATCCTCTTCTGTCTCGTCGTTGTTTAACGAATTTGGCATAGCAAAAAACGGCGCGAGAAGTACTTCTCTTTTCAGCGCTTCTTTTTTATCCTCGAGATCCTGTGAAAAGGAAACCACACCTCCTCCAGAGCCAGTGGATTGCCTCGACTTCCTTGCTACCTCTGCCTGATGCTTCACTATCGTTTCTAGCTTCTCTAAGACCCTGACGCTATCAGCAGACATTTCAGGTGGGGGTGCAAGTGAGATATTAGATATAGATGTAGATGTCTTCTTCTTGGCAGATGAAGATGGAGAAGATGCTCTAGGTGCGTTGGTCTTCTTTGACGTATCTACTTCAACCTCTTCGTTCTTATTCGTTGAGAAGGAAGACGAAGATGCGCGAGGAGTGGGCGCCTTATTTGCTTTAGGTGGAAGACCAGACTTCGTGGAAGTACTACTGGTGCGACTTGTTCTCGATGGAGAAGTCGGTATTGCCTTGCCTTCCTCCTTGTCAGGACTAGTTTTCCTAGTACTTTTTCTCGCTGCGACGTCTTCTTCCGGAAATGAAATTTCGTTCTTTGTGTCTCTGGTTTTCTTGGCACCAGCGGCGCGCTCCCGTTTGGAAGATGTTGCTCTCTTTACATCCTCTTGTCTCTTCTTAGTGTCCTCTGCAGGCGGTGGCTCTGTACCTGATGATCCTTCATCAGGTGCAGCTGGTGGTGTCCCCGGTGGCGTGCCCTCTTGTTGTACAACTTCATTCAGAGCCAGAGACTTCTCAACACTTGCACCTCCTTCATCCGCAGGAGGTGGTGTGCCGGGTGGCGTTCCATCAGCATCCTGTTCTTTATGTGGTCTGGGCTTGAAGACTGGCGGCGCATGATTAGATGAGGGACTGGCGCCGATCCTCAAAGAGGGGACACGGTGGCTCGGAGTCGACATGATGTTGACTTGTGAAGCGGCTAAGAGCGTGCTGTCTGAAGATGGAGGAATGCCGTGCCGTAGATGGCGACGGCTGTTCTGGTCACGGTCTTCGTCTTGGTCATACTTGTTTAATCACATCTGTTTTCTTCTACTTCATCAAGGAAAAGGACACAGAGCTCCTGCGTCTAAGTAATTTTCATGCCTACAACTGCGCTTTTATACTCAGCGTCAGCTCTACTCCCTACTGCATTATACTCAGCTCCTCTTCATCTAAGTAACAACTTCAACTTCAATCATACACCGCAACAGTTTTCTGTTTTTACCTTATTTTCTGTTCAAGGTGATTGTGATTCTAAATTTCGCTCTTTCTCTACTTCTCTAAAGTAGTAGTGCAATAAGATGGATTTTCCCACTCAGAGTATTCAGACCGAGAAACCGGCGAAGAACCGACAAGAAGATCATCTTCACCGATTGCTTATTTCACAGCATGAAACAAGAAACCGATCTCAGACTCACAGGTATAATGTTATCAAGAAACGACAAGGAACAAGAACAGGATGAAGGCACACAAGATGAACCGATTGTGAGTTAAATTCCCGTAGTTTCCTACTTCCTCAGCGGACACGAAAACAAAATAGTGGTCATAGTGTATGTTTAGCACCACAGAGATGATGTTTCCCTGCCTTCTGCCTCTACTAGTGGCAATTGCATGATGTTCTTGTTTTTATTGTCCCATATCATCTACGAGTGCGCAAGTTTATCTTCCGAGCGTCAGCCTGTTCAACAAGGTGTAGGCGACACCCATCATGAGAATATTCATGATTGTCGAGCGGACTGAGCAGCTTTGGCTCATCACAGTTCTTGTGCGCAAAAATGAGCAGTCTTCACAATAACATGTTTATCTAGTTCTAGATGTAGAAAATGACCACACAATGATCGTTAGTAAAAAATAGTGAAGCTTATTACTAAGCAAGACCTTTCCATTTATACGGAGCGTGAACGCTCACGGGGTAAATGGATTGGTCGTGGAAAACCATGACGCGTTTGTTGGAACTCTAGTTGTGAAACCTCTTAAATCAACATCAAATAGAAATCATGTTCATGACCTTGACCTTGTAATTGTTCTTATCCTATTTACAGTTACACGAACAACAAAGCCTAGCCATCTAAAAAGGCTTCAAACTGAGTAGTTAACGTTCTTTAAAAATTGCAAACCGAAGCCTTAGGTATAGGTTAAATCTCTAATTTGGTCAATATGAACACCAGTCGGACAACGCCCTACTTCATGTTTTTGACGAAGTCCACGCCCTTTGCGATCTGACCCTTCAGATCTGGCATCATGGCATCGAAATTGGCCTTCTCCATGGCGCTCAAATCACCGAAGGAGTGAATCTCCTCGACTCCTTCCGTGCCCAATGTGACTGGCGTGGAGAAGTAGGCAGCTTCGGTCAGGTTGTTCTCGACGGGTATTAGAAGAGGAAAGGGAATGTTGACCCGAATCAGAAGCCATACTTTCCCTTATCATCTAACGAAAGTGAAATCTTCTGGGTGGAACAAGATGATCATACAAGATGATCATCTTGTTCTTCATGATCATAATGATGGAAATTATAGCATATACAAGATGTTCCCCAGATGTAAGACTAATATTATGTTTTGAGTAGTGATTTCTGCATCATAATGAAGAGGGTGGAAGATGTCCAAGTCCATCTTCATATTAAAAATGTTGATGGAAAAAAACTTACTAAGAAGTCAGCTGAAACAAGACCTACGATCGTTGACATAAGTAAGTGCACGCCTTCAACCCCTTTTCTCCCTTCAAAGCTCGTGCGACGTAAGCGGCGAACTCCGCACCCGCGTAGGCCATGGACAGAGTGGCGCTGCCCGCGCCGTCCTTGGCCTTGACGACCTCGTCTCCGCCGAACTGGATACGATGAGTAAGCGCTTCGAGGTCAGCTTGGGAGACGGCGCTGATGCCGGGGACCTGGGTTTTTTAGGGTTTAGGGTCAAGTGGTATGAAACGTTCATCTTCGCATGTTGACATCTTTCATCAGGAGATGAGAGGAGGCTAAAAACTGCAACAAAAACTACAATCTTCTGAGTCCACATGCAACAAAACCACAAGAACTGTAGTTGTTCTTGTGCCTAAATGATCGGCAAGATCGTTTAGAATTATACCTGACTCAAGATCGGCAGAATAGTTGTTCCTGCATGTCCACCGATGACATCGACGTGCATGGAGGCGACGTCAACGCCGAGCTTCTGCGCCATAAAGGTGTTGGCACGAGTCACATCCAATGTGGTGACTCCCATCAATCGTTTTGGGTTGTAGCAACTGTTTGGTTTGATGGTGCCGCGTCCTCGGGAAGATGTGGAAGGTATGATAGACAGAGATAAGGACGGTGTTGTAAGTAGAGGACGTGGTTTAATTTACTAGTTGTGTGCAGTGCTAGTCCGCTAGTTAGTTGAAGAAAATCATCATCATGTTCCTGATCATCCTAATGAAGAAAAAGTTTTTATCTATAAACTATTATACTTGTTAGAATACAACAAGAACTCATAAACGTGCTAAAAAATGCAGTACCCATTCTTCTTCAGCACTTCCGCCCAGATTGGGACCATGCTGTTGACCGGGTTACTGATGATCAACATCATGGCATCTGGGCAGTTCTTGGCGCAAGCTTGCGCCAAGCCTGCGTTGATGCCAGCATTGATATTGAACAAGTCATCCCGGGTCATGCCTGGCTTACGTGGCACGCCAGCCGGGATGACAACGATCTTGGCGTCTTTGAGGGCGGCATCTGTGTAAGAAAGTTAATGGCAGAAAAAAATGGGCAGTTGCTTCGTCTTGGTGGGGAGTAAGGAAAAGGGAAAGAAGGAAAGAAGAAGTGCTCTTTGATCTCTTAGCGGTGATCTTTTCAACAGACTTCAAGCAATTCCGATTGATTCTCCGACTAAACATAAGTAGCAACAAAAGCAAAAGAATCTCCAATAATTACCATTGTCCGTAAACCCCCCAGTCACTTGACAATGTGAGTTGACATGAGAGATATCGACAGCGACTCCTGGGACGACTGGCGCCACGTCCAACAGTGCCAACTCATCGATATTGGGATCCAGCTTCAGCAAGAGTGACAGGCTCTGTCCAATGCCGCCTGCGGCGCCAGCAACCACTGCCTTAGTGGCGAAACTTCTCTGGTTCGAAGAAGAGGCGAGACTGGAGGTGTTGAAAAGATGCCGGCCTCGGTTGAGGAGCTGGCGGGAGCTGGAGGACAACATCTTTGACTTTTTCTTTTTGTCGGTAACTATGGAGGAACTACTTGCTTTGACGAAATTGAAGTTGAACTTACACTGTGCGCTTGGCGTTGGCGAAATCTTCGTTCTACTCTTCTGTTCTATGCTGAAGATGAGATCAGACTTCTCTTGTTCTAGCGTTTTCTTGACCTCTTCCAACCTCTGTTTTTCTACTTCTTTGACAATTTTGAGACGGGACTTTCTTTGCGTCTTACTCTTTCAATTGAAAGAATGCTCATTTTTAATACAAGGAGAACCAGCTTTGTTGATGGGGAATGGAATAGTACAAATCCCCAGCGATCCTTTTTTCCTGCGCTTGGTTTTATTTTTGTTAACACAAATGCTGAAAAAAAAAGGACAGGAGGATCGGGATGGTCAGAATGAGGAGAAATAAAGTTGTAAGTACACAGAGGTGGAAGACATCGCATTGCTACACCGGAGTATGACGAAAAAGAGAAAGTGCTAAAAGAAAAAGAAGTTCAGCTACTAGCATGCAACCTATAATCCTAATGCTAATATGGCCACGTGTGAAAAAAAGGCCCGCGAGCCCGCTCGTCCTCCGTATGATGAGTGCGCCGGACCAAAAGAAAAAAGACAATTTTTTGTGCAGTTTTCTCTTTGCTGCACCAGCCCGAGACGGACCGACTGATTGTTCCAGCACACCGAAAGCGAACTACCTGCGGACCTCGCTAAACGTGAACGAACAGGTCGGTGGACTAGGAACACGTTAAACTGAGAATAAGAAAGTCAATCAATCACAAGTCGGGTCTCCCTGTTTCTCTGGCCTACCGCGCCACTAATTTTTTTTTCCATAGAATCGCTAACTACGGCGAAGACAACAAGAACGTTTTCACACCGACATGTTGATGCTTCCGCTTTTGCATTTTTACCCTTGGTAAATTTGTCAACACCATTTCAGATTGTAATTTTGTCTCCAACATCATCAACTCCTCTCGTCAAGCAAACAACTATCTCTCATGCCAGTCGTAATTCTCGTTAACCTCGTGCTCGTCCGTACTTTTTAGTTCATGCTGCTCAGCATACTTTACCTGCTGCTGAGATGGAGGGACAACGCCACCATGGACAAACAAAAGACTTTCGAGCGAAAACAGGCGACGGCATGAAGCTGGCCACATCCACTACTTATTGCTGTTTCTCTTTTACTACCTTCCATTGCTATGCTCACCACCACACAATCAATTTCAATCATGTTCAACCATGGCGACTCTTCAACCTGATTCTGAGTATTCATCAAGCAAACTACCAATGTGCTAGGCTTGAATCAGATGTGCTGAATCAAGCGAAACCAAGTTGTCATCGTGTGTCGAGCCGATGTAAATGTCTTCATTTCATGTGAGTACTAGTCGTAGTCCTAGTCGCCCCAAATTCCTAGATCCAACTAAACTCCAAAATGAATCTCATTACAGCTATCGGTGGATCATGGTAAAATATGCATTGCAGACAGTCTAAATACTGCTCGATGAGGAAGATGCCCATGTGATGACATGCGTGATATTTCCAACCCAACGAAAACTATTGCAGAAGCTGCAAATGGACGACATCCTGCTCTAAATATTCTTCCATCATCTACATACTGGTCGTAGTGCGCCAACGGCCTTCATGTTATTGTTCGACGATCTTTGTTTCCAATCAAGACAAAACGCCTTTCATGCGCTATCTCCAAAAACTGATTCATCCATGACAAAGTATTAGTGGTGTCTGAATCAAAAAGCAAAACCCTTCCAAAACTGAAAAAAAAACACTTCTTATTTGCCTTTGCATGCCTTCTTACACAAGATGATGTTAATTTCTGCCTGTGGTACTCAAACTACTCACGGTGACGGTACCTCCTATTCCTATAAATTCGCCCTATGAAACGTCGTAGCTGAAGGCCTCCGCTCGTCCCACCAACCAACTAACACATATCTTCGCCGCGGCCATATCTTTTTATCGAACAACACCCAAATACATGCACTAATTTCACGACGACTTCTACATCATCTACATGAAGAAACGATAATCCCTAAGAAAACGAAACTATCTTTAAGGCTTGCGCCCTTGATGCTAACTTATCATTTTGACCCTTCGCTATCGCTGTGGTGCTCTTGTTCCACTGGATAAAAAATTCTGTTATATTTTCAAAAATAAGAAGGAATCATTTTCTTGACAACGAGGACTAATTTCTCTGCTTAAAGATAAATAGGTTAAACTGTTGGTGGTAAAAAGAGCACATACTATCGTGCTAGGTCCATCATGTACTGTATCTTTCTACAAACCATGACATCAGTGGCATCTTCACAGCCAAAGAAAAGTAAGATATGCTGTTGTATCCATCTGTATCCATTATCATAGTGCTTGCAACAACTTGCTTGCTATTCCTTGCAACAACAAAAAATTATATGTATCTGAATTATCCACATTAAAAGCGTTGGCCGGTAAACCCATCAAGCCTCCCCACTGCCCTCCAACATTTCTTCCACAAAGAAAGGAAAGCCTTAAGATGACTGCATCTTAGTAATTCATCATCTGCCAAAATTGTTTCATCTATCGAAGTCGCGCGCCCACCATAGCGTGGTGCTCGCTTCAGTTCGATGCCGCCGCAGTGCTACCACAGTTTCGTGTCTTGCTCAGACGGAACATGCAGTACGCGATATCAAGGGCCATCTTACAACTGAACACGCTGCAGTAGTGCAGATTCGGTTCGCGCACTTGGTTAGATGGGGAAGAAAAGAAAGGGGCGGGTGGTGCTGTGGAAAATGAAGTGTTTTTCCGGTTGGTTTTTTCCAGTTGAAAGGAAGAATGTGGCATCAATGTCTAGAAGATACTTATAATATATTGAACAAAAACCAAATTCGTAAGTTGTAGCAAGATAACACTGTCTTTTGCTCCCCATTTGGTGACGCAACTCTGCGCACCGGTGAAATAAAGGAATCGCTTGACGAAGGAGAGATTCTGACTCGTCTGTTCCTTGCCGAGAAGGGTTACACCCTCTAAATCGATGCAAATCCAGTACTGGCGCGAAGGATGTGGCGAAAGTTCCCTGTTGTTTGATATTTCTATGTCTACAATAAGTACCGTATCGGCACATCCGTTTGCAAGACAAGAACACAGGACAGGAGTACAGGACAGGACTACAAGACAGAAGCACATCAGAACAGGAGTACAGAACAAGACTGCAAGACAGTCTGGAAACGTCTAGAGAGGTAGCAGAAACCTCGAGCGAAGCCCCAAAAGTCTAGTTGTACATCATCTTTCAAAATGTCGAAAACAAGGTCAAGGAGCAGCTACAAGAACTACTAGTACCAAATCCAATTCAAAAATCATCAAGCATCTACAATAAGTACCGTATCGGCACATCCGTTTGCAGGTTCGGGTCCTTCTCGTATATCGCCTCTGTTTCCAGTTCCTGGATGCTGTAGAAGTAAGATCCATAGTATCGCAATTGCTGCATGCCATTTAATGCTCGACTCATCTTCTGCAAGGCTGTGTCTTCTTGGAGAAACCTGTACTCGCGATCCCACAAGTCCAAGATCGCTTCTGAAAAATCCCGCAATGAGGGAACGTTTGCGCAGTCTCCTAGGATAAAAGGGGCTGAACCGGTGCGCCATGAGGAAGACGACTTGGAAGAGGTGGAGGAAGACGCTGCAGTCGCAGTTGCATCAGTTCCAGCAGTTGAAGCTACGACTTGATTCCCTAAAGCAAGAATTGCACTTGTTTGCGCATTGGACTGCGATGTGTTCACAGCCTGTCGGCAAAGGGCATTCGTAGTCTCTGCCCATGAGCGAGCTCTCGAGGAAGATGAAGCACTAGAAGTTCCCGTAATCGGCGAGGCCATAGACGGGTTCGACCCCAAAGAGATACTGGCACTGCCGTTCCTGCAACTACTCAGGGAAGATGAATTGGAGCCCAAGGATGAAGTCGCGTCTACAGACGAACGGCCTGACGTCGTAGACGCGTCTCCCTCGACGTCGCTTGGTGAGGCGCCGCAAGTGTCGGTCCTCGATAATATAGTCGAAGTTGCGCCATCCTTCTGGTCATGTAGCTGCTGGTCAGAAGATGTTGACGTCGTAGAAGCACTAGATGAACTTCCTCCGTACAACTCTCTAAAAGCGTCAATGTTCTTGCTATGCACGACATGGAAGCCGATGAAGCTTGGATCGTTGACCAGTGGAGGAACGATCAGGTGGTTGCCGCGTAGTTGGGTGAGCCTTGTGCTTCTTGACGAACCTGATCGGGAGTTGACTATACTTACTTCCTCCATTTGGCGGACAATGGTGCCTCTTTTTTCCTCCGGAATCGGTCCATGGCGTTCTGCAATCATCACCATTAACACGGTGGGCAAAAGCTTTTCGAGGATCGGAACGAGGTTGCCGGCCTGGATGATGATTTTATTATAAAGTACTTATGTTGGTGTAATAACCGAGTAACTATTGAAAATAAGGGAGATACTGAAAGAAGAGGAATGTAGTCACAAGACTCTCTTATTTCAGTCAGTAGCTCGCTTATTGTGAGTTTTCGAATAGGTAGTAATTCTACTTGTACTGTCTGGACGAGAAGATGAGAATAGAACATCATTCGTTGTGAACAAATCTGGCTCTAGGGTTGGATCAAAAATGCTGTGACCACTAGATGAGCAAACATCAGAAACTGCAACTAACCAATAATTCCGTACCTCAATGTAGTCCCTGAAAAACACGTGCTCCAACAAGAGAAGTGAGCACGCCACGTGATGAAACAACGGCAAGGCGTCGTACTGCGTGCTGCCAGGTCCGACTGGGTACCGCATGTACTCGAAATATGCCTGCCGAAAAGTCAAACTTGCAAAGCTCTGATCATTGCAAACGACGTTTTCAGTTTTCAACAGGTATTGCCGTTTCCAGAGAAGCCTACTTTGGCGGTTAGTTTTCCGGTGCATCGCGTTCCATTTATCGACTAAATCTCCCAAAGCCACGTTGTCCGGAATAATCCTATGGGTCTCGATCACGTCCTCTACCAACTGGAAGAAGCCAAAGCCAACGCTATTCTCTGGAGACATCCTCAAGATCTCTGCCATCTTCGTTCCCAACTCGCCCACCGTTGTGTGCCTCTTGTTAGAACTGAAGAGTGTCCGAAATTCATGATCTTGTTTCAAGTGCATGATCTTCCTTGAAGAAAAGTATGGGCGGCATGGGGGGGCAAGGGCATTCATCCCTTGTAATATTGAAATAGCAATACTCCCTCATATGTAAGTAGTTTCAAGGATGCAGTCAAAGATGCATTAGCTACAGCCTTAATCTTGCAGCGAAGCTTTCTCGCAGTATTGTCCATCAAGAACACTTCTATCTTCACCGTGGAGGCTGACGATGAGACCCCTGATTGGCTACCACACACTTCTCCTGCTGTCTTGTTCTTCGCAAGTACTTCCCCCGGATGTTCATGATGTGCTGGAAGAGAACTACCTGCTCCAGCTTGAAGATGTCTATTGTAAATGAGCGAATAACCCAACAGATCTTGCTCTTTTTGGTCCATCTCCTCCAAATTCTGTTCCAAAGCTCGGAAGCAATCTCTAGCAATATTTAGCCCCTACTTCTATTCATCTTCGAAAGCATCTCTGACGCGTTTTTCCCTTAGTAAAAAAAGGGGTCAGAGATGCTCTTTAGGATGAATTACGGTAAGCCTTAAAATATCGGCAATTTCGAGTCTCTTCGTGTTCCTGCGGTTCAACTCGATGCCTTGCTTCAAGAAGCAGACAACAAATTCGATCAGATCTGCTTTGGGTGCGGCTTGTTGGGAAAGCAGGTGCAGAAGCTTCCAGCCAAGCAACTCTGAACGGGCATTGGGATTACCGCGGACTTGCTTGATAGACTGCAGGAAAACCTCGTTGCGGATTTCGACCTCGGCTTTGGCGACGGCAACCTTAAGTGGAGTAAGGATGAAATGGATGGCCTGGTCCTGGAATGTCAGACTACTACTACTAGTAGAGTCGTGCAACGCTTAGTATGTGTTGAGTGTACTGATTTTTGCGAAGGCGAGCAAAAACTGAAACTACAACGCGTTGAACTCAAATTATTTAAGCAGTAAGTACGATAGTAAACGCCAGCACAACCCTCTTGCTATCTGGGACTGGTCTGTCGTTCATCCATCCTAGGATGTTTCGGAAACACTGCAACACTGTTCCTACATGCTTGGCTGGTACACACGTGGTCAATGGCGCTCGTAGTCTCTGCTTACCGTGCTCTAGGAAGAGATCCTGTCCGGTTTTTCTGATGTGGAGGGTGGTTGTGGAAAATGGAAGTTGTTAAAAAGTTGTAGTTGGACTAGTCATTCGCAGTAGTACTGATGTCGTTCCAACGTGAATGGGAAAATACTAGGACTAGTACTACATGGAATTTTATTCTCACGAATTGGGAAGTCGACAACTTTAATATTGTAGAAGAAGTGCAAGTACTTCTAGTTCTAGTAGTACTCTCTCAATACTACGGCCGCAATCACAAAAGAAAGAAGAAGTACGGATCAATAACCGGCTTCTTTTCTCGTAATCCCGGGTAGTTGTAGAGGTTCCCAAACTCCTTCATGGCAAGTCTCAGTTCCGCTTCGGTCGTCTCCGCACTCATAAAGACACTCTTCCTCCGCTTCTCGCCGTTATTGCACGACGGACCCAAAGTATCACGCAAAATAGCTGCTGCGGAGTCAATCACTTGACGTGGCAAATGTAGGCGCTTCCCCTGCTCTAGGAGGTTCTGGACGGACTGTTGTTGCAGTCCTTTCTTCTTTTCTAAAGACGGAGATGAACCTGCATTTGCTCCGGAAGACGAGGAACAAGATGAGCTTGAGCTACTTGATGTACTTTCTCTTGTTCGAGCACTAGTACTGGAACTGGTGTTCCTCTGCTCTTGCAACAGCTGCCGTGAAACGTGCGTGAGCAGTGAGACGACGTACTCCGAAGTGCAGAGCTTTTGGTGAAGTTGCCGGTAAGGGAGGATCTCCTCACCTTTCAATCCCTTCGCAGTCGCGCGTTGCAGCAAATATTCGAGCTGCTGACAATCGTACGTCAATTTCGCGTTGTACAAATCGCGCTTCAACTCCTCTACTTGCGATTGCACCATGCCGGTAATGGTTAACTTCCTAGATACTCCTTGTTGAGATGAAGAAGATGGAGACATATTAGTGTCTTTACCACTAGGAGATGCCCTGCCATCTCCTTCTTGAGCAGATGCTTCCTGCTTCTCCGGAGATGCCTTCGCACCTGTTACACTAGGTTCCTCAGCCACAGGCTCCGGCTCATTTTTTCTCTTTGGTGGCCACCCGCCTAGATCTTCGAGTTTTGCTTGGGCTTTCTTCAACAGCTCCATCCCTTCTGGTCGGATCCATCGTTCACTATTTTCAAACAGCTTGGCATCTGCTTTTCTTACTCCTTCGATTACACGGTGGACTTCTTCGGCATCTATTGCAGTAGTTGGAGAAGTAGAACCACTAGTACTCGTACTAGAACAACCACCACCAGTTGCAGTACTAGTACTAGTAGTTGTAACGTTTTCCAAAGCCTCAAACAATGGAAGTTGTGTTGTAATCCGATGAATCCGATCCTCTAATACTTTCGTGGCTGAGTCATCACCTAGGTCTAGACCTCGTGCTTGAGCAAGATAGTTGTTCAGCAGAACCACGTCTTCGATCTTCAGGTATTCCTTCGTGTGCAAGAAGCACAGCAACTCGATCTCCGCAGTCATCTTGTGTGCGATTTCTTCCAAAAGGAATAAGTTCCTCGGCAGCAAGATCAAGTCGTTACCATACTCACTACGCTCTACACACCAGTCTCGATGTTTGCGTAGTTCAGTTTCGACTGCTTCGTAACCTACTTGTTGAGCTGCTGCAACTACATCTTTAGACGTTGAAGTAGTCTTCTTCACCAAGTGAATAGAGGCTGAAGGCACAAGCGTTGATGGCTTTTTCTGTGCTCCGGCACTAAGATGATCACCTCCGCTAGCAGATCTCGAGGAAGCACTTGACACTACAGAAGATGGCCCTGCTTCTCCCTCGTCTGCGGAAGACGCACCGCTGTTGCTAGCGCTTTCCAAGTTATGTCGCATGTTCTTTGCTAGTCGTTTGGCGACATCGATGCCATAGACACCATCTGCGAGCTTTAAAAATGCCGCTACTTCTGTCTGCAAAGCTATGGTTTTCCTTGTCAGCTTGCGCACACGATGTCCCCTGTAGCTCCGCTGCAAAACGATAGCATGATTTGCCAAAGCTAGATTCTTCTGGTAAAACAAGCCTCGTTGAACGTTCAATTTCATGAAGAGCTTGGTTTTTCCGACCACGAAGTCCTTGTCACTGCAAGCGTTGCGACCAACTAAAAGTGGTAGATACTTGACCAATTGGCCCATGCCTTCTCGAGTCGTGCAGACAGGTGATTTCAGCATCGCCGCCATGGAGATTGGTTGACCCTGCAGCATCAGTTCTTGTCGCACTTTTCTCGGGAAAATGCAGAAGAACCTACGTAGAAAATCTGCAAATGTTAAGCGGAATGGAAAGCCACTCTGTCGGATCTTTACTGCTTCCATGGCACCAGAATTTAGCAGTTGCTCCATCACACTCTTTCCATCAAACTTGGCTGGCAGTTTATCGGAATTAGGCTTGATGCACCTGATAAAGTGTGGATCGGTGGACCGGATTTGTTCGATCAGTTTCTTCAGACTTGCGCGGAACTGAAGGGAGACAGTGTTGCCGCGACCACTAGAGGCTGCCTTCTTCCGAGCCGCCAGGGACATAGAGGATGAGTTGGCGCTGTAACTGCTACCATATCGACTAAACAACCGGTCCCCGATTTGCTTCAGCATCTCGTTCTCACTTTTCTGAACCGTTAGAAGAGCAAAAAATCTTCTTTTAGTGATTTGTATGCGTATGCACTTTTGACAATATGAAAAAGACACCAGATGAATGCTCTACCTCTAATATCGACGCACCTCATCACAAAAATCAACACAAAAATCACAGAAGCAGCAGAACTACCTCCTTTATGGTCAGGTGTTAACATAACATCAAGTCCACCGTCTCCTTCGGCACTTCATCTACGTTTTTCTCAAGCCAGCCTTTGCAGCTGTATTCTACTTCACCGGCAAAGTGTCGGATTGCGAATTTAGGTTCTGAGAAGCGATTTTTCACAAACCTGGCATGCTCTGCGAAGTTTTTGTTCACCTTGGCACCGTAGGTCTCGTAGGTGGCTTTGTTCACGTTTAGTTCTTCGTCCAAGTAAACTATTAGACACTCTCCACGACCTGTCTAGATTCATCTTGAAAAGTAATAGTGGCGCATCTTTGACCTTTTTCCCTTTGGAACGAACCGTGTCCAAGACGGCTCTTAATAAGATGAATCTGCGGAAGCCTTAAGTCCAGCAAGCCTTGACGACCCTGGATGAGCTCGAGGATGTCCAGATTGTCCGAAAATTTGATATCTGTGATCGGCACGGCTTCCGATTTGTAGTGGAAATTAGAAGAAGGGCAGTACTCCTGTATTTCTAGTTTGTTCGACGTTGTTGTTCTTCTTGAGTCCTCTTGACATCAACTGAAAAATATAAAAATTTAAATTCTTTGTATTTTTCCCTACGTGGTCTACTGATACTAGTAAAGGAGGTAGTTAGAGCGAGAAGTAGATACTTAGGAAACGGCGTGGAGGAAGCCCATGAACATGTAAACACATACACATTCGGAAGACTTTGAGTTTATCTCTTTTTAGAACCATAACTGAGAGCTCGCTTTTGAAGACGTAGTCGTTGAAATATTGCTGCAGGCACTCGTTGCTCAGGTTTATAAAGAGCTGTTCCAAGGAGTTTACGGCAAAAGATTCGAATCCAGCGATATCAAGAATGCCAATGTAGTTGTCCGTGCTTACTTTCGTTTTCTGACTATCAGCGACGAGAAGGGTCTCATTCATGATGAGAATGATCTCCTTGAAAAGATGCAGGTAGAAGAGCTTCGCGATCGCGTCTTTGGCAGCGTGCGCTTTCTCGGTTGTTAGGAGCACGGGCGTTACCTGTATTGATTTGCAATTGCATGCAACTTTTTCAATGAATGAAACAGCCAGCTACGCCGCGGCCGCTCACTCTCTCGTCTTGCGCTCATTTGAACGAGCTCCCGGTGACGCACAACGCACAAAGGCGGCCCAGCCTCAGAGGCTCATCTCAACCGAGCAGCGAACAAGAAAGAACCCCAAGCCACCAGTTGTAAAGAGAGCGGAACCGACCGACACCAGCCCGAGGGCGGGAGGGGCAGAGACTCCGCAAGCAATAAAGAAACCGAAGAACGCCAGGCGGCCTCCCAAGCTCCTGCAGCCCTCTTCCAGACGGTGACGGGGTGCCCGTCGATAATATAAATAATAGACCCACCGCGCGCCCACCTCCCCTTCCTTCCTTGTCAGAAGGCCAGCCCCCCGCTGCACCGCGCCACCGCCCAACCGCTGGCTCCGCAGCGTCAGCCACCGAGCCGACCACGCCAGCGATCACGCCCCTGACCATGCACGCCGAAGCGACCCAAGGCACCTGCGCCGGAGAGACAGTGGCGCAGTATGTTACCCCTGGCTTTTAATATTGCAAGACATCAGCACGCGCCTAACCTTTTCCGCATTATGTCCTTCCGTGCTCCTGCCATGTCGTAGCGCAGTGGAAAGCCGCAAAAATATGGCTGCATCAGATGCCTGGGGACTAAGTCCAGAGACGGCGCGCGTCTTTTGCTGATTTTTCGTTGTGAGATCTCGACGCGCGCCGCCTTGCTTAGGTAGTGCTAGCAGCGAGAAAGGCGTCTCCTCTCAAGAGCTCGCCAGCAGTCACCGACACCAACGAAGTTCTTCTTCATAACAAGGCCCATTTCTCTAAGTCCGTCCGCTGCAGCGTACTTTATCCATGGAAAGCACAACAGTAAGAGGAATGCCGCCACTGCCGCCGCGCTCTTGGTAGTCAGTCCCGCCAGTGATATCGGTAGTGAAGCTGCAAACGTATAAAGTCCAGCATTCGGCACTACTCTGGAAGCACTGGCGCAGCAACTCTGGATAGCGAAGAGAATGTCTCCCGGTCTACATCGATATAGGCGGAATACGCGGGGCATGAGGTCGAGAAGCATTGCGCTGAAGCACTCCCGCGGGCGAGGCTGTTCAGCGCGGCTTTTAGCTTCGTGCTCCACGCCAGGCGCGCGCATCGTGTCCCCCACTGCTGCCCTGCGCGCGCGGGGCAGCCCGCCCGGCGTCTCCCCGGCTCTCCTCCCAGAAAACGCGGGCCGCGTCCTTCTCGGCTTTCTTCGCGGCTTTCGCGTATTTACGCGCGGCGAGGTTGGCCACCTCTTCAGCAGCCTTTGCGCGTTCACGTGCGTCCCGCTTCCGCGGGCATAGTTGGGACATGTTGCGAGTTGTTGCTTCATATGCTCTCAGGGATCTGCTAGCTTTTCCGTGGTTGGATGCATAACGATGACAAGCACCGCGAAGACAATGACCAAGGGGGGCTGGAACATAGTGGCCCGCCTATAGCGTCGCCGGCGGCGAAAAAGTCGCGAAATGCTGCAGCGACAGCGTGCCGCAGGCATTAGCTCGATAAGCGAGCGCCATGGAGAGACCAAGCAGAGAGGGGGCTGGCAGAATGACGCAGAGCCAGGCGGTGTAGCGACTAGGGACCAACTACCCTCGTCGACTTCGGCCGACTTCGTTACTCGTGCCCCCTCCTCCCCTAGTGCCTTCAGCCCTTGGCGTGGGAAGTGGCAAAGGTAAAGAAGAACACGCTGCAGAAGTCTGCGATAGACATCACGGCTATCACCTTCCTTGGGGCTCCTCATCTCCGCGCGGCTTGCTCCCCCTCTCCGTTGGCGCCGCGCCAGTCTGCAGGGAAAGAGAATGGGCAAGCACTGCTCAACCCTCTACACCATACCACGCTAGCAGTACACGCCTGGCCCTCTGACTGGGGACCAGCCTCCGCCTACGTACTACCCAGGCGCATGGCTTGGCTGCAGATGGCTCGGGCGCCGGCCGGGCCCGCAAATCAGTTGGGAGGGGACAACAGACACCGCAAGAAGCAGCGCACACCCTGCAGCTTCTGCCTGTGGTGTCGAACGAAACAGCTGCACCCAGCGCCGGCCCCTGCAATGTTTCCAACCCATGCCCAAGAGGCAAGTCCGCGCCGCGCCCTTTCTGGAAGCACCTCACCAAGTGGCCGAGCTGCTACCCACACACAGAGCCGGCGAGGTGGCGCAACAAATGGCCTGGCCTTAAGAATAAAAGGAGCACAAAAGCAGCCGCGAACCGTTTTGCTGGCCGCCGTTCTGCATCGCACCACGCAGGCACACACACGTGGCAAGCGCGTCAAATAATAGCACCACAGGCATGCCCCTAGCTGGTCCCGGAGCGCTTTGACCATCCCCAGAGGCACGCGCGGGCCACTGCGCTGCAATTCTTCGAAGGCCTGCCACCTTCGCACCAAATTTCCCCCCCCTGCTAGCTTGATGGGTTTGTGCCAGAAAAAGATAAAGCAATAAAGCGACCACAGTCACAGAGTACCTCCTTCCCCACGTAGAGCTTCTTCTGCGTGAGACACTCGGCGAACCGAGCCACTTCCGAGTCTAGCCCCAGCAGCTCCGCGCTCTGCTTTAGGCATTCTTCATTGGCTACCTCACTGCCTTCACCTGTAGCGTCCGACTTGAAAGAAACGTTGCCGAGAGTGAGAATCGCCAGTACGATGGCGGCGATCTGCGATACGCGAGTAGAAGAAAAGCCGATCAGAGTTAGAGCAAGGAACGATGAGAAGACCTAAATTATGATCCACATGTGCATGTGGGCCATATTCATTTGTTTGCAAGTTATAATTTTGCGACAGTGAGAAACTTAATGCACGACCAATCATGATGAATTTCAACAGTCCAGACAGCAAGATTGATTTCATCTCGTCCCCATCCTTTCAGCCATAAGTTCAAAAAAGATTCTTCCGTTTCCTTCCATCCGGATTCGTCACTAATCCCCTTCGGTGCTGTTGTACACCCATGTCGTAGGTACTCGAAATCCGAAGCGCGGGGTTCAGCGGTAAGCAGTGGCCCGCCACTCTTGCTCGCGGCCTTGAAGGACTCTCCTCCTGCTGAAGAGAGTTAGAGCTTCTACCTAAAATGAAGAGCCTAAAGCTAAAACTCACGACTTATGAAGTTATATTAAATGATAGATGAAGAGTCCTCATCATCGACTAGTAGTACACCTACAACACATGAAGATCAGCCTTCTTGGCTCCTTAAGACAACAGCTGGTAGAAAATGTGGTAGTTTCTTTCGTCGGTAGCTTGCTTCACCACCCTTGTGGTCTCAAGAAGATAGTCAGTGATTTGTGCACCCTCAATTTCCATTTTTTTCAGGAAAATGACTTGAATCCACTTCCCGAACCGACTCGAGTTGTTGTTGCGGATCTGGGGGTGATGAGGTGGAGGATGATGTTGATGCTGTAAGAGTAAGCTGATGTGTAGGTGGAGCGGCGTGAAAAAGCATTGAAGAAACCGTGTTTCAATTATTGATGAGCATATCAACTGTCAAAGACAAAGTCCTGTTGTGGTAGTACCGTCTTCGCATTTCCAAAAGCTTCCAAGATAGGGTTTGTGCTCAGGATTTTGTTCTCAATGGGCAACTCGCTATTTCCCGCCACGTCCGCGAGAAAAGACAACACATGTTTGGTGCTCTCGGTTTTTCCTGCTCCGGACTCGCCAGAGATTAGGACAGCTTGAGGCGTTCGATCCGTCATCAAACCATGGAAAGCGTCAGCACCTAATGATGATGTGAGAGTGGAAGTAGCGGGTGAAAGAGAATCATGAGCAATCATACATTTACATAGGTTTCCATTCTGACTAATATTGCCAATATATAAGTAGGAATTATAGAGAGAGGACGACATCGTATAATGAGCAGGATGGAAGTCAAACTGTTCAAGGAAGTTCAGCAACTTCATTGATCTCAGTGTCGTCCTGTGTCCTGTGTGTAGTCTGATGAATGATGATGTGCAAGAATCTAAAAAATAACTGGTAAGTAAGCGAGAGTGAGAGAAGACAAGAGCAAGAATCTAAATAAATCCCTTAGTTGTACCAATAAATCCCTTAGTTGTACCAATAAATCCCTTAGTTGTACCAATTCCAAACACGTGTGGGCCCATAGATGCACCAGCCACATCGCCTGACGAGTACTTGTCCACGTATTCTGGAGTGTAAATCTGCAATTCCTCAAAGGGATTGAGTGCTAAAACGATTCTGGCTACGTTCGTATAAATTTCCTTCCTTTCAAATCTCGCTTTTACTGTCGCAAGGAGCGCGCCTTCGGATATGGTTGAGAGATTGCAGATGTTACTCTCACCCAAAAGCTGCTCGTCTGCAATGGGAGCCAAGTTTTCAGCCTCTTTGCGACCGAGGGTGAAGGAAGACGAAGACGTTAGAAGAAGATGAACAATGAGTCCGCGAAAGATCTTGATCCTCGCAGTCGCAGTGGGAATGGCCAATAAAGGAAGAATTTGTATGATCAATAGTACGACCTCCCTTCTCTTGTTTTAGCAGGACAAAATATTACGACCCCAGACGTGAGTATCTCAACTCCACCACAAGGACCTCGACCTAACCCTGAAATAATCTTCCCACACCTCCTCAGTTGAACTGTAATCTGCTACCTATGTATTATATTCCATTAGTACACATCATAAGCTTCCTCCTCCTCCTCCCGAAGTTTGCTTTCGAAAGTGCACCTTGTCATCCTCTGTTTTCAGGATTTGAGCCTGCACGTATCCATGTGTAGCATCCGCAATCCAAAAGCGAGTCTCTTGCGAAGATCCTTCGAACTCTGAGGTAGATGGAACTGTTGGTGCGGGAACAGCACTTCTGGGGTTGCTTTCCTCCTTGTTGTTCATCTCCAGTGCTGCTTGAACATCCTTAGAATTCGTGTCTTCTGCAGGCTGGTGGTCCTTGGTGGTGGTCTTGTTGTTGACAACTCCAGCTGCACCATCTTCAGAAGGAGCACCTTTATTTTGAGACTCTGTCGAGCCAGCTCGTGCAGCCCTACTCGCTGGCGTAAACGAGGCCCTCGCCACGTCCGGCATAATATTCTTGGAGTACCGCTGACGACCACTCCTGACGGTCGTTACACGGACCAGAAGTACAACGAAAGTCTCGAGTCTTTGGTTCCACCAAACGAGAGATCTTATTCAAGTCGCCGCTTGCGGCAAAGAACGGTCTAGACCACGTCGAAAGAGCAACTCGAAAGAAGACTAGTGGTCGCGCGACAGGTGAGGTCATGAATCAGAACTATAATTCTTGCCGAAGTCGAGGATGTGTCGTGTCCTTGTATTTTAAGTTAAACTTTTAAGCTTATCTTCAACATGAAGATTAGCGCTTGCGTTATGATTTGTGCGTTATCATGAATTGGTTGAAACAGACCATGGTGGACGTTTTGTCATCAGAATCTGAAGGTTCGTAGGCAACGGCAAGAACTTCTTGTTTTACTTCATAATTAGCAATTTTTATATATACAGTATTAAATCGTAGCATTTATTTTACACAACAAGGATGACGAGATCATGAAGACCTTTTTCCGCTGCTTTTATACGTACTCCGATGAATGTAATGAATACCAATACGCATGTTTTAGTAGAGGTGCTGTCGCCAGCGCTGCTCGAACCCCTTATGCGTTTGAGGGTTGCTGCACCATGATGATCGTCTTCTACCATGTAGTTGACCTCGCATGATCTTCAACATGTTACAATGACCTCCTGTGACAGATGCACTAGGAAGGGAGCTTTGCCACCTTCCACTTTTGTGAGGACCGATACTGTGGGTGTACAGTCAGCCTTTTTGTAAGCTTCATCTCATCTAAAAAGCAGGACGACCACCCTTGATGTTATAATTCTCCAACAACTAGGACTACACAACTACCACGTGGTCGCTGCCTGAAGAGCCTCCTGAGTGATGTACACAGGCGTCTATTTGTCGTTGTCCTCATACTCATAGTCGTGCTCTTAGTACAAGGAGAATCAAAAGTCAACACCAAGTCGTGCTGATTGAGTCAAGTATCTTCTATGGAGGTGGGTGGAGGAGGTATCAGGTTGCTCTTTCAGTTCTTTAGGTAGAGGTTCATCAATGTGATGAAACGCACTTCTCAGAGGTTTTTTATTTGATCTTTATACTTTATTGACGTTCAAATGGAAAATTCCCGATCATGCAAAGCTAACCCCAACTCATAGATTTGCAAAGGATTTTGCCAAACGAACGTCCTAAAAATCTTGCCCAAGGGATGCTCAGGTACTCTTCCACTTTCCGCAGATCCATCTAGCCAAGTGCTAAGAGAAGCAGTACCTGGCTTACTGACCCATTTGCAACCAGTGACAGTGACTACACGATTATGGTCTTCTGCGATGAGGACACGCTTCTCGATCACAACTACCGGTTTATTTACAGAGGTGGAAGTCGTTGTAGTCGTAGTTGTATACATGGACGATGAGGGTGCCGAATTCGAAGATGCTGCCTTGAAGAGCAGTTGTTCATTTGTTGCAGTTGTACTACTAACACTAGTACCTCCCGTCGACGTCGCCTTCTTGTTAGCATCATTTTTAGCACTATTAGTTGGAAGATTAGACTGCTGTTGTTCCGAAAAGAATCTACTATCAGGCGAAAATTCGAAGCGATAGGTATGAGATCCGTTCTCGTCTTCGTTATCCAGGAGGTAGACCTCTCGCAAAGACGACAAAAGTTCGACTTCGTCAGGAGAGAAGAAGACGCACCTTCTAAAAGCTTCTCTAGATCGTGCTGTCCGCAGGAAAGAAGGCAGCAATGTCTGCAGTTGCGTCACACCATGAGAAAGTTGCACGACAGAAGCTGCTAGTTCTTGTCGTGCTGTGCTTGAGGAAGATGAACTACTCCGACTGGTGGTACAACTAGTACTGCCACCAGCTAGTAGCGCACTACCATTAGTAGAAGAAGAAGTTGTTATAGAACTTGCAGCCACGACCGCACCAGCAGCTTCAAACAGCCGGGTAGAAGCTCCTGCTCTTCTGGGAGAACGGAATTTTGCCGGTAACGGTGAAGCAGATGTTCTACTTGTTGTGCTTCTTGTTGCTTCTCCCGATGTTGTGGTCGAAAATGTACTAGTACAGCCACCTGCCTTCTCCTTCTGATCGTCTAAAAAGACCCATTTAAGAGCTTGAAATACGATCCGCCAGAACTGTGGCACTTGACGCAGCGCCAAACTCCTCTGCAACAAATAAACCTTCATACCATCTTCTGCTTGATATTAGAGGGAGAAGGAGAACATCATGATATAATGGTTGGAAAAATAGATAGGATAGAGCGGAGGAGAGATACAGGTAGGAGAGATAGTGGGGATTCACTGGTCGTGTGGGGAACACCAGCATAAGGAATTATAGGGTGGTCTGTTTATCTAGTGGAAGGTAGGAAATTTTATTTTCAAACTCTAAGAAGGAACCACGATAACAATAACTGTAACGAATACTGGCAATGATGCCTTAATTTTGTTGTGCGGTAATCTGCTCAGTTGCTGCTCGTTCCTCTAGTGCTTGTATTTCAGCTTGAATTTCTATGAGTTCCGCCAAGGCCGCCTTCTCGGAAGCAGACTTCTCGAGTCGACGACGTTTTTCACCACCAGCGGCTTCCCCTTCGGGACGTTGACGTTTTGCTGCAGAAGTGGTCGTGCTGTTGGACAACATCTTGCTATGCTATTATAATTGAACAACTTCTGATATTTGTACTACAGGTTCTTCTTGTAGCAATACAAAAAATACTGTAAAAGTGAGTCGTAACAAGGAAGGCTAATGAACATGAAGTAGGAGGCGGGCAGGTAAAAGAAAAAAGTCTAAAAATGGATTCGTCACAGAAAAATGTCTAAAAATGGATTCGGAGACCACGATCATGTTGGCTGACGAACTAAATAATAGTTAAAAGTTGTTACCCTTGATGTATGAACTAAATAAGATATTGGCAAAGCAAATCTCTCCAAGAAGTCTTCCACCATTTCCTGACAGCAAACGTGATTTTGAGCGTATAATGTAAGAGGTCTTTATAATTTACGGGCTAAAAAGTAACTATCAAGTACTAGTAAGTAGCACAAGTACTTACATGATTACTATTCATCATTCTTATCATGAGGCAAATACACGATGCAGAAGTGATATAGATTAAGATTCTTGATCATGCCGTTCTTGTCATCTGGTTCTGCGCTCGCTCAGTACTTTCAGAGGAGGACCACACCAGATATCTCAATTTGCCATTCACGACTAGGAGGCGGTGATAATGATGATTGTCCCTCATCTTGAAGTGCATCTTGAAGAATTCAGCTTCTGGGGAACAACATCAATCATCGCCTAACATTCCCGCTCGATGCACTGCCGCCGATCATGCATGGAATGGACCTTTTGACTTCATGAAGATCATCACGCGAACATCTTCAATCTTCATCCATCCACGACCTTGTCTAAAAAGTGCGAGCTTATCAAAAGAACGACTGAGAGCTGTACGCCTGCTGTGTGGTTACAACTTCTACCCACCGAATACTAAATAGGCACGCAGCGACGGATACGAATCCTCTTGAGGACTAACAACGGCACTAATAGGATAGTACTTTTTTCAACATGATTTTTTACGATGCTTTTTACTACTAGGATGCGTCTTACGATGCTTACTCTAGGAGTGGCCCCATTGCAATTTTTGTATGTAATAACGGGCGGTTAAGCGTGAGATAAGTGCACTTGTTCTTGTTGTAATAGTGTACCTCAGCAAGTATTTGGCAAGAAAAAAGTAGTCATTTTGGAACGATAATAGTAAAAAGACCCTGGTCACGACCTTGTTCGCAGGACTTCTGCTAACGCACCAACTTGTGATAGCGAATAAAATGATACGTATAACTAGTTTAAGTTGTTCTACGAAATACAACATGTTGGGCTCTCCTTCAGCCTCTGCCTGCTCTTCCTGTCCACGATTTGCACTAGCATCCGGTCCGTCACACTGTTGAGCTGCAGGCCGTAGAAGTTTGTCGTTCTCACTGGCAAGAACAGGGAATTTCTGGACTGGCGCTGGCTCCCCTGTCAGGCAGCTTTCGTTCATGACAGCTCGACCTTGAACGAGGACACAGTCGCATGGCATCACTGTGTCGGGATGGAGAACAAGGACATCGCCTGGTAGGAGGTGGCTGAGTGGAATCTTCTTGCGTTGATGACGATGAAGTAGAGTCGATGGCGCATCTTTGGTATTGGTCTCCCTTTCCAAAATCGAAACATCCTCTATCCCCATTCCAACACCTGTCCCACACATCTTCGCCGTTTCAATGGCACGTCTCCTTGCACCAATAGCATTTGCGATTCCGCAAACGAAAGTCAGTAGCAGCTGCCACAGCATTACGATGTAGTGACAAAAGAAGGTCCAAATCAGGCTGTGATACTGAACTACGTAGCGCATCCGCAAAAACTCAGTCTTTAAGAAGGAAATGAGCGGAGGCACAGGAATATGCAAGGCGTTGTCACCGAGGAGAACGAGGCGCATAGCACGTGAGGCCTCGTCTTGATAGGAAGATGAGGTTGAGCCAAATGAAGCTCGAACAGTTGTACCACTCCTGCTAGTAAATGGTGTGAATATCCCTTCTTGCAACGACCCTTCCTTCGACGCTCCTCCCCTGAAAAATTCCACCACATCTGTTGGAGTAAACGATTCCGCGAAGGGGTTTGCAATCTGCCTAAATTCTTCACGGTCTGGACAAAAGACGTACCGCATTAAATGGTGATCGACATGCCGAATCGACAAAAAACCTGCAGCAGACCCTTCTTTTGGACTACTCCGCTGCTCAAATGCTTCCACTTCAGTCCTGACCACATCCAATAGATTCAGCAGCTGTGCTTGTCGATCGAATAACAGCAGTCCGAAGCCGCGTGTGGTCCCAGAAGTGCCAGTTCTTTCTCTTGATCTTGTTCTTGATGTAATATTGGTGGTCGTATCTTCACAGTCCTGGTGCTTCCTGATAATCACCACTATCGTGCACTCCGAAAGCGGGCACGGACACAGGCAAAATTCCCAGATATGCAGGTTCTTACGGCAAAAGATCCAACTAACCGCCATACTCCAAACAGAAAACAGGATCAGGTTCATACCCAGATTCGCAAACTGTCGTCCATGGGTGGCATTATGCAGCACGAAATCCAAATCGAGCAGGTGTTTCGTCAACCACTGACACAGCGTTGGTCGGTACAATGCGATGATGAGGAGCCAAATCGCTGCTTGTAAAGCGAACAAGAGAAAAACGGCGAAAAGGTAGAGACAGGTGCCGAACCAATGACGACGATAGCCACACTGAAAAAGAACCCTTGTTGTCCTGCTTAGGTTTGGACGAGTATCATCATCCTCTTCACCACCGACTCCAATACTAGTTGAATCCTGACAAAAACGAGCCACACAGGCTTCTTTACCCCGAAGGCAGTACACCCAAAACGTGGCCAAAACCAACAACAAGGCGTGAAGAGCGTAAAAAGCCACGTGACACCAAGCGAGGTAGGTGAACAAATAGAATGGAGAAGGGGTTGTAGGCGTGGGAGTGGGTGTGGTTGGTTGCTGCCCAATACCGACAAGTGGTGAAGGCCCAAACCCACTGGGAGGTCTCGCAAGAAATTCACCGTCTGTCGGAAGGTCGTTCATCTTGTTGATCTTCTTTACGTGGGATTGATGTTAGGAGGTACTAACTATAGATAGAATTGGTGAATGATGTGAAGATGAGGATGTTTAGACTTTGGAATATATCAGTGGTAGTTGTTCGGTGATTTAATACTAGTACGCGTTTTGTAAAAAATGATGATCTTTTAGCTTTAGGTGTTGATGTACAAATTACTCATTCGTAGTCAAAAATGGAGAAATCCGCCCGATGTCCGTAGGGTGAACCCTACTTCGACATCATAGCACGCAACTACGAGCAAACGCAGCTCCGTTGCTTTTTACGCTTTCTTTATGGGGGGCTAAGCTTTGAAAGGTAATTGGATGAGGAAATCTTTGTATGATTATAGAACTGTCGCCAATGTCCTCGGTCACGCGATCATCGGTGGGAGACTGACTGCAGTCGAGGACATCATGTGACGCGGCCGCGCTCTCTCAAGTTGGACCGAGAGGAACACTTAAATGCTTTTTCGTTTCTGCTCTTGAAACACCTTTCCAGAACATTGAAGGTGAACACCTTACTAGTACGAAGGGAGCGACCAGGGGGAGACGAAGACTCCTGATGGAAAACTGCGTCGTGGTCGTGCTGGCGTTGTTGGAAAGAATGTTGTACAATTATTCCTCTGGTGTAGTTGCGTCAAAGAAGTGGAAATTCTACAGTAGATGCATTAAAATTCATTGCTGGCGTACATAATTCGTTTGAAGGGATAGACCTAGGTTATAGGAGAGGATCAGAAAGCCCATCTACCTATGCGCAATTAGAAGGAAATGTTGATTGTCGATGAAGAAGTTGTACAAGACTGCAACCTATTTGAAAAAGATTTATAGATAGTTGGTTTTGCGTGAGTCAGTCTACTTGTTTTTTGAGCATTTCTTTTCAAAAGAGTTATACAGACAGATACACCAGAGTGGATGTGGTGCATATTAAAAATTTGTCGAATACAGAAGTGAAGACTATGTCAGGCATATTATATATTTCTTTCATCGAGCCACACTCTAATACTGACCCTCTTATACAATGATCTTTCTTTCAGGTTTTCTACCTGTCATAAGCCCCCCACCACCTCCAGCTCCACTACGATTCCCGGACAGAAACGCTAACCAATTTCGTTTTCGCGAAGGGGATGAACCTAAGATGTTACTTTCACCACCACGAAGATCACCTCCACCTAATCCACCTGATGAAAAAGCACCACCACTACGATCTTGTCCTCCATTTCCGATACTGCGGATTTGCTGTCGCAGTACAGTGCCACTGCACAACAGGGCTAGTCCATTTAGTGCCACGAAAAACATCAACGACATCAAGTAGAAGAAATCTCCGATGAATGTCCGGTCTGGCGGATGGCCGACAACGCGGTTGAAAAAGCTGCGTCGTGTGTTAGAGGTAGGGAGAAGATCTTGGAGTTTTTCATAGGCAAAATGCACAACGGTGGTCTCAGAATCAGTCCTCTGCCGGACATGATGATGAAGAAAAAATACTACAGACCACTAGACGATCCTCTATCGCTTCTAGCAATTTACTGGGTCCGCTTCCATAATTATCCTGCTGGGCCTGAAAACTCTACTGGCAGTCTCTGTCGGCTCCTCCACAGCTTCAGGAGTAGGCTCTTTCACTGGCTGATCGCCACCATCCATGTTCTCCTTCTCCTTGTCGTCGCCCTCAACAGTAGTTGTAGATGTCTTCACTGCAGTAGAAGCAGCAGCTTGTTTTTTCTCAGACGAAGTTGCACGACCTTTCTTCTTCATACTGCGTTTGTCTAAGGCTCGCTGCTCCAGCACATACTGGAACTCGTACCTGCTAGCTTGCAGGAAGCCGCACATCCCGAGCATACTCCTAAAAAACGCAGCCAACAGGAAAAAAAGGAACAAGCGATGATTATTGCGGCCGATGGAATTTCGGATCCAAATACAGTGCTGATCGAAGTCTGCTATGCACCTGTTGGTCATCCTACAATGTTTCGCACCAACAGGCTTCTCGACATGACAATGCTCGCAGTATCGAAAATTTCGAACCTGGAATTTTGATGATCTACTAGCTATCTTCTGGTGATAAAAATGAGGATCGAACATTATTCTATTTCTTGAGAGAGACAGTAAGCCTCTTGATACATAAATTTCGACTATACGACGTTCGACATCACAATTAAGTGTTGTTGGGTTTTTTGAGCTTGCCTGGAATTAATATACGACGTTCGACATCACAATTAACTGCTGTTGGGTTTTTTGAGCTTGCCTGAAATTGAATTTGTTCAAAATGTAATAAAATCAAATTTTTTTGAATTTCAAATTTCTAAAATCTCAAAAATACTTGAATTTCACATTTTCTATTACAAATCTGAAACATCACATTCAAGACATCAGCGTTTCTCTCAATTCACCAGAAAGGACAAGCGCGATCATTTTTAAGGACTTATGCATGGCATTACTACAGCACTATTTTCTCGATTTTTTTTTTTTGCTGACAAATTGTTTCAGACAATTTTACCCAAGTCTGAAATGAAATTTGATTAAAACGAGATATAATCAAAATTTTTACTTTCAACCAATCTAAATTGAAATGCTAATTTTCGAAGCAAGTCTATTTTATTTCGTCTTAGACGTAGTACCTGTTTCACCACTCGCTGGTCCTCACACATCAGTTTCGTGCTATCCAACTCAGCGAAATGTCGTAGAAGTGCCTGCCTTCCATCTGTCGATTTTGGAATGAAACCTGGATCCCTCAGTAGCAGCAACACGAATGCTATGAGAAAACATGCTTCTGATCCCCTCAGGCCGGTTCGTAGGATTCTGGTACCAAAACTATCGTGTCCTGCATTAGGAAATGTTGATGTGCTTGGTTCTCCAGCAGTGCCAGTGATAGTGCTTGTCTCTGCGTGAAGTGCTCCGTCAGCGGCTTCTCCTTCTTCTTGTTTAGCAGCAGCAGCAGCAGCATCCTCCGTAGTTGTCTTCGCGGCAGAAACAGCATCAAGTTCCTCTTTATTGTTTGTACTACTACTTGATGCAATCTTCACATGATCCACATCTTCACCACCAGGATTCGAATGTACTGTACTCCACTCAGTCATCTCCTCCTCTAAAACAGTGTGTCTCGACCACGAGTGAATGCCTGCGAAAGAGGCTAGTAAGGCAACAGGCATCCAAGTAACGAGACATTTGGCCCACCGTCTAAAATACCTAGCCCGTAGCCTCTGGAACAATAGCGCACGTTTCTTTGGTTGCCGCAGTACTTTCTTCATCCAGAGCCACACTGCTCGAAAACCTACTCGCACTGGCGGAGGAACTAAAACGCTACTGACTGGTGCGAAGCATTTTCGCCCTATTCTTGCTGTGATGGTGCATGGCTTCCCAGATGTGAGACGAGAACAAAGACGCGCTGAAGAGACAGATGATCCTCCACTAGTACCTCCGGCATTACCACCTGCATTTTTGTGCTTGTTTTTGGTTGAGGATTTGACCATACCAGCTTCCAAGTCGGTGTGTTCCATTTTGTGAAACATTTCGTCTTCATCTTCGTCGTCTTGATGAAGGTTTTGAGAGTCGTCCAATGCACTAGAAGAATCGACCTCATCCTCCAAGCCCTTTTCATGCGCCTCTGCTCGAATATGATCGTGCATTTCCACAAATTGCTTGTTGAAGATCGGACTGCATCGCTCCCTTGCTAGCATGAAAGCATCTTCGCCTGCATTGGTTCGATCCCTTGCGACAGGTTAGAGCTACCTCAGTGGCATCCCTGCTGGGGCATTATCCTTGGCGCTCTTTTCCACTTGAGAAACAAAGAGGACAGGGATAACCACGCTCTTGAGGATGCTTCCTGGTAGCCTTAAACAGCGTTCAAACCTCGTTCAATCAGAAATTGAGCTATGCCGAGTTCTTCCGCCAACACGGCACGCAGTAGAGGTGTATTCCCTTCTTCGTCCTGGTGCTCGAAATTTGCCTTGAAATCAGCAAGATAGCGAACGATGCTGATGTGACCTCTGGCGCAAGCCCAGTGGAGACAATTGCTGCCTCTGGCGTCAGTTTGGTAGATGCAGTGCTCATCTCGATGCATCAAAACCCATAGGACGTCTCGTACGCCTTCGCGTGCGGCGTAGATCGCAGGTGTGACGCCTTGGGAATCGCGTGAGTTAGAAGATGAAGCACTGTCTTTCTGTTTCTTCAGATACATAGGAAATGCCTGATCATGTCGTGTCTAAAGCTGTAAAAAAATGATGCAAGAAACAACTCAAATATCCACCAGCTCTGATCAATACACAGTCCATAAGTTTCGACCCAGAAGCACCGCAATCCAGCAGCACCTTCACCGTTCTCACAAACTTCTTCCCTAAAGCACGCAGTAGCGCCGTCCTCTGAGTCTGGAAATCCAAAGCGTCTACAGGGACTGTAACTTCCTTCGCCAACCAAGCGATCAACTTAAACGCTGCAGGTGACTCGAAATCGCTTGCCAAATGGAGCAACGTTTGCCCTAGATGGTCCCTTGCAGTAGCCAGCTGCTGAATGAAGGTGGCGGGTTCGCGACGCCCTTCTTGAAGTGTCTGCACCAAGATTCGTTCTGCTTCCACAGAAACTCCAGCACCAGGTAATCCTCCACTTGGTCCATCCAGAAAGTGCTGTTGTGCGGCCGCTGCTTCTCTGAGACGGTTGTAGTAGCGCAGAATTCGAGGACTCGTCAAGTAACCTCCGCCGATCGCTCCTCCTGCCACTAGAGGCGCCGCGGAAGAAGAAGCGCCAGAGGAGGAACCACCTCCTAATAAGGTACTCTTTCTGAAAGTACCAGAACTTGTCGTGCTTACTGGGTCCTCCTGCTGATTTTGATCACTAGTTGATATAGAAGATGAGGATGATGAACTCGAACCGCCACTAGACAGTGCACCTCCACGACCGCCAGGATCAGCTTCGGTTGTACTAGAACTAGTAGAGGCAGAACTACTTGAAGTAGTAGACTTACCATTTCCATTACTAGGATTAGCCGTTCCCGTCCCACTCGCAGAAGCTGCATCTACTTCGCTTGACGAAGAAGATGTAGCCTTACTCCGAGACGGACTGCCAGTGCGACTGCCGGAAAAGGAGGTGTTGTAGTCGCTCGCTTCCCTGATCGCTGCGGACAAGTTGCCCGTGAAGTCACCTCGAGCTCCACTACTACTCAGTACTGCGTTTTTGACTGCTTCTCTATAGACTCGCTGTTCTGGAGTCTTGTTTTCCCCAAAGACTTCTTCTACCGTCAGAGCTTCCCGTCTCAACTCGTTGCGCATGGAGCGCATGAAGTTCGCGTCTTCCTCATAGAATCGATGATACATCGAGTCGCCTGAGGAGACGAAAGACAGGGTGCTGTCGGACGGCGTGTCCTGCTCTGAAGGTTTTTTTACTAGAAGTCCTGTAGTACTACTTGTCTGAGCACGTGGTTCAGATTCTTTACCTCCTGGTGCAGCTTGGTCCGTGTCAGAAGTCGTTGTAGGAGATCCAATGGGTTCAGGTACTGGACGATGCGAAGCCTTTGGCTCACTCGAGGACGATGAGGCCTTTGCTTCCTCTGACGAAGGAATTTCCGGCATGTGATGTTGTTCTATATTCATCTCATCTGAAGATGATTGTGCTCGTCCAACTAGTACTTCATCTCGTGCTTGATCTTGATATTTCATCACCACTTTTTCTTGTTCTTCTGATTGTGCTACAACTTCATCTGGTGCTTCCTGATCTTCTTCTTCCGCCACATCTTGTTCCTCTGATTTTTCTTCCACAACTCCTGTTGTGTTCTCGGAGAAGATTCCGCCTCCCGAAGCAGGAGGATCTTCTTCTCCTGTGGGTGATGTGGATAAGCCTATTTTTGCATCCTCTACTACCTCTCCTTGGAGATGACCTTCATCTCCGTTCGTTTCTTGGAAACGATCTTCAGCCAAATAAGGCTGCTCCTGCTCTTCAACATTAAGATGTTGGGACGTAGCCAGAAGTACATCTCGATCTGCAACGTGGAGATGATGAGCACTTCCAGTTTCTCCATCATCAACAATTATGGGAGGTACTTCTACATCTTCAACAGGAGAGGACGGCGCAACTGCAACTGCATCTTCGTCGTCACCAGCGGTTTGATCTTCGTCATAATTCCTCCCCTGTTCCTTTTCTTCAGGCGACCCTGAAAGGTCTCTTAGAAGAATCATCATAGAGATGAGGACATGCATATGATGATGATCAGAGTTGTGGTTCTAGAAGTAGGTCTAGAACTTCTACTAGAACTAGATGAAATGAAAATTCTAATTTTTCTACTTCTTTTACTTCTAAACATTTAATACAAGAACTTACTCACTCTCCAACAAAAAAATGATCATAAACTCGTCAGTGCTTTATCAGAATCGAATCGTCCTTTTTGAAGATATAGCTCTTCGACAGACGCTGACTCCGCTGTCGGCGTTGACTCTACCTGAAGATAATGCAAATCGTCATCTAGATCTTCATCGAAGTCACCTGGTGATTGATCCCAACCTCCGACTCCATTATCGAGGTCGCAGTTGTCTTGTGGAGCAGGTGGAGGATTCTGTAGTGCAGCTTCGGCGGCTCCTTGTTGTGTTTGTGCCTCAGGATCACGATCTACTTCCCCTGTGGTGGAAGAGGATCTCTGAAAGGCACCTTCTAGGATGTCTTCGACATCCCCGAAGATGTCATCCTCGAGACCAAGATCGTCCATCCTTTTTCACATAAAAAATCTCAATGTGCCCTAGCACTGCTGGAGGTAGGAATAAGACACCTATACTCGTCAGTTCCACTAGTACACACGACTTCTCCTAGACGTTTTAGCGGTACTTTTAGATCATAGTTGCCCTTCGGAATGGCACCCCGACTCCTATCTCATTTACCTTGAAAAGCATGTGCATGTTTATGGAGGACGCTTGTCTTTGTTATGTTAGCAGTAGCTTTCAATTTCAAATCTACAACTTGCCAATTTAGTTCTAAATTTTCGAGTCATTCGTAGCGGGGGTCGAGACATAAACTTTTCACGAATAATTTTTCACGACTCGTCTCTCGTTTCGATTCTCTCTCGACGACCTAGCTGTATTTCTCGCTGGAAAAAGGAGTAGACACAGACAGGAGTGTCAGTCTACCGATGTCATGATACTTTTTCTCTCGACGCTCTCCACACAACTTGCTGCATAGCCCTCGCCTCGGCGATGACTTCCTTTCCATGACTTCACTTCACACAGACCATTGGTTCTTTTCGTGTACTTTTAGCGATGTGTAGGAAATGACAGTGCATGAGATTGTTGTGCTTCATCTTTCTGGTGTTCGTATCTATACATCTGCTGAGACCTAGGACTAGTAAAAGAGGTGTGTCGTCGTTCCTTTGCATTAAATGGTTCTTCTGTGCATTTAGTGTGGATGCAGATGTCCTTCTCCTTCTCCCTGTAAATCATAAAATGACTCACCTGCTTCTCTCTTCTTGTACCATTTTGCTCCTCGTCCTCGATGTCTTGTTCAAGGAACTCACAAGCAGGCTGTAGGTGTAGCTACGACTAGAAAAAAAACTTCCCAAGAACTAGTACAACTACGAAAAATCTATGCCATCAATGTAGCAGGAGGTGGAATCTCAGGTGCCGCACGGTCATCCGCATGCAGAGCGGCGTGAGCCGAGAGGGCGGCGTAAGCGGGCAGCTGCGCGCCAATCTCGTCCGCTTGGGCCTGCTGACTGTTTGCCCGGTCCTGCAGGTCGGCAGCTTTCTTGAAAAGGTCGACAGTGATTAGACAAGTCTGCTGGATATACATCGTTGACTTGAGCACAAAGGTGGGTACTTCTAGATTTCAGCTAAGTATGTGCTTGAAAACTGGCAGTGCTGCGGTGATGTACTAGTTGCACGAGAAATATTCATGATCCCAGTCCTCTTGTACAATCATCATGTGTCATCTATTGATCCTTGGAGGTATTGTTCCAGTAGTGGTTTAGTCCTTTTCCGTAAAGCTCGTTGATGATATTGCGCTGCAAGATCTTTGAGCCCTCCACCTTGGAGATCCACACTCTGCTTCAGCGTGCTCTTCGCATTTCTCTGTACTGCATGGGCTTTGCGGTTGAGCAATCTTAGAGCAGGAGAAGACACCTGATAAATCAAAAGATTTGCATCCTCCATCATGAGATTGCTCAGTTTCTACAAGGTAAAAAATCATACTTGATTATATGAAACTTTTGAGTTTGAAGACTCTCCACCCACTGTATGGCACTTCTCACGACCATAACTTCTGAGCCGATCCAGCAAACGCACTCTGCACCGCTGCAGCCTTCGCACTCGCCACATCGTAAGGAGCTGTTGCTCTAGCAGCAGCAGCAGTGACCACCGCAATTGGCTCTACAACAGGCGTGAAGCGACCAACATTTTCGTCACGCAACTTCTGAGCTTTTCCTAAGTCCTCCTCAGCCGCTGCCTTGGCCTTCTGTGCTGCGTGTTGTGCTGCGGTGGACGCGGCACTGTTAATTTCGCCTAGCAGAGCTTTCGTTTCCTCACCTGGTGTCGGATTGATTGATTGATTGGCATCCCTACTAGTACTCCTCGACTACCAGGGGGACGGTACAATCCCACAAGTGTGGGAAAAATGGAATGTTGAAGAAATAGAAAAGGAAACAAGTAGACCAAGAAGCAGCATTTTGTATGAGATTCCCCTTGTTCTTCTAGACTACAAGTAGTACAACACCAATATCACTAATTCTACGTGCTTTCCATGCCGCTTGCTTGTACAATTTCGTTTGTGCCAGAATGCTCTTTATGTCTGCCAGAGCTGTCTCGTTTTCCGTAGCTGCCTGCTCAGCCGCTTCTAGAGACTCTTCGGAGGAGATAGCAGCTTCCTCAGCTCTGAGATTAGAAGAGGTAGGAGCTAGAAGGGGGCACTTAATATGACAAGAACCAGGTAATTATGTAGAACAAATTGCCGAAAGACTGACAAAAAAATCTAAACACGACATCTTAAACCTTTATCATAAGTGTAGCCGCTCTTGCTGCACGTACGTTCAGGAGTGTGGCTTGAGTCTTCACCGTGTTGGCATGCAAATGTAAAACATCTTTCTCCGTTGCTCTGGGTGGCGGAGCCATTTTTTCAGCGCCATCCTCTCCGCCATCGGCGCCAGCTGCTGCTGCGGACGCTGCACTGGAAGAGCTGTCTGCAACTGCGCCTTCGATGACTATGGCTGTGAGAAGGATTCTTGATAGATATAGATGATTGAGAAAGATGTTCTGATTGAATTTTCATTTGAATATTTGAAATCGGCAAGAACCGCATCGGGTTTGACTAGACACTAGTTACAACTGTTCACAAGATGAAACAAGAGAAGTTATGACTCCCTGACGACCAACTCCAACATCACTTGTACGAGGACGTATACAACTGCAGGTCAGTTGTACTTGTAGTAGAAAACGAGGACGTATACAAGAACTGTAGGTCAGTTGTAGTAGAGAAAGTACTTACGTTTATAATCCGGATACAACTGCAGGTCAGTTGTAGTAGAAAAAGTACGTTTATAATCCGGATCTAAGCTTTCCAAGTGCGCAATTACACAGGCTGGATCAACGCCATTCGGGTCCTCAGGAATCAGTTCCATTTGCTCTTCGTTAATGTCCGTACACATTGCGTCCATCTGCAGTTTCAGAGTGTTCGGATCCTGCTGGGGTACACAGGAATTCAAGCAGAACTTCTGCTTTGGGACGCCCAAACCTTGCTCCCCTGGCATAAGGGCAGAGTCAGAAGGAACCATGCAGAGAAGGCTTTCGGACAAGGAGAAGGGTTCGGGCTCGCACATGCTTTGGGCCTGATTTGGAATGGTGATTGGCCTGATTTGGAGGAAGGATCATGGACTACATCAACTACTACCCCCGTCGAATAAAGGTCAAGAAAAAAAAAAAAGGTAGAGGACTCACGTTTTCTATCTTCAAGAAAGTACTAGTAAGAACTACAGCATAAGAATGTGCATGATCAGAGTTCTGAAGATTTCATAGTATTAGTAGGTACCCCACACTCGTAGGACTCCGTTCGTTTGGCAGACTCGCATATTTGGCAGGTGCATTCTGGCGTTTGCTTCTGGAGAAACTTTTCTCCGCTGACTGCTGGAGCTGCGCCCAGAAGAAGCGCCGACAGGAAGACGACTCGTCTTGCCAGCGAAGGCAAGACTCTAAACTCTAGAAGACTCTCCATTTTCCACATTCGCCCTCTCTTGGGTACTCGCTCCTTCTGCAACAATACTACGCGAGTAGAGCGAGGGGTGAGCCACGCTCTCGTCGTAGCCTGAAGAGTCCTCCTGCTCTCGAAGAGGACATGTCTTTTCAGTCGATGCCCATCTTGATAACTACAATCGACTATGCAGTACTTCTACTTTTAAAGGCAAAGAGGTGATTCATTTGGGGGACACTCATTGACTTTTTTAGGTTTCTGATTTTGCTTTTGCAGACTTTTCGCTTTCGCGATAGCTCCTTTTCTTCTATTAACTTTTCTGAAGCTTACTGCTCTGATGAAGTCGCTCTACTCTTTTTCATCGCTTCATGGGGTCGGGCAACGGGTGCGTTTCACTCATGAATGACCGTGGGGGTGAGCCCACCTTTCACATCAAACAGGGTCGTGGAGCATTTCTTCCTAAAAGAAGCGTTGTGGTACTGGAGGTTTCTTCTTTCCTTTATCTCCTCTTCTATTCTTCTTGCTACCACTGTTTACACTTCACTTAGTATCCTGGCCTGTATCCGTTTTGTCAGGTGGTTCATCCTCGACACTGGATTCATCACTGTTTCTTGATCTTGACATAACAGCTGCAGCATAACTTACTCTTAAGTTTTGTGGCTTCTTTTTGTTTCTAGTTGCAGTACTAAAAGCATGATTTACTCGTGATTGGCTACTAGCCATCATTTCATGTTGTTGTCCAGGTTCACGCTCACCACCACTTGTATCAACATCTCCTCCTGCGGAAAGATGAAGCACTTCTCCATCTCCTGTTGTGATCCGCGTCCGCCTGGTACTTATCGTTGCTGAAATCCCCTCGTCTAGGAGGTTTGTATCTGATGTCAACGTTTTCCTACTATCAACTTCAGATTTAGAAGTTTTATTTTTACCAGTCCTCGCATCATGTTGCACAAGTTCATGATCTTCACCTCGATTTTCTTTCTCTTGCATGACATCATTTATTGGTGTTGCGTCCACTGGTCGTCCCGCGACCGCGTCTTCATCCTGATCCTCATGATTGTCTTTATCTTCATCGTCATTATCATCTTGTTCTTCAGCAGTTGCACTGCTAGAATCGTTTTCCCCACGCTTTCCCCGATGATCCTTTTCTTCGGCTTCAAGAATATGATCACCACTTCTATCCACTGCGTCTTCCTCATTCTTTTTCGAAAAAAAGTCCTCCTCTAATGCCATGAGTTCTTGAAGTCTCCCTTCTAGCACTTCGATCTCTCGTTCTTGAGCTGCTACGTCTTCGCGGAATAGCAAATCGTAGACTTTTTGATCAGCGGCAGGGCAAATTCGCACAAGGCGATCAATGTCTAGTCCTATCGCAACTTCGGCATGCTCTTGTCTTTGGGTAGTAGTGCCTCCTGAAGTAGGGCTGCCGATATTGTCTTCAGGTCCTGCATTGGTGGAAAAGCGGCCGCGCATTGCGGCAGCGGTGGAGGTGTTTGTGTTAGAGCTATTGCGACTGTGGATGGTCTAACCACTTCTTCTCTTGGAGGTGGGAGGACATGAGAATACAACAAGATGATGCTGTCCACTAGATCTTATGTTCTGACCTATCGCTATCGCCTATGATCTTCATGTTAGTACTTACAGTTACAACTAGAAGTTGTAGTCAACATTGCCAATCCCGCCAATCCTGCCATAATACTCGCTGACATGCGATTGTTTGTCGACCATCGTCCATATCCGCCACCCATCAGACCCATACTGGAGGTTGGAGGACCTCCAGGTACGAAGCTACTACTGCCACGACCTCCACTCCCTGGAGTAGTTGTACTTCCCCTAGCAGGCGAGAAGTAGTTGCTGGCGCGTGCCCAAGAACCGTAGAGACTTTGACTCCCCATCCCCATTGCTCGTCCTCCTGTGGCCCAAGAAGCTCCTCCTCCTGGAGAGAAGTCAAAGAGCTCTCTTTCAAGGTCAGGAGGTCCATCAGCATCGTCATCTTGGCAAGAATTATCATCATCGCCGAAGAGGTCTAGACGACCTACGCTCTTTTTCTTACGATCCGTGTCTCTGAGAATCCGATGAGACATGCGGATTTGTTGCTGCGAGACGGAGGTGTGAGTGCGACGGCCGAAGGATTAGAACTACAGATGAAACATCCTATGATAGGTGTGAGTGCGACGACCGAAGGATTAGAACTACATGTCAGGATACAACAGCACCGTTCACTAGCAGCTATCATGATCTTTTTACTCGTCATAACTCAGTCTAGCCGGATTTTGTTGCGCTTGTTCATCCTGACCACCTCCTCTCAGCATACTTCCACCACCTTGATTCATCTTCGAAGCTTGTCCCCTAGAGGTACCGGCACCACCATGGCCGTCTGCGATGTGGACCACCTTAGTATTGCTGAAGTGATCGAAGGATAGACTCTGCCTGCCACAGTCTGCCGCATTTTCCCTCAAATCTTCAAGCTCATCCAGCAGATTTTCGTCTTCATGGTACTTTTTGCGGAAATTCGGCAGTAGAGTGTCCACTTCGTATTTGAGATCTTCGAAAGCGTCGTCCACATGCTGTGTTTTGTGCCGTAGCTCAGCAACCTCACGCTCTTTTTGGGAGTTAGAAGGGAAATCGGAGGTGCAAGTGTATCATGTTGCATGTGCATCTACTTACCTAAAAATATACCACCTTCTATTGATGACTCTAGTAGTAGTACCACGTAGAAGTTATATATAAAACAAACTCACACCTGTTGATGACTTTAGTAGTAGTACCACGTAGAAGTTATAAAACAAACTCACTCACTGTAACAGGAAAAAAAACTGGCAAAAATCTTCTCCTCGTAATCTCCAGCCTTTCCTCAAATTTGCTTGCCAGCACCAACTCGATCTGCGCAATTATATCTGGATTCCTCTCTGCCTGAATCTTCGTGAACTCTTCCACCTCCCTCAATTCGGACATCAAAGCAGTCTCCCTCCTTACCTGTGCCGTTTCCTCTTTGCCACGCTCTAGAGTCAATAGGTGAAACAGCTCCGCAAATGTGCAAAGAAGTCGTCGCAAAACGTTAGACTGCTCCGCGCATTCCAGGGAGATCTCCTGGGCGATATCGCCGAAATATTCTTGCAATCGCTGGAGCAAAGAGGTGAGTTCTGTTTGCAATTGTGCGTAGTGGTCTTCTTTGGAAACTGACTGGTGGTGCTGTGGTCTGGAGACTGAGGGGACAAAACTTGTGTTCTTCGAAGCAGAGTTTTTTTGTGGACCGCTAACAGCAGCAACTTGTGCTAGTTGCGTTTTTTGTTCACCATGACCAGGTCGCGTTCTCATCTTCTTACTAGGGCTACTCGTTAGACCACAACTGCAGATCTTAGTAAGGCTAATATTCTTCACGGGCTGGTGATTCAAATCCATGTCTTTCGTACTTCGCAAAAGCCCACCACGACCATGTTCAGACCTACTACTAGGTAAATTTTGTCTACAATTAGCATCCCTCAGTGACGTAGCAGCCACAGCAAAAGCATTATCTAAAGCTTCCCCAGCCACTTGGGCTAAGAAATGACGCTTTCCTTCTAGAGATCTCTCCTGATGGCCACCAGGTGGACCACGAATGGCGGTCGGCGTGGCCGTGCTGCTGCAACTAGTACCTCCCAACATGGTCCTACTAGTAGTACTCGAAGCACGATCTTCCCTTTCCTCACCACCTTGCTCCTCTACTGCTTCATCCAGCCACATCCTTTCGAAAGTCTTTTGTGACTGTTGTGCGAGTGCTTGACAAAGCGAGCAGGGTAGAGGAACCAAGTTCTTGTCTCGATCCCAGGTGGCGAGATGAAATTGATCATGAGTGTGGTCATCTTCATTCTTTTGGTCCACTTCACAATTCTTACGGGCCCTACTACCTTCTGCAACAACTACACGTTCCATTGTGGTCTCATCATCATGGGCAGCACCAGGTCCTGAACGTCGAAGATGCCCTTGCTCAGCTTCTCCGGTTTTCGTCTTCTCTACTTCTTCGACTTCCTTGTTCTTGGCCTCGGAGGTAGAAGAGGTACTTCTAGTGTCGCTCTTCTTCACTTCAGCGCGGACGCGCTCTCCATCATCAAGTGCCAAGAGTGCTCCTGCTTCATCCGTCAAGAAGGTGGGCAACAGACCCTCTTTTTCGAGAGGAACGCGATGCTCGCGGTGCAGCCGCGCTGCGATGCGCGCCATATGCTTTTTTGCCAACATCTTGTCTTGATAATTTCTTGAGGACCCGACGGACCCCCCCTGCTGTACCACGGTTCCTTACCGAGATGGCTAGCGATGATCTACTAGTCATTTGTTGTTTCATCTTTGCTTCGAGAACTACCAAAGGGAACGCGAATTTCTTCTTTATACTCTATTTAAATACTATTAAAAATCCCCGAACACTCTTCGCCTTTAATGTGAACACTAAAGGACCTCTAAGACGCCTTTAATGTGAATGCTAAAGGATTCCCCTCCCCTTTAATGTGAACACTAAAGGACCCTTAAGGCGCCTTTAATGTAAACACTAAAGGACTCATAAGGCGCCTTTAATGTAAACACTAAAGGACTCTTAAGGCGCCTTTAATGTAAACACTAAAGGACCCGCGCGGCGCCTTTAATGTAAACACTAAAGGACCCTTGAGGCGCCTTTAATGTAAACACTGAAAGCCTTCCACGTGGGCAGCAGATGGCCTCGAGGGAAACAAGAGCAGCAACATCAACAGCAAAAACAACAAGAACAACAACAGCAAGAACAACAACAAGAAGAACAACAACAGCAAAAACAACAACAGCAAGAACAACAACGGCAAGAACAACAACACC